CCCCCCCACCCCTGCGTTTGCGGCCCTTCCAACAAAAACTATAACAACCACAACCCCTTCCTTCCCCCGAAATCAGAGTTGTTACAAACGGACAGGAAACAGTGCAGAAACTGACTGGCGCGGGCGGGGAGGTTGGTCAAGGCTAGACGTTGGTGAGAAGCGCCCCCGGTTGCAGCAGCGAGGCGAAAAAAAGCGTGGATCGACGACCAAGGCTGGGTCGAAGAAGAGGAAAGAGGCTCTTCCTTCTCTGTTTTTCTTTTCTTTTTCTTTTTTTTTCTTTCTTTTCTTTCTCCCGCTCTACGGAGAGATCCGTGGAAAGGTGCGTGCCGGTCCTCGTTCAACGACGTAAGTTAGATGCGTCGTGCTGGGGCCGCCTAATAATGGTCAGCCTGGCATCTTGCAGAACCCCCCCCCCCCCCCCTCTTAACTCGTAAACAATGAGTCAGTCCATGGTGTGGACGGGGACGAGAAACTTTCTTTTGGTCCGACTTTCTGATTACTAGTTTCAAGGGAAAGGAGGACAAAAGAAGAAAAAAAAATAGAGTAGGCTCGGCTCTCAATTTGAATGTTGTATCAAGAGTTTTGCGCTATACTGCTCCCCATTCCTCTACGTTCCGCTAAGAACATGCCCAATTAACCTCACTATAAGCTCTTCGTCAAGCGCGTCCGAAACAAAAACCAAATGATCTATGGTGTATCTCGAGAGTGTGGAATTTTTCTCTTTACAACAAAACGTGTGTGTAAAATGTACTGTATCCGAGCGAAACGAAAACGAGCGTCACCTCCAATTTGTTCCCCAATGCGTTTCATCAACCAGGTAAGGAGCCACAGGAGGGGGGAATGAATGCGTACACAAGTAGATGCAGAATTCACAGGTCGTTATGTGATGTTTCAGAACACGTGTTGTATCGCCACTTCGCCACTTGCACGTGTGCAGATTAGTGGCGTCGATGCTGCTACCCCCTCTCGGTCACCGATCTATCCTTTGCGACTTTGTCCATTCTCTTTTCATCTTTTTATCATCTTTCCTGGTTTCCGCTCTTGTGATATATGAGTTTAGTGGCAGATGGTGACCATAAGCATGAGTGACGAGATGGTAAAAGGCCAACAAGTTATCGGCCTGGGACTTATCCGGAGATATTCGAATGATTGCTGCCGCTGTACGGCGCGAGATTCCACGCTTCACTCTCCTGCAGCAGCAGCAGTAGTAGTAGTGGTAGTAGCGGTCCTAAAGAAGCAACCTGTAGCTATAGTTCCGTCTACAGAACATTAAGAAGGCGTGGAGAATAGAGACTCTGTGTGCGCGTGGGAGTGAGGGTAAGTGAGAGATAGAGAGAGAGAGAGAGAGAGAGAGAGAGAGAGAGAGAGAGGCGGTGAGGTGACTGCGTATGTGTGTGAGGAATAATGGCAGGCATTGTCGTACTTCGTAGTCCGTAGCGGCGGTGGCGATGGCCAAGTTTACTCTCGGTTTTGCGTCGGGAAGACAGGGTTGAGGCTCTCTGCTCAGCCGATGATCTGCCTCGCTCCTTCCTTGCCTAGGACGCCTCTCTCTCTCGCCTTGGGGCTGCGGTCCCGCCCTTTCTTCCTCGACAGGAAGCCAAGCATGCCACTGGGCCGCTTGAGATCCCTCTCGTCGCTGCTCATGGGCAGAGGTGGCTCTTCTTCGCGAGCGTTATACGCCGCCGAGCTAGCGGCGCCTCCAGCGCTGACGCTGCGCGGTTGACCTGCGCTCGCGCCAGCAGTCGTCTGCCTTCGTCTCCTGTTCGGGTTGGCGCTGACGTTCTGAGCCGGTGCCATAGCAGAGGGGTCTAGCTGCTGCTGCTGGTAGTGAAGCTGGTGATGTGGATTGGTCTTGCTGTCCTTAAGGTAGTCATGATACTCGTCCGGAATGGAGCGCGGAATGGCCGACTCTGTGTTGGGGATGCCGTAACTGCGCTCACGCTCCTCCTGTCGTTCGCGGCGCTCTCGGTCCTCACGCTCGCGACTCGCGAATTGAAAGTCCATCGGCACGGTCGGCATCGGTGGAGAGCCGTTCGGGCTGTGCGTCGACGACCGCGATCGATTTGCAAACGTGCCGGGCGGAGTCAGTATACGCAATCCAGTCTCTTCCTGTTGAGGGGGGTTATCCCGATGGGATGTCCTCGGCCGTTGGTATTGTTCGACGGACTGGGGGCCCGTTGGCGTTGTGCGCCCGGCCTCATCGGATCGGGCTTTGGCGTCTTCGGGCGACATCAGCGTATAGTCGAACGGCTCGAAAAGTGTTTCGATCATCTTGTGCAGTTCTTCTGCTCGGATCTCTTGCTCCGTGGCGTCTTCCTTCAGCTGTTCGCGTGGCTTCTGACGCCTGGCTCTTGCCTCGAGCGGTGCTTCTTCGAGAAGAAGCTCTTCTAGATCGTACGTTGCGTCGAAGTTCGTCTTTTCGCTTGATGGTCGGAAGACGGGCTCGATCTCCTTCCTCTCCAACGCTGCGAAGTCGATGGGTCGGAAGAAAGGGTTGTCAGTGAACGTCTCAAACCCCGCAGCGCCTATTCTTAGCCGCTTGTCTTTTTCAAGCAGCGAAGATATGGCGTGAAGGCACGGGTTGCTGATGGGAGGATTGGTTTGGGGAAACGCGGGTTCAGCCCGCATGATCTTTTGGCCTAGAGTCTCGTGGTTGTGACCCTCAAAAGGTCGCTGCAGCACGTTAGTCAGACAGGCTACCGGAGCAGAGTGCCCAAGAGTTTTTTTTTTTTTTTTTTTTTTTTTTTTTTTCGTTTTGAAGAAGAGACAAACGCACCTTGTTGTATATGCATTCGTAGAATACCACACCGAGTGACCACCAGTCCACCTCACATGAGTAGCCCTTGCCCTCGTAGACCTCGGGCGCGAGGTAGGCTAGCGTGCCGGACTTGCTCGTCAGCGGCTTATCAGGCTTGAAATCCGAAGCGACGTTCTATGCAACTTCCAGTCAGCCATTCGCTCTGGACGCGCCAAAAAAAAAAGAGGGAAGGGACAAGGAAAATAAAGAGGGGGAAGGGCGTACAAAGTCGGCAAGATGCACGTGGCCGTCCTGGTCGAGGAGCACGTTATCCGGTTTGACATCCCTGTGTACTATGCCTTGGGAATGAATGTATCGTAGCGCACATCCGAGCTCCGCGATCCAGAACTGCACCGCTTCTTCTGTGAAGGTTTTGCGCGAGATGTGAAATCGAAGATCGCCGCCGGTCATTAGATCTACAACAAGATAACTGGAACGACAGTCAGCGCGGACCTTCCATGACGGGCACAACACCGGCCGTTGCCGGCGCGCATTTCTCAGCACGGGGTCTCTCGTACAGATATTCTATGTCTTGGAAACTGTAGCGCAAATTGCAGAGAAAAGGGTGTCGCAGGTGCTCGAGCATCCGGCGTTCCCGTATTATATTGCGCACGCTTTCTGACCGCACCACTGCATCGCTCGTCAGTTGGCCGTGTCTGCAGGTGCGATGGCGCACATCAAGCCGAGCATACGAACCCTCGTCCTTCCGGATGTATTTCAGCGCGAACTGGTCGCCATTGTCCTTGCGTTCGACGATGCGAACCTTTCCAAACGCGCCTTTGCCCACCACCCGCAACAGGCGGAAGTGATTGAGGTTGACTGGACGTACACATGTTAGCTGTCTGCTGACGACTGCGGGGGGTGACACGAAGGTGGGAGCGGGGGAATCGAAGGGCCGCGAGTACGTGAAGGGAAGGGCCGGGACGCAAATCAGAAGGGGAGAAGAGCGAAGCAAAGAGGTTGGAGGCACGGTACCTTGGTCTGTGAAGACGACGGGCTTCCCATTCGAATTGCCCATTGGAAGCCTCTTTCACTGCCGGTGCTGGCGACCGCAGGCACTGAGGGCGACTAAGTTCCTGTGCAACGGCGGCGTCGCCCGCTCTGGCAAGGGAAGGAACAACAGGGGAGAGGACAACAAAAGGAAGAAAGAAGAAAGGAGAATCACGGGCAGGAGCAGCCGTCACACGCCAACATGTCTAGCCGCTTGGAACGTGTGCGTGTAGAGGATTCTGAGCTGCGGCGCCGGATGCTTGGTCGCGAGTCAACCAAGGCCTCGTTCCTCTCGTTCGCCCGGCGTTGCTTTCTGGCGATCTTGCTTGGGTCTGTCGTCTTTCTTCTTCTCTCCGTCTCTCTGTGTCGTTCTTGATTTTATTTTACTTCTCAAAGGAAATCCTTCCCGCGCGATCTGTTTGCCGACGGGGCCTTTCTCAGTCCTTGACTTGTGACGAGTGTGGCGACCAAAGGCACCGTCAAGGTAGCCGGATCCAGGGCAGAATCGCGAGCGTGGGGTATGGTGAAAAAGGCGGTGCAGAGAGCGCGCGAGCGAGAGATAAATAGAAAGGGGAGAAAAAAAAAATGGGCAGAGCTGCAGCAGAGGCCGTAAAAGCGGAAAAATGATTGAGAATGGGCCACTGCCCGCCGGAGGGAGGGGAGCGCTTCTGGCGGCAGGTCTTCCTAAACGGCCAGGTTGGCTCGCTGGGGGAAAAAAACCAGGTGATACGGGTCAAAAGATCAAGGTGGAAGCGGGAGCCCAGTCGCAAAGAAAAAGAGTACCAATGGGGCGGTCGACGGGTTTTGTTCTGCAGAGAGCAGAAGACCGACGGAGTGGAAAAGGGCGCTGCAAGGATGGAGCTTGCAGACGGGCTGCGAGGATTCGAATGCAGCAGAGTTAAGATTCAAGACGGATCGCGACGTGTGGAGGGGGGGCGAGGTGGGCAGTGAGTGGGGGGGAGGGGAGGGGCAGGTGTTTGTTCGGAGAAAGCGAACGGGCTGAGAGAGGCGGGATCAGGTTAAGGCAGGTCCTGTCGAGACGGTGATGGAATGATCGCGCGCGCGAACGAGCGATGGCCGGGCCAAAGCTATTTGTTCTAAGGAAGAGGCGAACGAGGGAACGACAGCAGCAGCGTTAGCAGGGGGAGGGGAGGGGAGGGGAGGGACGACGTTCCCGCGCTGGCAGCAAAGGAAAGGAAAAAAAAAGGCGAGGCCCAAGTTGGTGAAAAGAGACCTGAAGTGAGAGAGTGGAAAAAATGACCAACATAAACCCTCGGTTTTTTTTCCTCTTCCCTCTGGTCCCCTTAGCCTCTTTTTTTTTCCCTTGGCTGGCGGGTTTTGATACAAAGAGCAGAAGAAGGTCTGGGAGCTAAGCAGAAGTAGCGGCGCCGTGCGAGCGTGAAGGGCAACGGACGAAGCGAAGTGGGCGTGCTCGAGACGTATATATACATATATACATCCACATGTATACATAGACATACAGACACACACACACATATATATATATATAAAATGAAAAAGCAAGAAAACAAACAAGCGAGAAGGAGCACCGGAAGAATTGGCTCGGAGCAATTCATTTCATCTTCAGTTTAATAACGATGAACCTTCTCCTTCTTTTTCTTTTCCTCGACCCGTCTCTGCACGGCTGAGAAACAAAACCGACACAGTACAGGCAGGGCACCGGAGGGGGGGGGCGCCGCCGCTCGGAGCGGAGCAGACGGGCGCTACTGTACGCGGCCATGGCTGATACCGCTCTGCTCTTCTCGCCTCTGACCTCGAACACCCCTCCCCTTGGCGATTCGCCTTCGTTCTGCCGCGATCTGCTGGTTGCCCATTCTCTTTTTTTGGCGAGAGAGAGAAGGGAGGGGGCCGGGGGGAAAGGGGGGGGGGACGGTGCGTTTGCTGCGCGGACGAGCTGCGGTGCCTGACCGTGTGCGTCGTCGAGCGTTTGAACGTGCGGGCGCGCGTGTGCGTGCGTGCGTGCGTGCGTGCATGGTATTTTTGCTTCTGCCTTTTGCACGTAGCACAAATGGTGCCTGGAGCGATGCCCAATGCACGACCACCACCACCACCACCATCACCACCACGTCGTCCGTTTCGTCGGCGCACGCACGCGCGGGGAACCAAAAAAAAAGGCCACGCTTTCGTTTTGCGCGTCGGGACACTCGGTGTTTGGGCGGCGCTAGCGGATTGACTTTCTTACCATCTTCCCTTTCCTTTTTATCTTATGTGAGTTCGTGATGGACGTGCACGGCCCTTTGCTACCAAACTCGAGCGGGGCGGAGGCTGAGGAGCAGGAGGAGGAGGAGGAGGAGGAGGAGGAAGAAGAAGAAGAAGGTGGACGGCCATCTGTCCGGCGGTTTGGGCTCGACGTGTCTGTCCGGCGCCGGATGCGATTGTGCCCACGACATGGCCATTGTGCTCCAGTTCACACATATCGCAGGGCCCCCAGAAAACGGATATCTCGCATCGTCCTTCGATGCATGCAGATTCACGGAGACTTTGTCCCTCGATGCCTCGCTCCCTCCCTCCACCCATGTCTCTCTATCTCTCTGTCCCTCCCTTCCTGTCTCGCCCTCGCTCTCCATCCTTCTCCGACCGCGTGCACGTACACGTACACGAGCCCGCCGGGCGCGCCAGCACACGAACGCTCAGCTCGGAGCAATTCTCTTCGGCGGGCACCGTTGGAGCATCAGAGTAGAAAGACGTCCGATGCAGCCACAGGGTCATGCTGCTCCGGTCGATGAGATGTGCGGCCCTGCCATTGGCCCGCCGCCCGCCGCCCGCCTTTGCGCCAGTGGCTGTCCGTGCCCGTGGGCCCCAACCAAGTCGCGACATGATGTGCAGCTGTCCATCATCATCATCGTGTCGCCCCTCGTCGCAAAAGCACGGTATTGGGACGCTGTCAGCGCGCAAAGTAGTACCCAGGAGTGAGTGTGATAGCAGCTGCAATGACAGCAAGGTCATACTGTGCGCAGCCCATGCGCCCTGGAGGTGCCCCCCTCATGCCCCTCATTACACACGTACTCTTTACAAAAATACAGGTCCGCTACTGTTTGCGCTGGGCATACCACGCGCATCACCACTACTCCCAAACAAACTCCAGCGCCGAGCGCCTGCTGTGGGCCTGGGAGTGGTTGCAGCCCACCGCTCGTGACGCCGCTGTCCACACCTCAGCCCGTCCTCGTCCTTGCGGTCGTTGATCATCTCGCAAAGTTTTCTCTTGTCGTTGATGGCTTTTGCTTTTTCCGTCCAGTCCTCACCTGCGCTCGCCCAAGCCCCAGCAGTTCTGTGCCTCGCAGCCGTGGCGTTTTCTTCGCTCCTTGGACGTACCCAGTCGCTCGGGTCTGCCTCGCTTCCCACAGCTGACCTGCAACCCAACTTCCATGCTCATTGGACTCGTCTCGCTGTGCATGCCAGATCACCCGTTGTCCTGCTGGTCTTTGTCGTACTGTTTTTCTCTTTTGTCTCATCTAGTTTCCCCTTTTCTTATTCCCCGTCCGTCTCTTCTCCGCCGTGCTCTCCTTCTTTTAGGCCCGCTAAGGTTGTGGAGAGCGCCAGGAAGGCGCTTGGAGTGCGGTGACGCGATATGCTGCCCGCTCCCTTCCAGCCCACCAAACCCCCCCACACCAACCAGCGGCGAGCACAGTGCCGACTCAGACACTACGCAGTCATAAAGAGTGTTGCGCCCCACGCCGTTCCAATCTGGCTTACCTCAGCGGCATGTCGCAGTGGTCGATGGCATCGTGCCGTCTTGCTCTCAGGCCACAATGCACCGCTTCCCTGAGCGGTCGTCCGTTCATCGCGTCTTGCTTCTTCCCTGCGAAACGCCTTCTGCTCCTGCAGCAGACGAGTAAGCCCCTGGTAGCTGTCGATGAAATATGGGCTGGGGCCGCGCAGGGCACGCTTCGAGTTGAAGGGGGATCTTCCACGGCGTGCATATGCTGCTGGCCTTGTCCTCCACGTTTTGCAAGAGCACGGCACACCCCGGCCAGGCAAGGCATCCCGTCGCCAGTCCCGAACGTGCTCTGCATGCTGTTTCAGCTCTCACGTCTGCGCTTGACGGCATCTTGTCGTGATTGCCAACGGTGCGTCCGGCCGGTTGAGCGAGCGTCTCTGCTCTCGCGCTCGCACGCTCTTGCGACCACCTTTTTTCGGCGCCTCGCCCGCCGCGACCGGAAATTCGGTCTCGCGTAGTCAAGAAAAGAAGGGGCAAAAAAAAAAAGGAAATTTCTTTTGGCGTGCTCCGGCTCGCGCCAGCCTTACGCACATGCAAGAAGCTTGACCGCAGCCTTCGGCCCTCTCTCCAGGGCCTATCAAAAAGCGCACTGTGCTACATCATTTCATGACTGGATCGCGCGAACCCTTCTTCGCCCTGCGTTGACGGCAAGACACAATAGAGGACAAAGGCAGCCAACATGGCCCTTTCCGAACGAGGTCTGCTTCGGCCCCCGGTCGTGCCTCACTCACTGGTACCCATGTTCTCGGAGCGCACAACCTCACTTTTTTTTCCTTCTTTTTCCCTTTTCTTCTTCTGCCCTTTGGGTGCGTGCTCGATGCAGAAATCCAAGATTGCCGAGGCTCGTGGTGGCGGCGTGGCCGGCTCCGTCCAATGCACGGCCCGCCACAGGCCAAAAGTTTGGGCGCCACGGGCTCCACTCAAAAAGACTTTTGCGGCTCTTGGCGGATTGCTCCCACGCCCGGCCGCGGCGACGCGTCTGATCGGAAAGGTTCGAGAATCGTTCTGGAACATGCCTCGAAAGGGACATTCCGGTGCGTCTGTGTCGTGACGGGTGCGTCTCCCGACAGCGGCAGAGTCGTATCACACGTGCTCTTCCGAACATCCGCAGCGGCTCTTTGGTCTGTTTGTGCGTTGGGACTCGCACTCGGCTCGTTTGCAATGCACGTTGAGCCGCCTTGTCCGCATCGTTCTGCACACGAGGACGCCTTTGCTGCTGACGGCAGCGACGTGCGGTGGCAGCGGTGCTGAGTGGTGGATGGGCCCCTCGTGCACATCCATCCTTGCGGTGCGTGCTCGCTCCTCCCCCGCTACACGAGATTTGGACAGGCTCTGTGCGTGGGTTCGCTTAGCCGTCGATGGCCAGCACTGGCATGATTGCTGCTCGGAAGGTTTCGATCGTGCGTTTGTGAGACGTTCAGGGCTGGCATTTCGCGTGCGTTGACACGGCGATCGCACTGCGGATCTTGCAACGTCTGAGGCAGCCTGTGGACGGGCTCATTTCGGCGCTTACGTACAGCTTATACATTGTGTCATAGCCCATGGACAGCAAACGCATGGACGCTTCGGCATGCCGTGGCTCATACCGTGCGGGATGCTTTGCTGTGTCTGTCTGCACCTCGCCATAACCATAACGACTGTTCCCTTGCCTGCCGTTCGGAATCGGCTCCTGCTGTGAGACCTTTCATCTCGCCTGTCGGCTATGTTGATGTCCTGCATGAAATGAAGTATATAGCGAGAGTCCTGGCCCGCTCTGCACAGGCACGAATAGGGGAGACGCGCAGAGAGAGAGAGAGAGAGAGAGAGAGCGAGAGAAAACACGCCTGTGCGGCTTTGTCGATGGCCATTTCCTAACCCGCGATCGCCCTTTGCCTGTCTTTGCTCGCGTCCATTCACGGGTAATGCACTCTGCGATTATCACCACCCAGCGTCCTTCCACCCCTCCCTCCCCTCCCTCGATCCAGCAAAACCTCCCCGACCAGTTCTCTTGCGCTGTAATAACGTGGTCTGGACCAATGAAAGGCAGGTAGCGCTCTGGCTCATGCGCCTCCCGCCGACCTCGTCGCACTAAACTGAATCGTGTGTTCCGCATGCGAGCAAAGCTCCGCTTGCATTCTTCGCTGACCTTCCCACAAGCTGCAAACACTGCTGCGTCGAAGTTCGCAACCTTGCGCGCCTAAACATCACCCAGCGCGTTTCCGACGCTACTTTGGCCAGCTGCGGCAGCGACCTTTCCCCCCCCCCTCGGAGGTCCGCGTGCCTTCGGCACTTGCCATCCACAGGGCTTTGCTCTTTTCCTTCTCAATCCTCTCGGTCCGCTCTCCTCGATCCTCAAAACCTGACTCGAGCAACCCGCGACCCGTTGGGTCGGGTCCGCTAGCCTTGTCGGTCGGAGATGAGGCGGTGAAGATGGACGGTGCACGCGGTGGCGAGTTCGTCCGTGTGACCACGCCGACAAGGTCACCAAGCTTCACGCCGTAGCGCTGCTCTGAGACAGACAAACGCGGTACCGAGGAGACCGGCCGGCGTGGACGGAGAGAAGACGTCGATTCTGGCTCGAGGAGGCCAAGGCCAATCCGGCCGTCACAGCTTTCGCGCAGCTGCGGAGCGACCGTTCTGCCTTGCGGTCCGCCCTCTTGTCGTCACTGGCTGGCTCGAATCATCTGCGTCTCTCGAACGTGGCCGGAACGACGACGACATCGCTTTTCGGGATATGGATCTGCGGCCAGACCGGACGGTCGGAGCTGCGATGAGCACCGTCGGGTTCCGCATCAGATCGCCGCACCGTTGTCATGCGGTCCGTGTCGACGTGCGGGGGCGCGGGTGGGCTTTTCGAAAGCAAATCGACCCTCTTCCAACATGGTCGTAGCTTTGACAGCATGGCTCTGGCTTTCCCCTCCTCGACCTGACCACGACCATCACGGCTGCTACTCCGCCTCTGCTGCTGTCTCCAGCCACGTCTCGACCCCCTTCAAATGACGATGCCTTCGAGTCGGCTGGTTGGTCGCCCCGACCGGGTTGACCAGGTGGCCTCCTCCGACACTACGGTCGCTAGCGTTGATATTCACCCTGCTGCTTTGATGTGTACGATTTTATTGGCCGGATGACGGTGATTTGGCCTTGCACCCGGGCCAGAGCATGAACTTTTCTCTTTCTCCTCTTTCATTCTTTCTCCTTTCCTCTGCTGCGTTGCGTGGACGTACGCTGAATCGTGCCACGCGCGTGCAGTGATGGCCAAATCAACTCCTCCACCGTCCCCTCGGCAGCACGAGAAGAGCAGGTTCGCTTGCTGGCTTCCAGTCCAACCCCCACCTCGACCTATCTATATTATGTTCTATCCTCGTTCGAGTGCCATCGCCGACCATCCTTCGTAATGCTCCGTTCGCCCCCCCCCCCCCCCTCCCCCCTCCCCCCCCCTCCCCCCCCCCCCCCCCGTCTCCTTTCCCTCCCGTAGCTGCCCGCACTAGCTCGCTTTATGTGCTGTTACCGGCCTTGACACGATCTTCTTTTCCCCCCCTTCCGCTCCTTTCAGATGCAATTCTTGGCTAAGATGCGGCCGTGGCTGCCGTGATTAACGATAAGCGAAGAAGAAGGGGGGGGGGGGGGGGGGGTGGTTTATTAGGGAGGGGGATAGATTCGAAAGTGACGTAGTACTGCAACGTCGTGGTAGAAACAAGCACATCTGCGTGGTGTGCATGGCCTCCTTGCAGAGTCGACAACCAGCCCTGGGCCGCAGGTACCGGGACCGTTGCCGACCCATTGGCAGTGATTCGAGATCTGGAATCGTGAATGCGAAATTCGTAGCGAACGAATACGTCCTTCCGAATGGAAGGCGCTCCGTACCGGAAAATCTAAACGCACGTCTTTACTTGCTCTTTCTCTTGCTGGCTCACATTTAGGGTTCTCCTACAATCAGTATCTTACACGTGACGTACTAGACGCGCCAGCTTCATCTGGGCATAGATCAATGCGAAGATCTGTTTCCAGCCATGTGTTCAAGCTCGTCTCAAAGGTCTCTCTCCACCCCGCCGCCCGGGTCCCGTTTGATCTGCCTCGTCCGATATTTCGAGTCAGACGGTGATTTCGTTTGCGTTTCTTCTTCCACAACCAATAGATGACCGAGAACCCGGCTGCCACGTGTACTGCCGCAGCACAACGTGCATGATGAGGATGCGTCGATAACTTATCGGCGTAGCGCTTCGATGTCTTCGACCTGTGCAGATCAGGGTCAATTAGCCAGCGTCCACCCTGCCTTGGCTTCCCCAGCGTCCTCCGCTCAAACGCATGAATCAAGATTCAACACAACGTACCTCCTTCACCGCCTCCGTGCTGAGTATGAACGGGCTCTCGCTGTCGACGCACACGCTGTCCTCGATCCTGATACCCATTCCACGGAAGTGCTTTGGCCATCTCTCGCTTGGGTCGTGAGCCGGCACATAAACGCCCCTGCACCACCACCGTGTCAGTAAGAAACTCAAGCCACTTAAGTGATATATATCAGACACAAGGCAAGGGACTAGCACGCACGGTTCAATGGTGACACACATCCCCCTTTCCAGCGTCTCCGTTCGAGGAAAGCCAGGGCTGTCGTGGACGTCGAGGCCAATGTAGTGACCGATATGGTGAGGGAAAAGGATGCCCATTGCCTGCAGAAGAGATAGGTGTTAGCGAATTGCAGATTCCTGCACCTCTTCATGTGTGCGATAGGCTTACGTTGCCTGATACGTCGAATCCAAGATCTTTCAAATTCTCCTTGAGCATTCTCTCTGCATTTTCGTGGATCTTGTCTAACGTTAGATTGGCATTGGCACGACATTGCGAGACGGCGTGGCGTTGCACTGAAAGTACGGCAAGATACAGGTCCTTCTGGGCAGGTGCGAAGATTCCATTGTTAGGCCACGTGCGTGAGATATCTGTTATGTACCCGCCATGCTGAGCTCCCGCGTCGATGAGGATCAAGTCGTTCGTCCTGAATGCTGTCAGATTTATTCTCTAGACTACAGAGAAGATGGACATACTCGAGCAGGCAGTCGTTGCGCGTGTAGTGTATGTTTAGAGCGTTGACGCCGCCTGCAACCACAGGGACATAGCCCACACCATCCATAGCTTCTTCCATAAAGTTGAATTCGAGGTTCGCGGCGAGCTTCTTCTCGCTCGTCCAAGTTTGTCGCATGGCTCGTGTGATGGCCCGTCCAGACGCTTTGCCTACACTCCGCATTAGTGAGATCTCGGCCTCACTTTTGCGGACACGGAGCCGATTCAGAAGCGGCCGGAGAGGCCTGACGGTCAATCCAGATATCGCCTTAGCTATACCATCGTCGGGCCGTAATGCTAGACCAGACAAGTAACGCGAGAAGGCAGTTCTGGGGGCGAAGCTACGAGGCAGGTCTGTGTAGACCTTCTCAACGCCCTGAAGAAGTTTTGGCAGTTCTCTGTCTACGCGATTTATGTCGCCGGCCTATGCGGTGATTTAGTTACCGCAACTTCTATGGGAGATGTGATGTACCTCGTCGGCATTGAAGACATCCAGGGCCGCCTGCACACCCGACCGAGCCCCCTCCCACTGCTCATCAGCAGCGTTCTTTGGTCTCACAAACAGATGAAAGATGACATCCGAAGCACTTTTCCCTTTCTTTGCTGCCCAAATCTCAATCACTCAATCACGTGGAGAAATAGACGGACAAGTTTGCTTACCTATTACGGCAAGCGCTTCCGGTTCCAGAAAGCCTGGTAATGTGTCAGCCATTGATAGCAGCGAATATGGGCTGGCGATTGAAGCGAACCAGTCAGATACAAGAAGTCCGGGTCCTGATGAAAGTCGTAGAAGACGGCTGAAGAACCTGAGCGATATTTGACATCGCCGGCAGCGAGGATCGCTACTGAATTGACCGGGAGAAGCTCGGCAAGTTTCTGGCGGCGGTGGTAGTACTCAACGGCTGTGATTCCAGGCGTAACTGAGATCCGTCAGCATTTGAACCTTGCTGGATTGCCACAGCGTTTTCATACTCTCTCCAGCCTTCAGCAGATGGGGGTGCGTCTCGTGCAAAGGCTGGCCAAACTGAAGCTCCGCGGCGGCGAGCGCAGCATATTGACGCGACTGCTGCCATCGCTGGTGCTGGTGCTGGTGCTGGTGCAGAGAACGAAAGCTACCTCTCTGAAAAGAGCGTACGGCACGGCATGCAAGCCATGACATGCTTCGATGAAGAGAAGGACAACGGGTTCAAGAGTGATAGTTCCCACGGTCACGAGTGCGGAATTGAAGCTGGAGGAGGACAGACTTGCCGTTTTGGTGAGCCCTCAGAAGGCTCAGGGATTAGCGCCACTTTCTCGGAGAGAAGAGCTTCAACCCACCTACGTAACATGACTGAGCTGCACGATACATCGCCGCTCTTACTTGCGCCCTTCTTGCTGCGACAAGAACACGCTGCAGAAAGACACATGGCACGGCTATCCGCACGACACGCAATCGTGCTGCCTTTCTATTCTATAGCTCATTCTTAAGGCCCCTCGTCCGTCGTCTTGCACAAGCTTGTTCCCGTCCCTCCACCATACAACAAAGCCAGCAGGCTGCCTTTCAGACTCCCCCACACCGCCCCTCGGCGCACTATGGCCACGACCTTGAGCGCCGACATGGAATCTTTCCACGCACACCTTTTGTCCTCGAAACGTATCCTCGCTCTCCTAGGTGCGGGGCTGTCCGCTTCCTCTGGGCTGCCTACGTTTCGCGGTGCCGGAGGCCTGTGGCGAACACATGATGCCATGGACCTTGCTACACCAGAGGCTTTCGATGCGGATCCTGGGCTGGTGTGGCAGTTCTATTCGTACAGAAGGCACCAGGCGTTGAAAGCGAAACCAAACAGGGCGCACTACGCATTGGCGGAGCTTGCAAAGAAGAGGGGTGCGGAAGGATTCACATGTTTGAGCCAGAATGTAGATGGCAAGTACATCTCCATTGGGTGGCAACGCCGTAGCTGGGCTCGTACGCTGATTTGAGATAGGGCTGTCGCAAAGAGCGGGACACCCGCGCAATTCGCTACAGCTATTACATGGCAGCCTGTTCGATATCAAATGCACGGATTTTTACTGCAAGTATACAGAGCAGGACAACTTCGTCGACCCCATTGTGCCCTCTCTGGCAATTCCAACAACAAAATCCGGCAAGGAAATAGATCCCACCACGAATGAAGCGCGTCACACCAATGGTACTTCCTCTGGTACCAGTGCAGTCGTGACAGAAGGCGAAGAACTCGACATCGCCGATGAGAAGGTGGCGATTCCTAAGCTCACGTTGAAAGATCTACCACACTGTCCACAATGCGAGAAAGGTCTGCTGCGACCTGGGGTTGTATGGTTCGGCGAAATGCTGCCCGAAAAGACGATCCGCGCTGTGGATGAGTGGATCACGAAGGCAGACAAAATCGATATGATTATGGTCATTGGTACAAGCGCAAGGGTTTACCCGGCGGCCGGTTACGTCCAACGTGCGAGGGGAAAAGGAGCACGCGTTGCGGTCGTGAACACAGACGTGAACGACGCACCCGAAAGCGGAATGATGAAGGGAGACTGGTTCTTTGTGGGAGACGCAAGTGTCCTCGTGCCTGAGATGCTGAAGCCAGTCGTGGGCGAAATCTCGACCGAGAGGCTCTAAGGAACGCGAATGTCTGGAAAGTCGAATTCGTCCAAGAGCGTGTGGCAAATTTGAACTTGGCATGGTGTTGGGCGTATTGGATGTAGCAATCTTTTGCTGCAAAGTAATGGGTCTATGCGGACATACGGGGTGACGAATTCAAAATACACAAATAGAGTTACCACAGTGAGACGACATTGCGCGCTCAACGAGCACATCGTCCTTGATTTTCCATCCTCATGATGGCAAATATCCCCTTCACAGAAAATACAGAAGCGGTTTGATCATGCGACAGCAAGAAAATTGTGAACATGCTCTCGATCGCATTCCGACTGGGCAGGCTCCCTACTGCAACCTTTCTGCGGTATTCTGCTCATGGTCGCACGAAGAAAGCCGAACTCCAACCACGCTATCTTCTCGAATAGTGCTCCTTAGTGGAACAAATGGGCGCATTCAGATTCCATATAGATCCGATCTATGAAAACGATCACGATATGAGCGGTCATCCTTTATGCTTCTGGAAAACACAAAATCTAGGCGGCTCATACAGGTGTATTTTCTGTCTCACAACGTCCTCACCTGATTTCCCAAGGACTCGAACTTCGGCTGGCCAACGACTGATAGCGAAGATCGCGCTGTGAGTTTCCAACGGCTTACTAATATCGCGTGAGGTGTATTGGCGTTTTCTCTGCCTTGTTCCTCCTGCTTATGTTCAATGTCGAGATTGTCGCAATCTTTCTGAACGGATGCGTGTAAGAACGACGTCCGCATTCCACGGTCCTTGTCCACTCAGTAATTGGCTTCAGTGAGAATTCCTCCGAGATGAGAAGAATTGTAGAACGATGTGCTTTGAAACATACGTGCTCAACTGTCTGGCTACCTTGAAACGGTTCTTGATTGGCAGTTGCGGTGTTATGCGGCTTGCATTATCTGGACAGACTGAAGCGTGCCATGCTACGGAAAAGCTGAATGGGTCCTGCATACGATACGCTAAGATGTTCCTCTGGAGCTTCTTCTACGAGTCTTTGGGATCACCGTAGAACATGCTATCAGGTTTAGAGTGACTGGAGTTCGTGGGATGTTACTTAGCAATGCTTCCAAATCCAATGTAAGCAGGATAAGAACCAGCTCGATCTCTCGAAGTGGTCCAAATTGCCCAAATACAGCAGGCTTGGAAACAAGTTGTGCAGTAGTCACAGCTTTTATGTCTAGCATAGTTCATTTCAGTTACCGAGGATCCGACTTCGAAGAGATTTTGCAGAAGCAGCATGATGCAAGGCATACTGTGCATTAGCCGGGTCGCCACGAGCAATCGAGATGGGCTGATTCAGACATGCAAGAAACAGCTCTGGGAGCCGAGAAATCGTTCGTAAAGACTTACATGAGAGGTTATGCTATCATGAAGTACTTCTTCTGTGCGATGTCGTCGTCAAAGCCTGGACTGTTGGAGAATGAACTGCTCAAAACCGTCATTACGCAGCTAGGGCTCTGCGCGAGCATTGCGGATCAGAGAATGCTGTACATACATTTGCCTTCTCCAATCGTCGGCACGAATTCTGGCTACACAGCAAAGTTGAACGCCGTAAACTTCGTCGCGGTTGCTGCGGGCATGAGCAGAAAAGTGGGGCCAGCGTGCGCTCGAGCCTACTAGATGTCAACACACCCATGGGTCGCTCGCTCCAAACCACAACAGACTCGCACAAACACTTTCCATACACCACGCCATCCTCCATCCCGGCATCCAGTTCCTCTTCCTCTGTGTGCTTAGCGTGTGTTTGTATGTCTGTGGCCCCAAGTCATGTCTCTCCAGTTCTAGCCCTGCTATTGGTGCCTGAGACGGACACGACGCGCGACCAGTGAATGAGGTAGCTTGGTCGCGTGTTGACAGGCCAATCCCCGCCTCGCATTTCACGTTCACGCAGAGCTTCTACATGGCAGCTCTGCTCCCTCCACCGCTGCACAGCTCGCCCCATACTAATATGGCGAGTCGACGAGTGCCATTAGGCAATCTGCCTAATGCGGCCAATTCGCCTTTCCGGGAGCCCGCAGCTCCTGGGTCGAAGCGACCGCGCCCAGATGCTGCTGTGTACGAGAAGCAGCTGCAGCCGCCGACGAAGAAGCAGATTGTGGAGGCCGAAAACGCGGACAGTCGTCGCGCCCTGGTGGGACGGAAGGTTCAGAGTACGACGGGAACCGCGAGTGCTGTGACGACGCGCAAAACGAGTTCAAAAGCGACGGGTAAAACCTTGCAGCAAGCCACGCAGGAGAATCTGAATGAGATTCGGCAGTGGCAGAGGCATTATAAGAAGCTCTTCCCGCAGATGGTTTTTTACTACGATAATGTGCCGGATGAGACTAGACATAAGATTGGGAAGCAGCTCCAGCTTCTTGGTTCGGTAAGTAGAGGCAGTTTTCGAATCTCATTATCCGTATAGCGGTACTCCAACTGTTCTTCTGGAGTGGTTACCCGCCCAGGCCAAGTGTCGTTTCCTCTTGAACACATGCTGAACAAGGATGGATCTAGCGCGAAGAGATATTTTTCTCAAAGACAGTCACCCATGTTGTTACAACGCGTTCTGTCCCTAATGAAGCGACGGCTTCGAGTTCGGCAGGTCGAAGCCCACCCAAGGCTGGTCGTGACGGGACTGTTAATCCTGTGTACCTGAAAAAGGCTGGCACCACAGCGTACGTGATGAATCAATAGAAGTGAGCGTCACTAACATGGAATAGTTTGCACCCAAACGACATCTTATTACGCGCAAAAGAGATGGGGATCAAGGTCTGGGGATTGGAGAAATTACAACGCATGCTCAACACAATGTTCAACGCCGAGACTGGTGAAGCCCCGGTCGCCCCGTATCGTAGTTCGGCTGTCACTCAGAGCAAAGCAAACCAGCAAGCGCAGCTGAGCCAGATGCTGCAGAAGGAAAAGGAATATGGACAGGCAAGCATGGATTGGGCTGCAGATATGACGGCGTTCCGAGGATACTATATTTATGTCCACGACATGGACGAAATGACCAAGCCTATCATGGTTCGCGACTACTCCAAGCCAGCAACCAAAGAGCAAGGCAAATGGCCACAGCTTCGCGTGAATGCGCCTGGGAGGTGTCCATTCTTGGATGATCCGAGCGCAAGATATGAGCGGCCTGCACCAGCACCTGACCAAGACAAGGCACCTCGAACGCGTGCAGCTACCGCGCGAGAGAAGACTCCAGCTTTGGAGGAGAGAACTGCTCTGGCGGAGAACAACAATCTCGCACAGCGTCGTCAACGCGAAACAAGTGTACAGGCGGATGAGAAGAGGCCGCCGATGGACCCGCCAAAGACAATTCCCGTAAAAAGGGGCAGTACTGATAACCTGCCACTCTTTGGCTCTGCTCAAGCCAGTCTACGTCAGCACCCGCGTTTTGCGGGCGGAGAACCTGTTGCATCGGGTGTCCAGCAAAGCAATGCCACCTCTGCCATTCGGTCTCAGATGATTTCTTCAACAGCAGCTGCTCCTGGTGGCAAAGCCGGATCTACAAAAGAACTGAACCGTTTACAACGTCAGGTGTTGGAGCGTAACAACTCGGTCAACCCGTACCTGAACAATGACCTCCGTGCTGCCATCAACAACGGAGGACGTGGTCAAAAGCGCAAGGCTCAGGATCCACTAGCTAATATCAAGGAAGAGGACGATACGAGCGAGGCTCCAAGAAAGGATAGTGCGCAACATGCCGCACCAGCAAGAAAGAAGAAAATCGTTGAAAAGGAGATGAAGCCTGGCTACTGTGAGAATTGCAGAGTCAAATTTCGAGACTTTGATGAGGTATGCTACCAATTCGGCACCTGAGTTGAGCAATGACTAAGCCTTGACAGCATGTCGTGTCACGTCAGCACCGCAAATTCGCTATGGATGACAGCAATTGGAAGGAGTTGGACGACTTGCTCAGCCTTTTGGTCCGACCTCTGAAAGATGAGTGAGCGGCAACGCAACGTTCAGGCTTCTCATAATACCGTTATGCTAATACAAAAATTCACGAAGTGAACGAGATGAGCTGAGCTTGAGCTTCTACTACAACGCATTTTGATGGTGTCTTGGAGGACAAAAAAGTCGGAGGAGACCGAAAGTGCTGCATGATTTTAGCAACTCTGAGCTGTACAAAAAGCAATATGGTCTTCCTGCGCAAGACAATATTAGCGCAACTGCGTAGCTTTCTGACAGGACTTAATCAGGACCCTTTTCTTCTTCGAGTAGTCACAGCATTAGCATGATACCTAGGGGGTTCGCATCACATGGGTGTTTTTTGCCAGCTTTTGGAAGCCAGCTTGCTCGACTACCCTTTTTTCAATGTTAAGCATTATAGCATAGTTTTGTGAATAGCGAATACATGTGTATGAAAAATATTCTGTCTTCTGGTTCACTCTTTGTTCTGTAAGGGCTTCAATATAATGATTGCCAAACGACTTGCAAGGAATAAGGAGATTTGACTTTTGTTTCGATTAAGCGTCGTCAATTCAGTTGTCACCCGTGTTGCTAAAGTCGAGTTTGCTTCTACGAGGCTGGAGAATTTCTAATTCAAGAACATTACTTCAAAGGATCTACGATTATCCCTAGGATATCCAGAATATATGTATGAGACGACCACATAACTGGAGTCACACTAAGAATTCAAGGACGTCCTGTTTGTAGATTATTTTTTCAACCTCCATGTCAAATGGACCAAGAACATCTCTCTCCACTTGAAGCGGCGGCGAATTTTGTATTGGGATTTTTTTTTCAGTCACTTGCTTCGTACATATTCTATTTCTCCAACCATCACTGACCAATGCTACTTTGGGAAGTATTGTAACTCCTTGTCACGAAAAGTTTCTTCATTGTCAGCTAAGGATGGAAAATTTATAACCCGTAAGTCAGTAAATACGCCATCATACGAGAATTCGTCTGCCTTCGTAACTTATATGACCTAGCACGACGATTGCCTCAGTGTGCCTTTCGTGTCAACAGACTAAAGATGGAGAAATGCAATGCAAGCATGTGGGGAATCGCGGCCTCAGTCATTCACTTCATCGTTGTGTAACTTAAGTTAGGCACTACAACAAAGCTCACTGTTTCTAAAGTAGCACAAAGAAAAGGCCGAAACAACAAAACGGTTTCTAATTTTTTCTAATATACCTAGACTTAGACGCATTTTATGACAATCCTGTCTTCGGATTCCGTGATTTCTTATCGTACCGTTTCTGGACTGTCATGTCATCGCACTCCGAAGCCGCGACACACTCGCCCCCTCCACCTCTGGATGCGAGTCCTGTGGAAGAAGACCGCTCCGAAGATGTAGAAATCCCACTTACGATGACGGCGTCCGTTGTCTTGACGAGTCTGCCAAAGGACGCGCGGAGCGCACTGAGGGACGCCGGAAGGGAGCAAGACGGAGAGCGAAAAGGTATGGCGCAACCGGCCCGCCGCACCAAGCATCTCTTCATCATTTTCGGCCGCAGAGCCATGTTCCAGAGGCTGCCTCCGAGACGACGATCCAGAGTCGGTGCTGTTGCTGATCGCGTGTTGTGTAGTCACGGTGCATTTTCGTCCCATCGGCTCGGCGCCAACCCTGCCCCCAAAGCAGGTCAAGTCCACCGTGTCGGCGCACCACCCGTTCAGCTTCGTGGTGCGCTTTCTAAGGCGACGGCTGAAGCTCAAGGAGACCGAAAGCGTGTTTTGCTACTTGCACAACTGCTGGAGTCCAAGCCTGGACGAGAGCGTGGGCGTTCTGTGGAATGTGAGTTTTGTGATGCCCGATGCCACCTTTTCAAATATCGGATTAGCACCGATGAACGTCGAACGAAAAGAAACGGGCTGCATCTCTTGAGTTTCAAAGCGCTTTCTTTGCTACGGAGTTCTGACTTCAGGTCTGCAGTGCTTTAAAACGGGCGAGGAACTGGTTGTTAGTTACGCTGTTCATCCCGCATTTGGATGAGCAGTACTTGAATTTGAAACCTGGCACTCAATATGTATGTCAGACCATGGCTTTTCGGTTCAGTGCCTTGTGCTTTTATGCTAATCTCAAATTTCAGGCTGACGTAAAGCGGATACCAAACACTTTTGATGCATTTCCAGGAGCTTTATCAGCTTTGGAATTATGACAGTCAAAATTCCCAGAAGATTTCGGATCTGAAATCAATGTCATTTTCAAAATGGCTCTGAAACTATTCTTCTCCGGTCAAGTGGGCTCTCTGTGTTACGACTTCTGCAGCTCGTCACAGCAAACGTCTCACGGAGCCCAGTCTCTACTTGACTTCATTATTTCAGATTCAGAACTTGACGTATATTTAGATATCTGGGAGTCTACCATATGATGAAGTCAATCTCCAGATAGACATGAGGTTAGGCTCAGCGGTATTTGTTATGTCCCTTTGATTACACTATAAAGGAATTGCATTAGTTGGCTAGCACCCAAGATCGCGAAATATAGTTCTAGCGCTGACGGCCTTTACTTTTGAGGAGTTTTGCACTCCTCATAGCATGGATAAATATTTCTATTCATCTAGATAAGTTACATTGATCGTATCCATGGTTTGCTCTCCGTTGTCTGAAGTTTACACATTTTCCAGGTTAAAAATCAAGTGAGCTGTTGATCAGGATACGTGAGATTCTTACTTTCTGCCACATTCTTATCGCTTACTAGATGTTAATCTTAGTCCCTATATCTAAATCGGACTTATTCTAGAGTACTCTGTATTTGTGGCCGACTGTGGCTAACACCTTGCGTGAGAGTATCAATAAAACCCATGTTTTTGTCTTATTGGAAAAATCTAAGTCGTTGTACTGCTTCCAATTTTCCCTCTCAGAGGCACGTAGAGACATTAATGAAAGTAGATAAATCGCCAGCGTTACTGATAAGACATATATTTTCATAAGTGTCTACGCACTTTGTGTAAATAGTTCATTTCTTGCTTTAGAGCTATTGTGATCCCTTGTTCAATATTACTTGTGCATTCCAACTATCCTTTTAAGCTTTTGTTCAAGAGATGTCATTGACCTCATATTCAAGAAGTTAAATACCGATCCAGCGATTAAAACCAAGTAGAGACCTTCTTAATATCCGAAATAATCATCCAAATCATATTTGAAGCATGTATAAAGCATAACATGGTCCGTATCATTGCTTAAGATACAAGTACGATTTTCCGTATCAAGTACCATCGTAGAGTCATTCTTAAGGGAATAGAATTATAATTGGACATCTTTCTGATATATCTTCCCACATCGCCGCTATTCGAACTAAGAAATCAAGTGACAGTAACAAGACCTGGATTCTTGCTGAGCTCTTTCTCCACATCGTGTTGACTGTTTTCTGAGACGTCTTCTCCAGTGATCGTCACAACCTCCGCTTCCTTATCAAGAAGTTCTCTTTGACTTTCTGCGAACGATTCGAAAGGGCTCTTCTGAGCCTCAAACATGTGAGCGTCTTTGAAAATATATGAGAGTATAGTATAGATGAATGCCGATGAGAAGACAGCAAAGAGCCAACCAAACTGATATAGATGAATCCAGCCCTGGGCAATGTTATAACTTTTGTTGAATTGATATGCCAGCCCAGGGCAGAGAGGCCAAATTGCCATAAAGTATGCCGCATAAGCCTTCCAGTTGACTCCAGCTCTGTACCAGTAATCTGTCGCAGAATTTTGTTAGATCGCAATAGTAAGAAGTAAGAAGTGGTGGATTAGTGCGACATACCTTTCCTGGCCGTATACAACGACAAAACGTCCACATTTCCCTTTCGCAGGAAATAGTCTGTAACAGCGATTGAAGGAATTGCTCCTAGGAAAATACTGTATCCGGTCAAGAAGGTTAGGAAGCTTTTAGCGGTCGCAAGGATATGCCAGGGTTGGATAATAAATCCCACGGTCAAGCCTAGAATCATACCACGGTTGATGTTAAGGTATTTCGGAAGCAGGCACGCTGAATCCGCTCCAAACGAGATGAGATTGGCCGAGAGATTTTTGATTTGCTCGGACGTCGCCATGATGATTGCGAAAAGAAAGATGGCAAAGCGGACACCTCCGTTCCAGTGGTGGTCAAGGATGACACTGCAGATGTCCCACATGTTCCAGTAGGTCTTGCCGTATTTATAGGCAATTGCATTGGTGCCAAATATTCCAATCATGCAGATCACGGTCTTCCAGAAAATTATGGTGAAGAACTGGGACCACAAGGTTGCCCTCGGGCTTCTTGCATACCTGGCGATGTCTGGATTCGAAGCAATCAACGGTGAAAAACTGCCAATGACAGCTTGAACACTGTATACGAAAGCCCATCCTAAATTGGAACCATGAGCAGGATGTGGGGTTGCTGCATACGACGTAGCACCCTTGCTTCCCGCTGCCATGCAATAAATGAAGAATCCGATAGTTACTGGTGGCACAACAATGGCCTTCAAGCTCCACAAATGTCGCATTTTGTGAATCTTAAGGGCCATGACAGGATAGGAACCAAGCCATATTATTAGACATGAGACGAACTTTCTTGTAGTTATCGACGCGTTTGCGGGAAACGTGTTGGGCATGTTATACCATGCGCTTCCGAAGACGCATCTGTGAGGTTGTTAAATTTTTATCCAGAGAATGTGGTGTCATATCATACCTGAAGGCAACATCAAGAAACAAGGAGCTCTGGTAAACCGTGACACCAATCCACAGGATCGCCACAACAGCTCTCGTGAAAACAGGAAACAGAGAGCCATAGAGGCCTGAAAAGATCGAGTTAGTCGCTGTCTAAAATGTACAGACTGCAAAAATGTACGCACCGAAAGATACTCGTTGAAGGGTGGGGAACCCAATGTGGTAGACTGATGACTGCCTGGAATTCAAACAAGTTGCAGCCGCGCTAATAATAGAGGCCACCAAACAAGCCAGAATTGCCTGCCACCAATTCACGTTCAAGCTTAAGAGAGACGAAGCAGTTGCCCATGCTCCGGAAGTAAAGTTGTACGAGTACCAGAGAGCGAAGTAATGGAACCAGGTCCAAGTACGCTCCTTCGGTGGCGTTGGGTCCATATGAGCGTTCGACCAGATGAATCCATAGCTTGATGGCGCAAAGTCCGAAGTCTGGACCTCAATGGCATTTTTGAAGCCCTGCTTCGTTGTGACGGCAAGCTTAGCCTTGCGGGCAAAACCCCTCAGGCCGCCTTTTGTGAACATGATTGTGGTCCAACAATTGATTAGGTAAAGGTTGGCTATTAAAAAACGATAGAGTTGGGGAAGGCCTACGGCGAGGCTGATCTCACCCGGCGTGTCAAGGATTTGGTCTGCGCGAGAACAGACGTGATCAGGCTGTCTCTGTCCTTCAGACAGGCGAGATCACTGGTTTGAAATAGCACGTCCATTATTTGAGGTTATCAATTGAGAAATGTTTGGCGTAGATCTCGATTAGGCTTAAGGGCGGGCTGTTCCACATCCCATCCATGATAGAGAGCCTTATCAAACGATATGTCTCTTCAGAAGAGCGTCCAGACCAAGCGCCAAGAGGACGGGGTTATAAGGAAGCAGGAATCCGAGCGATAAAGAGATAGATATCAAGACTTTTGACAGCGGGCTTGACGGATACCAAAGGGATGACGATAGTGCTTTGCAGAAATTCGGCCGAAAATGCGATAGTCGGGAACCATTTCCGATGGCGGACCTCGTCATATCACACACATTCTTCCAGCTTGAATAAACTTATTTGCCTTTCATTTGCATATTGGATGTTCTGGATCATGATACTACTATTGTTTGACTGGCCAATTCTTGGATTATTTTATATACGAAAAAAGATGTCATTAGCTACTGCTCTTTCAGTCGAAATTCTTTTAGAATAAACCTACTCGTTGTTTGGGACTTCAATAAGCTAGCTACCAACGAGCACTCCTGAATCATTTGAATATTGTAAAGCTATTAAGCTCAGCGTCTTTCGTCAATTGAGAGCAAAACGACTGATTATACTTAAATGAAGCTACACAAGCTAATATCTCTAATGCAAAGTGAATCACTTTCAGATCATCTTGAAGATGCTCAAGTATCTGGGGCTTTATTCTCAAACCATATACTTACAGTTCACAACAGAGATTTCAGAGATTTCTCGAAGTTCGCTGTAATTTATAATTTGGGGCTATAGGATGGCGGCGAAATCACGTAGTAAAAGTGGTTCAATGCTTGGTCTTTAATTTAAGCGCTGCGATAACTTTCTCTAATGCCATTAATTTTTTACTGCCCTATTGCCCATCCAAATGCCTATTGCAAATATCTCGCCATGACCTTACATGGTTGGGTGGTCGCTGGCAGCGACGTTGCATTGATGCATTACTCTCGGTCCGTACGACTTAGGAAACTCAGTCTGCAAGTAAAAACCACGGGTCAGCGTCATTTTTGCCCATTTTATCATTTGAAGAAAAAGAGGGTACCTACGATGCTGTGCCACAAAGCTCTGTTGTACCAGAGAATGACGTCCTGCTCCTCATGTCGGTGAGCGTATATGTATTCAGGAGACAGCACAGGTCGCATGAGCCTTTTGAAAGCAGTTAACAAAAGATTGAATGCACGTAGATCAAATGACGGATAGATCCACACTTACTTGTGCATGAAAGCTCGGACTTCTTTGAGATCGTCCACAATCTTCTCTTCTCCGTCCGGAATATCCTTCAGATACAGCTTGAAAGCACCTTGGCCATGCACTTGCAGCGACTTTTCTCCCGTTTTTGGGTTCGTCCAGACCATTGGATAAATGCAAATTTTTTCTGGGTCCCACGGGGGAAGCTGATCGAGTGGCTTCTCCAACCCCTCTGTTTCGATTAGATGCCCTAGTCGTGTGCTGCGTGCTGTTGACATCCAAACAAATGCATGTGGGGCATATTCAATCCTGCTATGCATTACAAGCCTCCTTGTCTCCTCATCTAGCAACTCTAAGGCTTTGGAACCTGCTACCATTGCAGTGGCACCAGGCGCAATCTTCATCTCTGTGCCTGTGCCATCATCCCACCTTACAGTTACATCTGGGCCCTTGGGTGTACGAACTGCAAGAAGACATCCAACACGAGGGGGAGGAATGTTGTAAAGCGAACCGTCAAAGTGCCACTGGTAGAATCTGCTTGCCCCTGCCTCTCTTTCTTCAGAAGGAATATGAGGTGGCAGATGGAACTCTTCGTGATCTATGCCCTGTATCTCAAAATCCGGGGGAAACCCGTAGTGGTTCTCGGGTAGTTGACCTCGACCCAGAATGTGCACTTGCGGTTGGACTGGTATGGCAGGACGTTTTGGAATACCGTAGATGTCGACTCCATTGTAAGATGTCAGGAATGGGTCTACGCCGTGCGCAAAACCTCCAGTCTTTTCATCGGGGTCAAAGCTGGATGTTAGAAGATATTGTTGTTGAGGCTTCAACATCTCAGGCTGCTCTTTGAACACCAAGAGTTTGTGTTTGTGAAGAGCATCAGAAATGAATTCGAAGTCGGCTTTGGTGAAGTTGTTTAGGTCAATCCCATAAACTAGCGCTCCGAAGTCAACTTTACTTCCGGGTGCGTGCTCGATAGGAACCAGTCGGCCCTTGGTGGTGGTGCCATGGGGAAGCTCAACCTTCACCCTCTGTAGAACGGGGAGCTGAGTAGGATCTTCCGTGACAATAGCGGTGATGGTCATTTTGCAGAGCTAGGGATGCCTTGAACCATAGAATATGACATCTAAATTATTGATGAGATTAGTACGTGCATCGCTTTACTTGAAGGGTAGCGGCTATGCATATTAAACTGCAAATATAACTGAAGCCAAAGCAGCTATCTTTTGCGCTAGAATCGTCCAGTGGCGCAATTTTGTGTCTCACTGATGGCGAGACCAAGCCTCGGCCGAACCGACTTTGATCTTTGGACGGATTTGGTGTTGAAGCATTTGATCTCTCGGCCGAGGGGTCGGGTTTGCAAATATGACGCAAAGTATAGGAACAGGATTGACTTGACCCGAGATGCAACTACTGCATAATATCATCACTGCTCCTTGCGCTGCATTCGTTGCAGATATTCAAGGAGCGAAGCAGGTTTTTCGGGCATATTTCCAACCATGGCCACGCCTTTGTTAAAGTCCAAATTTTTCAACACATCCAGCAACACGAGAACACACTATCTGCAGACTGGTGATCCGAACGGAAAACTCGTGATTTGTCTTCATGGTCTAGGTGGTTCTGTAAATACTTTCAAGCCTCTGGTTCCATATCTTCCAAAGGAAAACAACATCATCCTCGTCGACTTTCAGGGCTTTGGGCAAACACCTCTGACTTCAAGAACTGAACCGCTTTCGATATCCGGCCATGTCTCCGACTTACACGATCTTGTCACATTTTTGCAAACAGATGGTAATGGCAACTCGAAAGGAGGAAAGGTAAGCATCGCAAGAACAACACAGAGAATACACAAGGGAGGACATGATGACCGACTGCAGATTTCCAAAATTCAGATCGTCTTCATCGGTCACTCACTCGGAACCATGGTTGCCCTCCACTACGCTGCAAAGTACCCGTCCAGCGTCGCAGGACTCGCGCTCCTCGGCGTCGGCCGATCCGCAGCTCACGTACCAGCAGTGCGGCAACGCATGCTCGACGTAGCTGCGAATACACGCAAGCATGGCATCGAGTTCACAGCGGAGAAATCGGCCCTTGGTAATTTTCCGACGCCAGAACAGCGCGCCGTCCCTCCCGAACACTTCGAAGAAGTACGGCGGGCTGTCGCCGCCTCTGATCCGGAGGGGTACGCACGAACATGTGAGATGGTTGTCGATCCATCTCACGTCGACCCTGACTACTCGAAAATCACTTGTCCAACTGTTTTAGTCGCTGGAGACATGGACATTATTAGTCCACTTCAGAGATCTGAGGATATCAGCAAACTTCTGGGTGGACCGGCTTGGGTAAAAATAGTGGAGAGTGGTCATCAGCCCTTAATTGATGCAACCGAATCGACATCGTCTGCTATTTTGCAGCTTTTGGGGAAAACTTAGAAAGTGCTGTGCCAGATTGTTCTTAGATTGGAGCTAGTACACAGGAAACGTTTTGGCAACGCATCAATGATGGTATTCATCACGTCGGAGAGTTAATCTTGATATCTTGTCATTGGTGTTCTCATGAAAAGTCATGATTAGCTAAGAACAGCAGATTATCAAAGGCTGTAGCTGCTTCGAGACCGGGTGGAAAAAATGAAGCGTCGTTAGCCGGATGCTGGCCTGGGCGTAAATCAAGGGAGCCAGCCGTAATCAAGCCCATTTCTGACGCCATAAGTGCCACTTCTGAGTTAGCAGAGGCCGAAAGATAACCTGAATAGTCTTTAGGGGTGTTACTGAGAGCCGTCAAATAATTCTGTCTCTTTCCATTGCAAAACGTTTTGATAAATGTAGAAACGCTGAAACGCCGGCCACGTTTCCTGAAGTCTTCAACAGCGTCAAGTTGTGATTGGGAATCTTCGTGTCGCCGCTTGCGACTGTTCGAGCTATCACCTACGTTAGGAATCTCGTCGAAAAGTGCAGATAGGAGTTCTATTCCTCTTGTGGCGATCATGCTGTTCTGACATTGTCGCAAGATCGCCACGGTATCTTCAGCAAGTTGCTTGTGTTCGGCGTATTCAAACTCTGCCGGACTGCGATGTAATACATCCAAGATGAGGATTATTGACGCGGCAACAGAGAACGCCTGATGTACCCAAAATGTTGGCTCGTCTTCATTGACGGCTAATTTGTATTCCTTGATGATGGTTTTTGCTGCTGCTAGGCATGTTCTGCGCGTGAACGAAAACGCGGAGTTCGTGAAACTGTCGGAGAGGAATGACCGGTGAATCATGATGATCTTGTGAGCGGAAGTTATAGCAAGTGATCGCCTCGCCCAAGGAATGTAACAGGGCCACCCAGGGTCGATCGGAACATTTTGGAGAAAGGCCGGTCTTTCAGTTGAGAAGATTCGCATCTGCTTGTCCCACTTTATTATTTGTTCATACTTCGTAAACGGCGTGTTGCACGAAGTAAGATCATCTTGCAGCTGAGGCATGATAGAGGCGATGCGAGTCAGAAGTCGGCAGTAGGTGGTGATTGTGGGCTCAGATTCTGGAAGCTGAATCATGTCCTTATCGTGACAGTTCATCGGAGGATCCGAGATCGAGTAAGAAGGATTGATAAGATAGGTATCGGAGAATGGAATGCTGAACCAGTCCTGACAGCAGAGCTGAGACCACAGCCGACGTCCGCACTCCTTATCCACCGCAGATCCGGGAGACTGATCTGTGATGCGATGCAGGCCAAGACCTTGGGCTATACGAATAACAGTGGCAAGATGTGTCGAGTGCGTGTTCGAGAAGCCGAGTAGGTGGGCAGAAATGGTCAGTGTAGAAACGGCTTGGACAGACAGCACAGATTGGTTTGCCGCATATTCAGCCGCATTTAAGCACGTATATACAGCACGAAACCACCTCTTAGAAAGAGTTTCCCTCTCGCGGAGCCGGAAGCCCCATGTCGCCGTCTGCTGGCTCGATGCGCAAGTTATGCTGCCGGTAATCACTGCAAAGAACAGGGCAAGCCACTGCAGGTTGAGTCCCGGGCTCTGAACGCTGCCATCGAAGCGATCGTAGAACACGTTCACCTGATTTCGAAACGTCGGAGCGAAATAGGAGCAGTGGTACCAGAGGAGTTTCTCTTCGTGGTAGCGGACAAGCTCCAAGACCTGCTTCTTTTCTGGGAGCAACAGTTGCAAGACTGCCAGCTGTGCTTCGTTGTCGTTGTCAGATGGCAATGAAGACGCGGGCTGAGTATCGCCAATATCCCGAGATGAGGGTCCAACGTCCGCGCTCGCCTCTGGAGATATCACCGAGTTGTAGTCCGGATTCTTCCTCCTCCCCCATGCCAAAAACTCAAGGATCGACGCTGCGTCTTTTATGACTGGGTCGGAAGGGTCGTCCTGCTGCCTCTCCTCTTCCACTCTCTCAGAGGCAGGAGTTTGGCCATATGCAAATGAGTTGGCATTGGCTTCCACTCTATCCGGAGTTGGCTGTTGTCGGGAATCTCCTCGATTGTCTTCGGATGACAGTCGCCTATGTTGAAGCTCCGACTCTAACTCGAATATCCGCGAGCGAAGAGCGTTCACTTCTTGCTGGTCGGCTGCCGTTGCACGAGGCGTGTCGATGGGATGTGCACGCTGGGACTGGGACCGCAGCGGCGTGGTAAGCTCGGACGAACAGGAATCCTGCTCGCCTCTTTCGACAGCTGGTCAGCGTTTCACGTTCTTCGTGCCCAGCAATTATTACAGCAGATGATCGAAGGGCGGTACCTTCGGACGCAATTAGTACATGGTACTGTTTTTGAGCACTTGACTTTGCGACGAGTACATGACGCGCACGCGTATCTGGCTCGATGCGACGACATAATTTACGCACGGCGACGAAGAGAGACAACTAGGAACAATCACGACACGAATGGGCAAGCCGAAGCTTTTACTCGTTATACCTCCCATGACAGCATAAAGGCCTGCAAATCACCTATCGTTACCAGTTGAGGCTGTTCGGGTAGATAAAAAAGCACCATTACATTCTGGTACGTGACCAAGGCCGATTGGTAATGCAAAGCAGATTATTAGCGGCACCACAGCATTTTGCGCTGTGATCCGTCGGCCGAGCAAAAGGCCTAATCTGTGGTAGTTTACTCCAAGCGTAAGCATTCGCCATGCGCTAGTGATAAGCTACAGTAGTATCAACCAATCAGGCTTGATGAATTTCCTAAGATAATGTCGCATCATGAACCTCTCGTAGCCCTAGCATTGGAACCTGTGAACCGCGGTCGACGTTTCTGTATTGCTATCATGTTCTACCAGTTACAAGGATCAGAACGGATCCGCCGCTCTAAGCAGACACCGGGATCGGGACTGGTCCGACGGGGCCCTTGCTGGCTCCAATGTTCGCTTGGTGCATCGTCCGTGATCCGAGTGAAATAGGATAGTCGACGGCTGAGTGGAACATTTGGTAGTTTGCCCACATGACGATATCGCCTTCCTCTACCTTGGGGAGCAAGATGTATTCAGGCTTGAGCACTCTCTCTTGAATCGGCTTCAGGAAAGCCCGGATCTTCAGGACGTCGTCAATCACCGTGGGCTCCTCGTCAGGAGAAGAGCGGATGAAGAGCTTGTAAGCGCAGATACCGTGCACCATGAAGGCTTTCTCGCCCGTGACGGGATTTACCCAAACCATAGGGTATCTTTTCACGTCCTTGGGGTCCCACTCTCCTAGGTCTTCGATCTTTTTCTCTTTTCCTTGACTCGCAAGCCCAAGGCCGTTGGAGTTGCCTTTGCAGTCTCCGATCCACTGATAGGGGTACGGTGCGTACTCTACCCACGAGTGGTCTGCCATCTTCTTCTCCTCCTCAGTCATCAGCTCATACGTCTGAACATTGCTGAAGAACGCCGTTAGCCCTGGTTCCGTCTCGAGAGTCTGACCGGTTCCGTCATCCCAATGAATCGTAATTTTGGGTGACTTTGGCCGTTTGATGCAGCGAAGCGTGGTAAACCACGCCGGGTCGCGGGCATATAGGGGAGCATCAATGTGCCAGCGGTGGAAACGTGTGTGGCCGGCGTTGAATTCGTCCACCGGTATGTCTACTGCGTGGAAGTGATGTCCCAATCCGCGTTTGATTTCTACGTTTTTTAGACCGTAGTGGTCTTCACCTTGGAATCCTTTGCCGATGAGCCGAACATTCTCAGCTCCTGGAATTCCATAAACTTCACGACCGGCCTGCACGGGCTCTTCAGTGTTTGTGAAGAGCACCCGGTGAAAAATGGAGCACTTACGGACAAAACACCACCCTTTGCAGTGAATGTTTTCATATCGCCATGAGAATGCACTTGTGGTGCCTCCGGATCGAATCTGGTCACAAGTTCCCATTGCTTGATAGGGGCAAGATTCTTTTGGCCTCTGACCACGAGAACTTTGTGTGTCCAGATCGCATCGCTGAGATGTTTGACATCCTCATCTACATGAGTATATTCAGCCTGTGCCTTTTGATTACAAAAATAAGATGACAGAACGCACCACTTATGTCATTCAAATCAAGCCCCTCTACCACCGCGCCATAATTATACTTGGCCCCTGGGGCTTTTGGGATAGGGGCGATCTTGAAACTTGGCTCGGGAAGCAGTTTACCTGGGGACATTCTGAATTCTGTTCCGGCGACTCTGAGCAAAAAGAAAATTATTCCAGACTTTGTCTAGATAAAAAAGAAAACACGACAAATCGCTGTTGATAACTGGAGTATTTGAGTTTCCGCCGCTTTTTGCTGTTCACTCGCTACTCCGCCATACCCGAGATCAGATATATCTTCAGCGTACGTACACAAGGCACTGCACCTGCAATCGCGATATCCGTATCATGGCTTCATTTGGAGCTTCGCACCAAGGGTATGAAAGTTCGGCCGATCAAGGATCAGCCTAGGGTTCGCCATGCGCGGGAACCAGCGTTGTCGCTCAAAAGCAGTTTGGATGCAATCCCTGCTTTCCGGCCGACAGATAGTTTTACAGTAGCGCCGCGTCAGGTGAAGTCCGACGCCTGTATGCTCCCGCGAGCCGCTGTTTCGCCTGCGCAAAAGCGCGGCCGCGTGCTATCCAAGGACTGGACGGCACGTTGCATTTTGTCGATTTCTGAGAGTGTTTCTATTGGCTCGGACGGTGTTTGTCGTCCTGATCCATTCCAACCGAGCGGATGTGCCCCTTCGCGCAGGAATTACACATGCGAAGACCAAGCTATCATAAAGCACGGCCGAGACAAAAGTCGAGACGGGTCCGCCGAGAATGAGAAGAAAAAGTCGTAGATGCGATTGGTGCTGTTGCCGATTCTGAGGCAGTCAGAAGATCTAGAAATATAAGGCCCGATCGGCGAACGGAGGCGTTCGTCTCTGCTTTTCCGCGTTCGATCTTCGAAAAGAATTTTGGCTGGTAGATCGTGAGGATGACGGCCTGTGTGATGCGATTTGCAGTCCCGCCCGAGAGGCTGGGCCACGACGCGTCCCGATACATGGAGCCAGATGTTGGGCCGACGTGGCCGCAGGAAGCGCACGATGTGCGACTCATCGACTTGAAGCCTGAGCTGGAGGACCCCGCGAAGGCCAAGTCGCTGATGGAACAGCTCGAGACGCGAGGCTTCGCCGTGCTCAGGAACCGCAGCGCGACGCTGGGCTCCCTCGCATCCCAGGCGGAATGGAACGCGGCGTACCTCGAGGAGACGGCCGAGTAAGCGGCAGACACGATGGCCTGTGGCGCGTTCGCCCTGAAGCTGACTCGGGAGCAGGATGGTGAAGGAGAAGTTGGGCGCCGACGAGGTCTTCGTCTGGAACTCCGTCACCCGGTCGGCCAACCCGGACGTGAACACGCCGTACGGGACCAACCACTTTCAGGAAAAGGCCATCAAGGGCCTGCAGTTCGGCACGACGATACGCCCCGTCGCCTCGGGCGCGCACGTCGACCAGGACGCTGCCAATTCGCGCCGGATGTGCAAGGGGGCGGCGGGTGACGACGTCTTCGAGAAGTTCGCGAGGGTGCAGCAGCTCAACGTGTGGCGTCCGCTGAAGGGCCCGGTGACCTGCAAGCCGTTGGCCGTGTGCGACGGATCGACGCTGCCGGCGAAGTCGACCGGAGTCCACATGGGCATGTTCGGAACCAGAGTTGTTGTACACCACGACGGTACGTAGCCGTGTCTGTCTCGTGCCAGCCGGATGACGATGATGACGATGCTTACGCGTGATTCCTGTAGACGCTCAGAAGTGGTACTACATAAAGCGACAGATGGCGGATGAGGCGTACATTCTGAAGATCTACGATTCAAAAGTCCTTCCTGGCCAAGCCGAGTTCACGCCGCACACCGGTGTCGACAACCTCAATGGCGCGGACGGACCAGAGGAGCCCCGAGAGAGCATAGAGGTCCGAGTAGTGGCATGCTATCGGTAGATGCACGAGGGGCCTTTGTTTCCATTCTCTGGGCCAAAGCCCCGACCTTGTCTTCAGTACTGGTTTATCAAAATGGCAGCAAATTTTGGAGGCTGAATGACCTTGGCATCAAGATCGATCTTCTACACACAGAGGGCACAAATTGGTATGTGGATATCATAATATATATAGAAGTGGTTAGCAGTTTTACAGGCACGAATACTATCTGGGGTGCCTATCGCGTGCTACGATATACCTGAGATCCTTTGAGGCCAAACCTGTTGCATCTCTTCTTTTACGTGTCAAAAAACTTCCAACATCTTTTCACAAGTCCTGCTTAGTGTAGATGCTTACTGTGCGGCGCTTCGTATGTCATAGCTAGTGCTTTTGATTCCAAATGTTACATGTCGTTCTTGAGCTCATCAAGCTCCTTGCCCTTTTCACCTTCGCGCCCTGATCTGCCAGCCACCGTCTTGTTGACATGAGACGTAAAATATTTGTTTATGTCGGTGACGAAGAATGAAGCAATGAGAGCCGAGCCTCCAAATGCGAGACTGCTGAGATAAACGGTGGAGAGGCTGGCGGCATAGGCACTCTTATGTCCAGAGCCGATCGCGGTCAAGATATTCGCGCTCATTCCTGGCACCTGCTCGAATGCAGCCGTGGTGTCGTTCGCCAAGGAGTTTAGAAGTGCGGTTGAGCTTGAGCTTGGCAAACCTGCGTTCAGCGCAAATTCCAGGACTTTTTTGGGAAGGTTGGTGGCAAGTCGCCCGTCATATATTGCGAGGTACACAGAAGCTTTGCAAGAGATTAGCTCCTTTCATCCAAGATGAGAAGATGGAACCTACTGGCAACTGTGCCCGTGACAGCTCTTGTAGAGCTGAAGAACGTCTGCGCCACACCGATTTCTTCGGGAGGACAAACTAAACCAGCCATAACAATACAGATGAGTTCGATCCAGCCCACGAAGAAGCCGGACATGATTGTGCACTGCGAATTGTAAGTGGACGATGTCGCGAGAGTTCAACTTTGATTCGCTTACTCCTATGGCAAGACCTTCACGATGCTCATTCGCTGCCGCCATCAGCCCACCAAAAACACATAGTCCAACAACAGCAACAAGCAGCTGGATTTTGATGTGTCCGATGCGTTTTAGCAAAGGACCCATGGCGATTTCGCCGACCGCAAGAGCAACACCTGTCGTACACTACGATTGACTTTAGTTTCTCACCTTGCAAGGCAATCGCTATGGACTTCACTTACTCCAAGCCAACCAACGGTGATCACATTGGTTGAATAGAGCAATGTGGATTGCGTAGGCCACAGGACGTTGAATGCGTAATACGTCATCTGGCCTATACTTCCTACGACGACAGCGATGCTATAATTTCGGATCTTGAAGAGAGAGACTGGCAGTAGCGGCTGAGCAAGAGGCATAAATGTTTCTGGAAAGACGTTTTAGTCAGACCCGTCAAGCTTGGCACAACTCATCCGTACCGTAAGCGAAGAAGGCCAAAAGGACGACGCAGCCGACAGTAAGAAGGGCTACAATTTTTGCAGAACTCCAAGGATCTTGCTGCCCGCCCCATGCTACAACGTGAAGTTAGCGATATGTGTCGACCATGACGTTGTGTCGATACGTACTGAGCGCCAACAACAAACATATGACACTGCCGGCGTAAATGACGAATCCGAAGTAGTCGATCTCTTTGGCTTGCTGCCAAGCCGATTTCCGACGTTGGAGTTCTGAGAAGTTTGGAGGGTGATAGAACACAAAAAGCAGCGCAAGGCCGATCCCGTTGATGATTGCAGCCACCCAGTACGTCCAACGCCAGCTGCTGCTCTCTATGATGGCGCGACCAACAATCGGTCCGAACCCCAGACTTGGAAGGACGGCCATAGTAATAGCACCCTGGGCCCAGCCGCGGTACTTGTTCGGCACAATCTCCATGACAAGCAAAGGGTACGTCAGCTGGCAAGCCGCTCCAATGCCCGTGAATACGGATGCACCGACCAGCATCTGGACGTTCTTCGAAGAGCCTCCTAGGACTGAGCCGACGACTCCAAAGATTTGGCCGCCGATCAAGAACCAGCGGCGGCCGACAATATCGCTAATCGATCCAACAAGCAGATTGACAACGCCTTGACATAAAGTGTTGATAAGAGTAACGAGAGAGATATCCGTCGACGTCCCTGCGAGATCGTCAGCAAACTCCGTACACGTCAGTGCTTCAGTCAAGCCGTACCAAGATCCTGTTCAATGACGCTCAAAATGTTGACCGGAATGGCGTAGCCAAAGAACAAGCTGTTGGCCACAAAAACAATGGCGGCGCAGGAGCCCAAGAAATGAGGCGTGAACCAGTAGGAAGCATCGATGTGCTCAGCGTGAACGCCCGTCCCCCTCCGCGGATCCTCGTGAGTCTGCGTAGCGATGTCGTCTACATGGCGCGTGTCGCCAACCTGCTCGATGTCGACTTTGTCGACCATGCTGGAAGAAAGAAGAAAGGGAAGAAAAATGACGGGCCCGACGGATCGGCGGCAGAAAGCAACGAGACTCGAGGGGCAAGAAGAACACGGATGACAGGATAAAAGAGATTTCTTGAGCTGCGAAGTCCCCACATTGCGGACGATACGCGGGTCGCCCGCTCTTATGAATTGCAGGCTGGATAGTGTACGCGCAGGATATGCCAACGCGAGCCGGGGAAGCTCGGCTACGCTTTTCATGCACGCAGGTCTAGTTCTAGCTGTGCACCACAGAGCCTCACAGAACGGCGAGCGCCCTAAACGCGCGCGAGCGTCTAGGGGTGCGTCCGGAGAAAAGGAATAAGATCTGCGTGCTATGCGTCCCTTTTGAGGGGAAATAAAAAACGAAGAACCCCAAGGGCTCAAACCGTTGTTCGCATTTCCCGGGACCAAGGAGGCCGGCAGCGTGCGTGCTGTTTCTGCGGCGCGCTGTGGGCGGGACCCGCGGCCGGGGGATGACGACGTTGCCCACTGCGACTACCCGCGGGGCTCCGCGCTGTGGGCGTCCGCACAAACGCACGTCTGCCCACTGTCAAAGCGCCGCCCCGCTGGCTCTTTTGGGCGCGCTCTGCTTGAAAAGGCCCCGTTCGACTCTGGCCGGCCGCTCCACACACAATCAGGCTCCGCTGTCGACGTCTTCCTTGTCGCGGGACACGTCCCTGTCGCCCGCTCAGCCAGGAAAACATTAACCAGAGATCGCCGCGAGCGTCGCGTCGAGCGTTGCATATAATATCGTACACAGTTATTACGCGCGAGCGAGTCATAGTCGATCCGTTTCTTGTGCTTGCATGACTGGTGCATAAACGTCGCCTATCCGCAGATTCCTTTTCGTTCTGCGACCAGTGTGTCAGAACCAGGGCAGATATATTCTATAAATATATATTTAGAGAAAGAGAGAGTGAGGGAGAGAGAGAGAGAGAGAATAAGAGAAAGAAAAAAAATCCAGAGAGGGAAAGAGAAATAAAAACTGGACAACCCACCTTTCTGCAAACATCGGTAAGACACCAAATCCAGAAACAAAAGAAAAAGAAGCGGGGCATAGAAAGAACCAAAAAAGTCGTCTCCCCAACTTTCTGATCAGGCGGTCTCTGTACTCGATTCGATTCGAACATGCGTTTTGAGCCTTGCGCGAGAGGCGGCCTCTGATCCCGCATCGACATGGTGACTGCTCAGCTTGGACGCTTACGCTTAGCACCGGCTAGCATGGCTGACGAGGTTGCCAACTGAGGTGTACACCACCCGCTCCGAACGTGGCAGAAATTAGCACGCTTTTCCAATATATCCTCGTCCGCGCCCGGCCCCCGAGCGAGGGGGGGAAAAAAAATAAGGGGGGAGGCGGGGAAGTTAAAAGAGAAGAGATGATGAGAGAGAAGGGACTTGGCTGGCTGCTTTGTCCGGCGCAGGAGCGGCGTTTTGAGTCGCTCATCGCCAGTTTTCCAAACGAGAGTTGAAATGCACAAGCGCCCTCGTGGGCAGAGCGTGCTCGTAACCGACTGTTTGAGTTGCGTGCTGACGTCTTGTCCATTCTGCTTTCTTGCAAGGACAGGGCGTGGTTCGAACGCGGCACCATGGAGGACATCCCATGCCGGGTTCGCACGGAGACGGCTCTACATCAACGTCGGGTCTGGAAAACGAACAACGCATTCCGAGCGTCTCCCGAGAGGTTTCCCATCGCGTCCTGATAGGTTTGTGGGGGGGGGGGGCAAAAGAGGGAACGCTCGACACTAGACGTGATTAAACGGATCTTGTCATGGAAGAATGGACGATTTGCGAATGCGGAATATGGGTTGAGAATCAATTGAAAGAATGAGACAATACATACTACAGCCCTTGTGTCTGATCGGTGATAGCCGAAGTGTAGTCTTGAGCCAGGCCATCAACTCCATCCCAAGTTTCAAATCATGCCCCCAAGATACCACTTGATCGCCCTTGGGCCAAAAGTGTAAGTGGTGATTGCGCCAAGAGTAAACGCCATGTTGTGCGGCCAGAACCATTTGTCTTCACACCTCCTCCATATTCCCCGCGACTTCGTCATCAGCATCTTCATCCTCGTTATCACTTAGCGAGCCGACGGAGGACATCGCATCCTCGCTCTCGCTGTCCTCTCCCGCCTCATCTGCGTGCTCCTTCGTTGCATATTTAAGGACGTATTCTGCACACATGTGGTCAGACTAATAATAAATAAAAAAAAAGCAAACCATAACATGGGTACTCTCGTCGAGAGTATAGGGGAGCACTTGCCCTTGACCTTTGCGTCGTACGCTTTCGGCTCACGCATCATTAATGCCGCGGCCTCTCCGTTCAGCGGGTCCGTCGGGTTCGGGTAGCGCAGGAGTTGTGGGAGGAAGACCTCAAAGATGTTGATCATGTCGTACATGGGTGACCACGTCTGATTGATGACGTCGAGACAAACAGATCCGGACCTGTACAAAGAAGCTCAGCCACCATTTCGCGCAATATTTCTTATTCTTGTAAAGATTTATTTTCGTGAGTGTCAAGACGTACAGCTCATCGATATTGGGATGGAAAATGCGGTTTACGAAGCCAATGCTCGGGGACTTGTACGGGTATTGATCTGGAATCTCGACATGAATCTTCCAATTGCCACCTGCGAAGGGTGCTGCGGCGTCTCGTCAGTTTCGTTCATCATACTCGCAGTTCACTTGGCACGTTTGCTGCGAAGCTGGGTGTCCGAGACGTACTTTCGGCAGGACCCTTGAATCGCACATAAAACTCTTGCCTGCATCTCCGTCAGTCATAGATCGATACGGATGACCGTCGGAAAACAAACACTGCGAAAACAATTAGCCATTGCTGAAAGCAAGAACGTGCCAATCTTACTGTTGTCGTTGACTAATGTCACCTCGTAGTCGCTCATCAGCATCCTGTGCGTTACAATGTCAGCTCAGGCTCGTAGACTGGTGACAGCAGTCGTCGGCAGATGTTTGTTCGTAGTGACAGTTGATCAACAGATTCTCCATGATGAGAGCTTGCAGCGAAAATCCGTCACACGTATTTTCTGCTACGTCCTGCAGAGAACATTTGAACGTACTTCATGACCTAGCAAACGACATTGTCAGCTCTTGCATCATGCCATCGTGTGTTCTCGGAGCGATTTGGGTATCATCAGACGTCCTGAACTTCCAACGCAGCAAGCTCTTGTCTCATTAACTCTGTCGCGCCGAGCGTTCCGGGCGCAAAGCCGTCGGCCGTTGGTTTGACAGCTCTCCAACACAGAGCTTGCCGTGAGAGGAGGGCATTGCGGTGCGTGACAGGTATTTGCAAAGACATCAAGCACGTACATCCATTTCTATCCGGCGTTTCGGGCTTGACATCTTGCTCTCTGCTTCCTTTTCTCTGCTCGAGTGGTTTTCGTGCTTGCTCTCGAAGTGTGCCACCAACGATGTTGTGCGAAGATAGCTCTTTGCGCCAGCCGATGCGCTTCTGTTTGCGGGCGTTCCCAGTCACGCTGCCGACTTCCAAGACGTGGAGATGGCGAGTGAGGAAGGAGGCTTGGCTGAGCAGGTTCTGCGGAGCCGGCACCCGACTTTCTCGTCCTGGATGGGCAGTGTCAATTGCTCGCCTGGTGGGCTTTCGCCGTACACGGCTGGATCGTGCGTACCGACTTCCTTCGACTGGTCTGAACCGCTGGCGCTTTCACAATCGATAACGCCGTTGAGGGGTGGGGAGACGATTGCAGTCGGTGCTGATAGCGTGGATGAGGAGCAAGGATGCTGGCAGGGTGGTGTAAGTCAAGGGGTCGGAGGGATGTGCGATGTCGTGCGGGAGAGGAGTGGAGGGCATAAGCTGTAGAGCGGACGAGAGACGAAGCGTGGTAGTTACAAGTCAACGGGTCACGCGTTGGGGATAGCGATCAGTTTTCCCGCCGTTTCCAGCGCCTGCGCTCCCCCACCCGGCGCCACGCTCCAACGACCGCCGCGGATTGCGTGCCAGCTGCCTCCGTGCCTGTGAACATGGCGTCACTGGACTGGTCCGGAAGATGCGAAGCGACGCCAGCCGCAAGCCAATCGCTGCGGGGCTCAGCCTTGCCAAATCGAGGCGTCACCGCATGCGAGAATGGCGGCGACGAGCTCTGGTACTCTCTGCTGCGTCTGCTCCTGTGCGCCTGCGGTGCCGTGCTAAGCCGGCATCTCTCACAGATCCCACGGCTCTGACAGCTGGGTTCCCATGCGCCGTGGCTGTCCACCGGTTCTCAGCCGTCGAGCAGCCTGTCGGTGTCGTCGTCGCTTGAGCCGCGCACTTGCACTGCTTTCACGCTCAAAGATCAGAGTCCAAACCTCGTCATCTCATCCGTCTTGCGTCGTATTCCAACGTGTTCAATTTGCATCGGCACGAACGTCGCCGTGACTAGGCGTCCCTTTCGCTCTTATTTTCTCCACAGGCACGCGTCCTGCTTCTGGACGTGGGCACAACGTTAGAGAACTACATCATCTAGCACGCATGCTCTGCACCGAAGCAAAAGCCTGTTCGTCCCACGCCAGCCCACTTCTTGAACGACGACGAGACCGTGTCCCAATGCCGAATCTTCCGCAGCGTCACGTGCCCGCACGGCGCAGTGCCAATGTACCCCTCCTGCGCTGGCCCGGCGGTGCAAGAGCGCCTCCATTCCGCATTCGGCGCCCACTGAAATCCTCGGCTTAAGCGTCGCGCTATGCCGCTATCCTCAACTGCAACACCAATTTTACGCGGTAGAAAAGATCCCAAGTCATCACCATAAAAGAGCCCATCCCTGGTTCGAAATGGCGCTTCCAATCCTTGATCCGTATTGTCTCGGCCGCACACAGCACCCAAAATCGATCAAAGGCTCCACCACCACGCCGCCGTCGCCCCGTCAGCTGCTCTCAACATGTCGCGTGCCTTGACGAAGAGTGTCGAGCGTGCTTCCAAGACGTTAGTTGCATGTCGCTATAGTACCTCGTCGCTGCCTGTGGTGCACAAGCTCTCTGCTGCTGCTGCCACCGCCACACGGCCTCAGCTCACACCCATCGTCCACAATGGCACACAGCATCAGCAACTGCGTCATTCGTCTCACAGCCCCATGGGCGCGCCGCCCGCCAACCCTCGCAAGAAGGTCACGCTCCAGACGATCCAGAATATGTACAAGAAGTCGGAACCCATCACGATGCTGACGGCATACGACTTTCCGTCTGCCCACGTCGCTGACCATGCAGGCATCGACCTCATCCTGGTCGGGGACTCTCTCGCCATGGTCTCCATGGGCCTTGAAGACACGTCGGAAGTGACCATGGAAGAGATGATCTTTGCCTCAAGGGCTGTTGCTCGCGCAACCAAGACCGCGTTCATCATCGGCGATCTGCCCATGGGCAGTTACGAGGTCAACCCGGAGCAAGCTGTCCGCAGCAGTATCGAGATGATCAAAAAGGGCCGGAGCCATTCCGTCAAACTCGAAGGCGGCAAAGAAATGGCGCCAACGATCAAGGCTATCACCGACGCTGGTATTCCAGTGCTAGCTCATGTCGGGCTAACTCCACAACGCCAAAATGCGCTTGGTGGCTTCCGCGTGCAGGGCAAGACGGCCGCATCTGCCATCGCTCTCCTCACGGACGCCCTTGCCGTCCAAGAAGCCGGCGCTTGGGGTGTCGTTCTCGAAGCTATCCCTCCAGAGATCGCCTCCATTATCACCGCTCAACTACGCATACCAACCATTGGTATTGGCGCTGGTGCCGGCTGCTCTGGCCAAGTTCTTGTGCAGGTCGATATGCTTGGCAACTTCCCGCCTGGGCGGTACATGCCAAAATTTGCGAAGAAGTATGGCAACGTCTGGGGAGAGGCCCATCGCGCGATTGAGCAATATAAGAATGAGGTCAAGGCGAGAACATACCCGTCGAAGGAATACACATACGAGGTCAAGCCGGACGAAGTTAGGAAGTTTGAGCAACTGGTCGCTGAGAGATATGGGAGCCGAACAAGAGGACAGGAGCAGGGCCTTGAGGGGCTTGGCGGTACCGCTGTCCCTGAATCAACACCTGCTGCTGCCGCCGCCGCCGCTGCTGTTTGAAAAACCAAGATTTGCCTAGCATGATCGTGTTTTTGCATTCGCTCTTATTTTTGATTATACCCTTCTACTTGCTCAAGCATGCCGCAGCAACAGAATTGCGCGGCCGTTTCTGGAGTTTGGCTTATTTTTATGTTAACCTGCATTTTCATGGGCCTAGATTTTAAATAAAAATACAATATCACGTTGAGTCCTTTCGAAGCACTGTGCACGCTCGAAGAATTACCTCTGCCAGCTGCCAAACTGAACGTCCTCACTGCCATGGTATTCTGAGCGATCAATCAGAATCGCGTGCGCCTTTCTAAAATGTCCTGAACGGAGATTCTCTTCCCTCAAATTTGCATTTCTATGATCAGTTGCTTCAAATAGATGCCTTTGCAAATTGATCCGTGACCGCTACCACACCCACGTGCAATTCATCTCTGTGCGTTCAATGTCAACTCTCCGACACCGGAATGACGACATTGTGCCTGCACAGTTTTGCCCAATTGCTCTCACATGGGCAACAGAACACAGGCTAGCAGCTTCGGGATCCACTGTTGATGCACGTATGAAGAATCTGTCGGAGCCTCGTGCCATAATTCTACTGTCCGTCTTCATCCTGGCGGCCTCACTGATCCCCACGATCTCTTCACGGCTCACCCAGCTGGCCCGTCACATAACTAACCGAGCATCCTCCTCCACGTTCTCGGCCATGTCATCAAACTACGCTCACGAGCTCGACATTGCTCTCCTCGCTGTTCAAAGAGCGGCGATTCTGACCAAGAACGTGTTCCACACCACGGCCAAAGGCACCGTCTCAAAATCGGATGCCTCGCCTGTGACGGTGGGCGACTTCGGAGCGCAGGCATTGATCATCGCGGCGTTGAAGCACAACTTTCCCTCGGACGAGATCGTGGCCGAGGAGGAAGCTTCGGATCTGCGCGAGAACTCTGCGCTGAGGGACCAGATATGGGAGTATGTCAAGGCGACCAAACTTGACGACGCCGAGGCGGAAAAGAGTCTGGGAGGCTCGATCGAGAATGTGGATAAGATGCTCGACATCATTGATCAAGGAAACAGCCCCGGGGGCAGGAAAGGTCGGATCTGGGCCATCGATCCCATCGACGGCACAAAGGGCTTTCTGCGGGGCGGCCAGTACGCAGTGTGTCTGGCGCTTATGGTCGACGGGAAAGTGAAGGTGGGCGTTCTGGGTTGCCCGAACTTGCCAGTCGACGACAACGCGCGGATAGATGCCAGCATTGGAAAAGATCAGACCGACGACGAGGGCAAGGGAGTTCTAATATCTGCCGTACAGGGGCAGGGCGCGACGAGTCGGCCGCTCACCAAGGCGGGCCTGGCAGAGGCACACCCGATCATGATGAAGCCGCTCACGGATCTGTCCCAGGCGGCTTTCTGCGAGTCTGTTGAGGCGGGTCACTCAAACCAGACAGAGCAGGCTGAGATCGCGAGGCGCTGCGGCATCGCGCAGGAGTCTGTACGCATGGACTCGCAGGCGAAATACGCCTCCATCGCGAGAGGAGCAGGAGACATATACCTACGGCTGCCGGCGAAAAAAGGATATCAGGAGAAGATCTGGGATCACGCCGCCGGAACGTTGATCGTTGCCGAGGCCGGAGGCAAAGTGACGGATTCTGAGGGTAATGCGCATGACTTCGGCCTTGGGAGGACGCTGGGCGAGAACAAGGGCTTTGTTGCTGCGAATAAGAACGTGCACGATAAGCTTCTGAAGGTTGTTCAAGAAGTCCTGGGCGTGTCGAAATCCTAGAGCCCGTCTAGCAGCGTGTGTTGCTCGCGTCAGCTCATAACTTGACTTCTACAACAAAATCGACGACAGATATCATGCGCGTGCCAGACTTTCGTCTTTTCCTCTATTCCTTATTTCTGATTAGCCACTACTCTCCCAAGATTCTTACCATACGGCCACTCTCAACAGGGTACTGTACACCTTGCGACATCCGGCCTAACATTTTAGCATTGACACTCTTGGAGCGCACGCACAAGACCATCGGAATATTTGTCCACAGACAGCTTGCAAAAGACACGTTGGGGTTGAGGATTGCATGTGGCCTTTCTCGTTAACCACAATCCGCATTCGTCTTTGCTCGTTCCGGGCTTAGCTGGATGATTCAACTCGGCTCAAGATTCCTGGTCTGGACGTCACGTCATATGGCAAGTGTCCGCTCAACTTAGTCACATGCCACCCAAATATGCGCCGAGAAGACTTGTGTGCAGAAAGAATCACTAATTGCCCATGCTCAATTCCGAGCCTGATCATCAAAGAGGCGGGCAATGGAGGTCAAGCTTGGATGAGTAATCTCCAAAGGGCCCTCGATTTGAAAACACGGCGCACTTGCGGGGTCTCTTCGGCGTGCTTACTTGCCAACTTCTGAAATGGGTGCTGACGCACGTCACTGGAACCTCTTGGAGGATGCAAGCTGAGCAAAGGGTTGCGTGTGTCAGCTTGGAAGATTCTATACAAACGTTCGCGTCGCGGCTAATTTCGAATAGAGTTTACGAAACGCTCGAAGACTGGCTCGTCACGCGAGGAATTCAAATCACCGAAGCAAAGCAAGATGTCTATCTTCATGGGCGAGGAGTGGCATAAAGGTGAGAAGGAGATGCACCGTCTGGCAAGGGTTCCCGAGGACGAAAATCCAACTGTATATGGACTCTATCCTCAAGCTGCATATATGCTTCAGTCCGCACCGCTCCTTGCCATTGGAACTCTCGATGCGCAGGGAAGACCTTGGACAACCTTGCTCGGTGGAGAGCCGTCATTCGCACGGCCTCTAGGTGGTCCTATGGTTGGTGTTCGCGCGGATATTGACGCGCAGTATGACCCTGTGGTCGAGATCCTAGTTCCAAAGGAGAAAAGACACGAGAAAGTCGTGCGGTACGACGGTGAGGGAAAAGTCATGGCCGCGCTTGCTATCGATCTTATGGCGCGGAAAAGGGTCAAGCTAGCGGGGAGAATGGTTGCTGGAGCCGTCTCAGAAGCGGATCCCGACGGTGATGACGCTGCGACAAATGAGTTGAGGGGCATCGGAGAGTTGCAGATGGGTGTCAGGATCGAGCAGAGCCTAGGAAACTGCCCAAAGTATCTCAACAAGAAGGAGATTCGTCCTGCACCCGTGCGGCCCAGGTTGATTTCAGATTCAGCTCAGCTGCCACCGGAAGCGCTCAAGTTGATCAATAAAGCGGACCTGTTCTTTATCTCCAGCACGGATGAGGGCAAGGACATGGACACGAATCATCGCGGCGGCCCGGCAGGCTTTATCAGGATCCTCTCCAATTCGACTTCTGGCACCGAGATCATATACCCCGAGTACAGTGGGAATCGACTCTATCAAACCCTCGGAAATTTACGCGTGACCCCGCAGGCGGGCCTCGTGATTCCTGACTTCGATACAGGAAATGTGTTGTATCTCACAGGCACGACGGAAGTTTTGATTGGAAAAGACGCAGCTAATATTCTGCCACACACAAATCTTGCAGTGAAGATCAAGGTTGCGGAGGCTCGATTTGTCAAAGAAGGACTTCCCTTCCGAGGTATTCCCAATGAGATGAGCCCATACAATCCTCACGTCCGTTTGCTTGCGACTGAAGACGCCCTCTCGTCAACTCTGATTAATGCCACAGGCTCAAACGCGGCCATTCTTGTTGACAAAGAGGACATCACACCAACAATCTCGCGTTACAAGTTCACCATCACACAACCGACATCCTACAAACCCGGTCAGTGGGTCGCTATGGATTTTTCTGAAGATCTAGATCAAGGATATAGTCACATGCGAAACGACGACCCTCAGAGCTTAAACGATGACTACATTCGTACTTTTACCGTTTCAAGTCCGCCGAAAGACGTACCTGCAGATGGCGAGGGAGTACAAAATGAGTTCGAAATCACGGTACGACTGCATGGTCCCGTCACAAGTTATCTGAAGAGGCAAAATCCAAGGACGGGGCTTGAGGTTCCGCTAAAAACCTTCGGCGGCGACTTCGCGATCGATACTACCGGCGATGCAGTGGTGCCTTTCATCGCTGGTGGTGTAGGCATCACACCCTTACTTGGTCAAATGAACCAACTTGATGTAGACAAGCTGCGGCTTTTCTGGATCATAAGACTCGAAGACATAGACTTTGTTCTTGATGTTTTTGCGCAACATCCGCAACTCGCGAAGCACGCAACGGTATTCTTCACCGGTGCAGCAACAGTCCCAGCGGACAGATTGAAGGAGATCCTTTCGTCTGGAGCCAAGATTGAAAGAAGGAGACCGACAAGACAGGATTTAGAACAACCTGAAATGGCGATGTCGCAGTGGTACCTTTGCGCTGGCAATCCTTTGAGAGCGAACCTGTTGGAGTGGCTAGACGGACGAAAGATTGTTTTTGAAAGTTTTGATTACTGAGCTGCTACCCCATTTTAGATTATTATATGATATGACTGAAGTATTGGATCATTTCAGAACGGGCGCACTGGAACTCGTTCGGCTTAGGAGTCGAACTTTGCAATATGCGGGCAATGAAGCAACTTTTATTTTAGACGAAAAATGGGTCTTGACTAATAATCATTTAAAGTCTCAAGATTTTGCTCAGTATATCAAGGCATGTGGTACGGCTTTAGATTTCCCTAGATGGTCTATTTTAAATCATGGTTCATGGCGACCTCGACACGAGGGCCTATTTACCGGCATCGGCATGTCATTACCACGAGCCGCGAACCCTTACCCGAAGCTCCACCTTGGAGGTTACGCCAAACCGTCTCTACTGTAGATCAAACGTGATTTACACTGACTCACAGTGATCACGCTGTTCAAATTCATTCAGAGTCGCTCGACATGCCGCTTCTCGCCAAAGCCGCTGGCACACTGCTGGTTACAACCGCGACGCCAACTCTGGGCTGGTTATACTACTCTCGCGGGTCAACATTTGTGCCTTTCACGACTACATCGTCTTCGTTTCCCTCCGCCGCGTTCTCGAAATTGAACCCGGACCAGAACAAACCCGCCGTCATCGATCACTGCGTCCGCAAGGTTCCACTTTCGCAGCTTCAAACTACCGATCAGGAAGCGTTGACGCGGCGATTTTGCCAGGGCGTGTGGTCCGGCCCGGGATTCGAGATTCAGAGGCGATACTTGGAGAGAAAGTATCGCGCCCTTGACGGTCGGGAAAGTCACCTGTGGGATAAGAAAGATCTGGCAACCAGCGATTACGCCGTCGGAACCCGTATCGCCGATCACTTTGAGGTAGTGGTAAGTTTCATCGCCCTCGTCTGTTTCTTGGGGAATTTGCTAACAAAGAACAGGAGAGGTCGCCAGAGAAGGTAAGACCGGAATTATATTTTTATTTTATTTTATTTTATTTTATTTTATTTTATTTTATTTTGTTTTCTCAATTGCCTACTGTGATTGAAGAAAATTGACGCGGTTTGTAGGTCACGGTACGATGTGGAGACTCTCCAACAATCCAAGACAAGCGACCTTCTGATGGAATCTTCTCCATTGAGGTCAGCAAGGATGAGAAAGACGCGACTTTCCACCTCAAGAGCGTGTTTTTCAATTCCACCCCTTCAGGAAAGGACGGCGCTCAGCTTCCTTGGTGGTTTGATTCTGCTCACAAAGAATACACAAAGCTTTGGATGGAAACATCCGTTCGAAAGCTGTTGAAATAAAACCACCCAATCTCCCGGAAATCTGGGTTCTTTACGTTCATGTATATATTGATTAGTTCCATCACTTCGTTGATAATAATACAGTGGAATTAAATCATCATCTCACTTCTTGAAGCTCTTTTAACGGTATAGAATACGAGCGGCCAGAAGAACACGCCTATCGGAAGCAGCCCTTTAGTCGCGCCAGAAATCCTGCTTTTTTGTAAACAACCTTTGGTGTAGAGATCACGTCGTTGCCTCCGGGACGCACGCTTTGCGGATTGTGAAAGACATCTTCTGGGTCCCACTTGAGCTTGATGGATTCAAGCCTTGGAAGGTTGGTTCGCCTAGGAACTACATCAGCTGGTGTCTATCAAATGATGAGACAATTAATGTGTCTAGTAATGACTGCAAAGCTTCTGGGGAGTATTGGTCTTTGTCCGCACGTACCAGTAGGCTTTCTGGGCTCCCGCCCCTAGCTCTAGATCGACGTAGCCAGCGTAGGCCCCGAGGTCCGTGTTCTCCCCAGCTTCCGCCATTCCATCCCTGATCACCTTATTCAGGCCCTGGAGAAACTGTTTTGATTTATTAGACACTGGCCCAAACGGGTTGACGGCATATGATTGAAGGTAAAATAAAGCATCACGGTGCGCGTAGGCGGTAGCGTCCTGAGGGATGTCGTTGACTCTTCCACCTGCGAGATCAAAAATGGCAAACCACACCAGAGTGCCCTTGCTCACTTCCTCGAAATACTTGAACATCCTGTCGATCACAGAGTCCGGAATCTGGTTGCAATGATTGAACGTCAAAGTCTTGGTGTATGAATGTGCTGGCAAAGGGCTAATGATCTCTAGTGCAACATCCTCGGCCCAATGTCCAACCGCGCCCAAATAGTCATCGAAAACGATTGTCTTCGGTGTCTGGTTGCCGGGAAAGTTTTTAGCGAAGTTGATCTTGTCGAATTCTTCATCTGTGCCGAAGTACGTTACGGAGATGGTAAGGCCTAATTCGGTGATGGTCGCAGTTGAGGCAAATGAACGAGTCAAGTCCGGTTGGCTGACATAAGTCTGCCATGCCTTGAAAGTCTTCGCCATGTCTTTCCACGAACCGGTGGTGAAAGAATAGGAGTATTGCACCAATCTCCCTGGCGCTGGCTCGGTCCGAACAACAAATTCGGTGATGACGCCAAAGGAGGCACCCGCACCTTTGACGGCCCAGAAAATGTCAGAATTCTCGTTTTCGTTTGCCCTGATCACGTCGCCATTGGCAACGACCATTTCGACCTCCTCGACATGGTCCAGAGCGGCGCCCCAAAGTCTGGAGCTGGGACCGAGTCCACCAATAGTTGCATGGCCACCGATGCCTACGGTTGGGCAAGTACCGTGTGCCATGGCTCTCTTGTGAGGCTCAAACATGCGCTTCGTAAGGTCACCAAGCAGTGTTCCACCACCAACGCGACATCTCCAGGTATTCTCGTCTATTTCAAACTTCTGGAAGTGCTTGAGGTCCACAATGATACCGCCGTTCGGATCACAGAAGTTGGCGTATGAATGACCACCACATTTTGCCTGAACCTTGAGATTGTTGTCCTTGGCAAGTTTGACGATGCTTGAAACTTGTGCTGTTGTCTTTGGGTAAGTAACCGCGAGAGGAGTAGTTTCTATGTCAAGATTGTATCGCTTCACGTGATCTTTGATGTAAAATGGTTCGTCTGGAAGCGCGAATAGTTCGTCGTCATTATTTAAAGCGGCCGCTAAATCCTTCTTGAATGCTGATAGTGCCTGAGATTGTCCCATACTGAATGTGTTGCATCTAAGTAATTTGCCTCAAAAACACTCGGAACAAGCTGGGAAGTCGCCGACGGATCTGGATAACAGAAAACCTCCACAATACTCCCGTGGAGCTTCTAGCGTATTTAATGACGGTGTGAAGTTGCGGAGAGGTAGCAGTGAGATGCGGACTGAAAAGCGTGTCCCACGAAGAGGGGAGGGACCTCGTATTCAAGTAGGGCCTCGTGAGAGGCGGTATGCTCGTTTCTGTGTTCAGCCCCAGCTGAATGGCTGAGGAGCTTTCTCCCAAATGCGAGACCGGTGTGAATGTCTGCATGTATTTGAGAGGCGCGTGCGTCAATGTGCTGGCTCTCGCAGTAGTTTCACGAAAATAATTGGTAAGTTCCGTTTTCTTGGAAGGCTTCATTGGACAGATGCTCCTGACTCGTGTGACAAAAGTATTTCCCTACGTTCTGGTGCCTGAGACATAAGAGCAGTCACCCAGCCTTCCTTAAAGACCACGATAGTACAATCTTCTAGATCCGTATTTTCTGTTGATTTTTTGAAAGTTTACTTGTCGAGAGAATTTCGTTGAATTCGTGTTTCTATTTTCATTCACCGACATCGTCAGGCTAGTGCTTGATGAGGCTGTGACGACTTGTGACATGATTTTGTAACTTGAAGTTGACATATCAATTCGTTTCAATCAGAAAACTCACCTGCCGGTCTCGATATACGATGAAGACCAAGACACTGGGTGTAAACGCAGATTTGATTCTAGTCTAGCTTGAGGCGAGATCCAAACGTTTCAATATACAAATCTCGACGTAGTATCCTTACAGCTGTCGCAGTAATAAAGTTCTCTGCAAGGACCATAATGGCAAATTTTTACTCAAAGTGTGCTTCTAGTGTCTTTCGGAAATCTGGCATTTGACTTCAACCGTCAGTAATGGCTGCCCAAGCGTAGAGGCTTTGGTTCTATTTTTGTGTTCAATACACTTCTTCAGCATCAATGTTCTCTGTCTCTTGCTTAATCGAAGCATCCATATTTGCAGATGGAATATGCGTGGCAGCTGTATTCCCTAGTTTTGTCTTCCCATATGCACCACCTCTTAGTTTTCTCAGCTCTAGTGCCCTCCTATATGGCGGCGCAGTTGGTGGCTGCACTGGATCGAGCACTATCCTATCTTTCGGGAGCCTGTATGTTGCATCCGAGTCGAAAGCACTGAGATCGCCACATGCAAGAAAAGGAGCTATCCATCTATTGTTGATTTCACCCCCATCTTCATCAAATTCTTCTTCTTCTGACGACATTTCAAGAACAGTTACGCCGTCTTCACGGACACTAGTCGGGAGGGATTTCTTTTTCTTTTGCTTTTTTGCAGCGACATCCTCGTGCCTGAATGGCAAACCCTGCCCTAAGGGGTTTTCCAAACTCGCCTGAAAACCTTGCGGAGGATGAAAGCCTTCGCATACCACGAATGCTTCGATTGAGCTGGCCCTCGAGCTTCGTGGCTTCGCTATGGTCACCTTATCAAACATGAGTCTCAACTGATAATACAGTATGTCCACATCCTTCGCTCTGAAAATTTTTGCGACAAATTTCCCACCAGGTTTCAGTACGCAAAGTGCGAGGTTCAGTGCAGCGAAGAGAAGCTGTGATTGAACGTAAATATCTAAATCATGCAGACCTGTTACATCCGGGGCTCCGTCAGAGAGTACAAGGTCTACGCGATTCTGGGCCTCTTTGTCAGAAGGATCATAAGTCTCTGGATCGAGAGCTTTGAGGAGAAGTGGCACAGTACTTGGGTGCGTGATGTCGGCTTTAATAGTTGTGATTCCCTCCAGCGGACTCATCGGTTGCAGGTCAATCGCTACAATCCGCACGTTTTCTCGTGGTTCACGTTTGAAGTTCGATTTAGTCTCGTGATGACTTTTGATTCCGAATACTTCTTGTCTGTTGCGCGCGACCTCGTCTTCCCAAGCCTCGCGCCCGAAGGTCTCGCCCTTGATGAGCACACGGGAGAGCACTTGGGACCATGAACCTGGCGCGGCGCACAAATCAACAACGCGTGATACCCCGCTGAAGAGATCAAACTCCTGATCCAGTTGTAGAAGTTTGAATGCTGAACGGGCACGCCAGCCCTGTTCTTTTGCAAGCCGATAGTAAGCATCTCGCTTGTCTTTCGAAGATTTTCCCATGATAACAAAAGTTCTCCCTTGCGATTTATCGTCTTAACATTATTAGAGAAGATTTAATTTAACTCCAAGCTCTTTCCGATTTCTTTGCGGCAGGACAAGATTGAAATCCAAGTGTGAATAATTGTCGCCCGAGATTTGCAGGACTGAATCGTGGCAAGTTGTGCCGAACATCACCCGCGCGTAAAACTGCCGTTTTTGCGAATCGCGGACGACTCAGGGAAAAAAGTTGAGATTCATTTCTACCATTACATCCAATATACTTGTCAAGCTAGAGAGAAAACGATGCCACCCGAAGCGAAAAAAAGGAAGCTCAATGTGCCGTCAAGAGTACACAAGAAGCAGCCGCAACGGCGGAAAACTGGCGGCAAGCCAAATGGGCTTGGTCAGCGCAGAGAAGCTAGAGGTGTACGCCTCGATGAGTTGAAGTGGAAAAAGGTCGCGATGCCCGATCAGTTGAACGACTTTGAAGGGTTTTTTGGTTTGGAAGAGGTGGAAAACGTTGAGGTGGTGAAGGATTTAGAGACTGGGCGCGTATCGTTTAAGGCGATTGAAACCAAAGACGATGCACGTAAGGACCAGGATAGTGACGAAGATGGTCTCGCGGACGAGGGATCAGCAAAGAAAACTAACAGCAAAGAAATCGAAGATGTCGTGGACACTGAATGGAACGGCTTCGGTGACATATCAGCAGCCGAGAGCAGTGAAGATGATCAAGATATGATGCAAAAGAGCAAAATGGAGAAGGGCGAATCGCACGACGAGGCTGCGCTGGTACAGAAGGATGAGGAACTTGCTGCCACCTCCTTTGTTGGCCTAGCAGAAGAAGAACTTGATGCCGAAGGCGTAGATGTTTCCGCATGGCACTCGCTACAACTTTCTCCTGATACACTCGCCGCAATCTCGAAGTTGGGCTTCACGCAACCTACACTTGTGCAAAAGAGATGCATACCGGAAATAATGGCTGGACACGACGTAATTGGCAAGGCGGCGACAGGATCCGGAAAAACGCTTGCGTTTGGGATACCAATTCTAGAGTACTACTTGGACTCTGTTCTGCCGGAGAAGGACAAGGCTACCGACGAATCCGATCATCCCACAGCGTTAGTCCTAGCACCGACAAGAGAGCTGGCGCATCAGCTGAGCAAACATATCACGGCCCTGTGTGCAGGACAGACTTTTGAAGCTCCTCGCCTAGCTACCATCACCGGTGGTCTTTCCGTGCAAAAGCAAAAACGATTGCTACAGACGGCAGATATCATTATAGGCACACCCGGCCGCCTGTGGGAGGTCATAGAGAGTTCAATCGGTCTGGTCTCTAAGCTAAAGAAGATTCGCTTTCTTGTTGTGGATGAGGCAGATCGTCTTCTCAGCGAAGGACACTTCAAAGAGGTCGAGCAGATTTTAAATGCTCTCGATCGTGTTGTGGAAGATGAGGATGAACAAGAAACAGAGTCTGATAGCGACGGAGAAGGAAGAAGTAATCGAAGACAAACACTTGTTTTTTCCGCAACCTTCCACAAGGGGCTACAGCAAAAGCTTACAGGCAAAAGTCGACCCATTGGAGATTTGATGAACAAGCAGGAAAGCATGGAATACTTGCTGAAAAAGCTCAACTTTAGGGAAGAAAGGCCCAAGTTTATTGATGTAAACCCTGTTCAGCAGATGGCGACGGGTCTGAGAGAAGGTCTTGTTGAATGTGCTGGCACTGAGAAGGTAAATATGCCGAATCTGAACTAGATTCCACACATGACTAAACCACCAATGAACAGGATCTCTACCTATACGCACTTATGCTTCTTCACCCGAGGACTCGAACCCTTGTCTTCACAAATTCCATCTCAGCAGTCCGTCGCATAACACCGTTCCTTCAGAATCTCAATCAACCCGCCCAAGCCCTGCATTCTAACATGGCTCAAAAGGCCCGTCTACGTGCCATAGAGCGATTCGCCGCAGCGGACTCATCTATTCTTATCGCCACGGACGTTGCGGCGCGTGGTCTTGATATCCCTGGCGTCCAGCTTGTTATACACTACCATGTTCCACGCACGGCAGATATGTATATCCACCGCTCCGGTCGCACGGCGCGCGCCTCGAACAAAGGGAGCAGCATCCTAATCTGTGGGCCCGAGGAAGTCCAGGGCGTGCGCCGTCTGATCGCAAAGGTCCACGCGCAGAGCAATTCTAAGGACAAGCGTGCCATCAGAACGCTAGACCTTGACCGGCGCATCGTCGCGCGCTTGCGCCCACGTGCAACGCTGGCAAAGAAAATCGCTGATGTGGGCATTGCCAAGGAAAAGGCAAACGCCACGGATAAGCTGTTCGCCCAAGCAGCTGAAGATCTTGGTGTCGAATACGACAGTGAGGAGTTCGAGCGTATGGGCAGTGGCGGGAGACAGGGACGAGGGAACAAACGGAAAAAGCGGGAGCGGGAGGACAGAATGGTCAGCAAGCAGGAATTGGCAGCATGGAAGGCGGAGCTCAAGTCGCTGCTTGCGCAGAGAGTGAATACCGGTATCAGCCCAAGGTATATCACTGCTGGTGGAGTGGTAGATGTCGATGCCTTGCTAAGAGGAGAAAAAGGTGAATTTTTAGGGCAGGTTTCGATGGTGGATTTGATGGGCGGCGACAGTGACTGATTCATCACCAACCTATGGAGTTTCTAGGAAGCTCTCAACCTCTTTTATGTAGTCTCGCTTGCTAATGCGGGAGAGCTCAGCCTCAGTATAAGAATTGAGCGGGTACAGGCAACTCTGTTCCACGCAAGATTTCATGCCCGTCATACTTGCATAGTCAAACTCAACTGGGAAACCTATTTCGCCTAATCTGTCACCCTAATTTTTACCAGCTAGATTTCGAGGCTTTGAAAAATTTTCGATTTTTAAAACTTGCTTCAGGACACATCGTTAGGAAAGACTCGATGGAACTTAGCATCTCTCTCACGCTTGTGTCGGAGGCTCCTACAAGTTCGCAAGGACGAAAGGTGCTCTTGAAGCCCTGCAGCCTGTGATTGAAGTATGCAATGCACGTCTTAGTCAGCTTAATGATCGCACATGCTATGTCCCTGCGCTTTCCATGCTTATCTCATACTTTTTGACTACACGTTTCTAGCTCCAAGAGCTTGCTGGTCTGAAGATGATATGCTTAGATGCGGTCATCGCAGACGCGCATGATCCACTTTCCTATCCGGGCCTGGATACCGTTCAAATCCTTGGTGTCATGCACCTCGGATTCGGATTCCCGCAAGCATGCTCACACACTCGAACATAACTGGGGGCCCCAACCGAGCTGTGAGCGAGTCGATAGGTTTCTAAGAGATGAAGCAGAGCTTCAAGGATTGGAAATCCATCTTCCCGTACGCGCCCCCGAGGTCCAGAGTGCGGGGGGATGGCCGTTTCATCCAATGAGCATAAGCTTTCGACGTGCGGCGATATCGAGTATCTCTCCGGGCTTTGAGCTGAACTGCAGTATAAATTGTGAATTGCGTTTGCTTGACCGTTGATCTACAAAAGGTACTCCGGGTACTTGAATTCCACAGGCCGGACGTTGTGCCAACACTTCGAACGTTTGTCAATTAAAAATCGGTCACCATGGCTTCCTGGAGCGAAAAGATATGCGATCTTCCACCGAACAGGCGGCATATAGCCACACACAATGCAGAAGGGAAATCGGTGTACGTGTCTTCGGCACCGCCGCAGGTCTACGTCAACACCGGAGGACCGGGCTTGGCTCATTCGTACTCGATCGCCGCCGTTCCGGTCAAGATGGAGAACGACGCCGATCTGAAGGCGTATCTGAGCGAGGGGCAAGTGAACAGCCAGAAGAGCACGCACATTGTGGTTCCCGAGACGCCGGAGACGCCGAACGGAGCGAACCTCCTAGTGGTGGATCTCCCGCCAGGAGCTGTAAGCGGGATGCACAGGACGCTGAGCATCGACTTCAGCATCTGCGTGATTGGAACGATCATCCACGAGCTCGACAGCGGCGAGAAAGTCGTACTTAAGCCCGGCGTAAGTGGTTTTCCCTTTCTCGAGGAAATGTCGGACGTGTTACGCTAAAACACGGCCACTACAGGATCATATCGTGCAGCGAGGAACGATGCACAAGTGGCACAACGCGTCTGACACCGAGCCGGCCAGGTTCGTCGCCGTCACGCTTCCGGCAGTGCCATTCCCGCTTCCGGGCACTGGCGAGATGCTGAGGGAAATCCACGTGCCGAACACGAACACAAAACTCTAGGCTAGCGCCTAAGCTACCTTCTCTATGTGATATTGAATGAAAGAAGAATATTTTTGAACAAGGTTAAATGAAGCCCTGCCAAGTCGCGAACTCTTTAATTCCCAGAATCCCAACCCTTCGCTTTGCCAGCTGACCCCTGCCTACGTATCCGTCTAGAATTCACGACTCAAAAAGAGAAAATAGCACCCTTTTCTTTCTTTGGCTAGGCCAGAGAAAGTTGGCAGCGCCGTGATGAGATAAACAAACGTCAGAGAAACGTGGTAGGTAACGCGGTCTCATGTGGCCAGGCAAAGGCTCAGGGAAACTGAAGAAAAACCAAGGAACCTGGACTTGGCTCAATCCGCGCTTGTGTGATAGTGGATTTGTGTGAAAACTGAAGACTGAGAAGACGATGCTGCTTCTTCGTGGCCCTACCCACTGTTTTCTTCTTGGCTAATCCCAACGTCGTCGACACTGTGTGCCTCGTAAACGCGTGACCGGCTGCATGGATGTCCCACCCAGAATCCATGCATGTTCATTCTGATATAAAAGCCTGATCCGTCTAAGAATCTTTTGTCATCAATTGAAAGGCATCCTGCCGACTCTCACGTGAGTCCCTCTCTATTGCCCATCTTCCAACTTCGTCCCCGACGCCACCGCTTTAGCAAGAGCCCGGAGACTTCGCCCTTTCCACGTCTTGCGCTGTCGAGGCTTCAGCACCATTGACGAGGTCAAGCCCCTGGTGCTCGCCAAGCTCCTCTGCTGCGTCCTGGCCTTCACCTCTGCCACGAGGCCCAGGCGCGCGCGCCGCTGCGATAGATGCGTGGAATGACGTTCACAGAGGCAGGACAGCGTGGTCGAGCACCTGCAGGGAGAATTGTCGGAGAGGAGCTTCTAAGTCGGCTTTTCAGCACTGCGGAGACATGTAGAGAGTCTGGTTCAGTGGACGCATGCTCATTCACCTTGCCAGTCATCATGCGCGAATGATGAACAGAGGATTTCGGCCTCGAACATGACGTGGCGGATTGAAATGAGCTTGATCAGGAACAGGATCTCGTGAAGATCGGATTCTGCGGTGACCACCACCTCGTCAGACACCAGGGTGGCATCATTAATGTCTGTAACAAGGCGTGTGGCTGCTCTGATCATGTAGTCCTCGTCCGTCCACTTTGTAATTCAGTATGTTCTCGAGGTTTCGAATGTATCCAGGGGAGGAGATTGCTAGCTTTACCGATTTCTTTTGAATCTTCCTACAAGATTGTTGACAATTTCACCAGGAATAGAGAAATTTGGCTTGCGAGAACAGGATTGTGGTAGTCTTGGTACACTTGAGCTGGTACGTAAAAGCAAAAGTCTCTGGACTGATCTAGCTGTTGCCGCGCCATTTGCTTTTGCAAGCACCGTTTGGATTCAATTTATTGCTAATTTTCTGAGGATAGATGGAGATTGGATTGAATCTAAGTGTCTACTTGATTGCCATGACAACAGAAAGCATCTAGGCAACACCAGATCGCAATCCCATTGTTGGATCATAAAGCTGCGCACTAGCTGGTTTGTGGCTATTCTTCTGGTTCTTTATCCATCACCGTTACTGCCCATACCCTTGTTTCACCCGTGAATAAAGATTGCTCGTCATTACGCTTCTTTTTCGTAAACCTGAATATGACATTGAGCAAGGCGTCCCTATATTCGCTCAAACGATCCCGAGATGTGCGACAAGCTCTGCCGCACCAGTGATACCGTCTTCCAGATACGCGGCGCCTATAACTGCCTCTACGGTATCTGCCACGGACTTGTCACACGGAGGCATCTCGGAACTCCTGAACGCAAATCTGTCAAGACCCACCCTCCTCCCGACAGCCGCTAGATTTCGATTTGTTTCCAAGATTTGACACCTTCGCGACATCTCCCCGTTGGTGATGCCGGGTAGCTCAACGAAAAGCCTCTCCCTCAGCACCAGGCCCAGAGCGCGATCTCCGATCAGCGCCAGTCGCAACGTCGGGGTTTGATTGAAGGATAGCCCTGGTGCAGCTTGCAGAAGCGTTCCTAGATCTTTGAAAGTGCGTCCGAGTATGAGTTGCAATGCGGCTGCTCGGCGAAGAGGCGTCATGGGAGAATTGGTTGGATGTGCGGAATGAGGAGACAGATGGAGCGGCGGCTGCAAGCGTGACGGCTTCGTGTTCTGCTTGAGTACGGCAAGTTCTGCATGCTTGACTACGCCTTCGGGACTTGGACAATTCTTCCCTCCGCGGGACTGTTGGATTGGCATTTGCTGCGCACTCTCGGAGAAGTTGAAGCAATCGCTTTGAGGTTTGACTTTGTCTTGTGCACCGGCCGCCTTTGCTGCTCGTTTGGCTCGAGCTCTCTGCCTCACTTCTCGATGCTTCTCCTTCAGCTTCTCCAAGAAGTCGCTCGAGTACTTTCTTCTCTGCTTGACCGGAGCCATTGGGCCGCGCTTGAGCTCCTCCGGCAGAGCGTCATAGACTCGTTCGAGCTCGTCTCGCTCTTTGGCGAACTTCTCCTGCTTCGCGATGGCCTCGGGTCTGGCCAGCTCGCGCTTGAACCGCAGTGAAACATGCAGCGGAGGGTCATCCTGCTCTTGCTCAACCAGTGCTCCCGATGCCTTTACATGATCCGCGTACAGGGCGGCGAGGGCAGCCTTTGCTCGTGTCAACACCATGATATCGGCCTGGAACATAAAGGTGCGATACTAGCGCATCGGAGATATAGAGATGGAGATTTCATCAGAAGCGGTAGGAGCGAAGTTAGTGACTTGCAACGTGCAAGCACCTGATGCGCGCCTTCCGTCCGCGGTAGTGGTTACGCAAAGCACCAGTGGTTATCAAAGCATTCTTTTGCACGCCTGGACTGGCTAGAGGAGTTTCTTGAGATCTTCACCACAACGAAAAGCCCGTGTCTTGTTCATTCACGAAAAGGTGGCTAGGATTCGAAACTGCCCTTAGCACGACGAACATGCCCTGCTCAACTGCGCGTGTCAAAGGCAACCGCGACCACTACATTGGTTGAAGAAAGAACATAATGGATGTGGGGGACATATATGGAATATGTGTTTGCCATATTTCAGACCTCCAATCATGGCTATCCAACTCTTACGTGACGAGCAGCACAAAGAGATGTAGAACGTGACAATGGACGCCAGGACTCACTCTGGCTGGTCTTCATAAAATGTCATGAACTCGGCATTGACATTGACGTCATTGCAAGAGGCAAGTCCATGTTGCGTCCATTTTGACATAACACGGCCTTCAAGAGGAACATGGTCCAAGGTGCAAGAAGCGTGAAGAAATGCACAAGGCGGCGTCATCATACACCAGTCACACGGACACACGAAGCATCCAGTAACGGGACGCACGATTGTCAGGGAGGCTTTGACCAACCATTGCCGGAAAGTTCCACCGGAACGTTGCCCAGAAGGAGAATCTAAAGTGGACCTCCAGTTGACTGCCGCTGTTGGGAAGAAAAAAAATTTAACAAGTTAATAAAAATAAGGAGAAATGAAGTAGAGGAGCTTTGTCGGGTACCCACCGTAGCACGTCCCCAATTGGGAGCCTCTAGAGCCTCAGGCACATACGCACGAGCCAACGCCGAAAAAAATTTCTAGGGTATAAAAGGCCGCCGTTCCTGCGAACCTCTCTCAGAAACCAGTCGACTTTACTTCATAGAATCATTTCTATAGGTAACGTCCCCTACTAAGGTTCTTACCAGAGCCACAGTATCCACAACCTGGCTGATGATCGTTGGCCTCGCTGCCCTAGAGTGACGGTTTCTGGTTCGCAGCCCTCACGGGAGGCGCCTTAATTGCGTCTGCTTCGGCGGACGTGGGAATGATCTTTGTCCTGTGCCTGGTGTCTTTGCGTTCGCGCGGCCGGCCAGGACGGGCGGCGATGGTGATCTGACAGGCTGTTTTTTCTTCTACTCTTTTCATTGATAGGGCTCGCCTGCGAGGCGGGAGATCAAAGAAGAGAGGCTCAAGTATCCGCCGCAAACGCTGAGCCGCGCGCGGTCCAGAAGATGAATATTTTTTGTTTGTTTTCTTTTCATCTTGGTTTTTTTTTTCTTACGGTTTTTTTCTTCACCGGAACAGAATTCCGTACGGTTTGCTAACGTTGGATCATACGCGTACACTTGCTCTTCCCGTCGTGTGCTGCCTTTGCCTTGTAATGCATTGCCCCTGTGCCTTGGGAGAGTCGGTGACTGGGGCATGTCATGATCCAGCAGCGAGGCACAAAGACGGGTGCCGTAGCTCAATCCTGTTGTTCGTAAATGCAAAACAGTGGACTGTGCTGCGCTACGGGCGTCATCCAAAACCCGGGGGAGCCCGAGGCATCGCCTCTCTTCGGGTTCGCGTATACGCGGTTTGCTCTTGTTGACGGCCCGCTTCTGCCCATCGCGTCCTTCGTCGTCCTCGTCGCATGCAGCAGTTCTTAACCGGCCCATCATCACCCCACGTCGCGTTCCGAGCCAAGGCCCCAAGTCCTCGCCTTCGTCAACATCCAAGTGGCTCGTAAATACTGCACGATCCGACACTCCCTTTCTGGATAGAGCAAGAGGCAAATGACACCATGAACAGGGCCAGGCGATTGGCAGCCTGTCGGAACAGATCTTGTTCCCCGCGCAGTTCCAATCGTGTCGGCTCGCGGTCAAACGACACCCTCTTGGTTGGCGACGAGGGATCCGCCCCATACGCGGCGCGTTGAACCCTACGCAAAAGGCAAGAAAAGACGAAATGCTACACTGTACACACAGACCTACACACGTACGTCGGCTTTTCGCTTCTGACATCCGGCCAATGGAGTCGCTCCCTTTTACGACGTTAATGTGGCGTTCTTCTTCTCTTTCTTCCGCTCCGTCCATCCGTGAAGCAGCTGCGTAGCGGCTCAGCAGTCCGAGCAGGCCACCAGCCCTTCCTAGAATCCTGCGAGAATCTCACTGCTCTCCTAACTCGTACGAAGATTAAGATTCTAACATCACCCGGCCATTACCGGGTCCACCACGTCGAGCCTGCAGCAGTTGGACAACAAACTGTCAGTCGCGACGATGCCCACGAGCAGCTCTCGCCAATGGCAGTGCAATAGTATAGCGTGCCAATTTTGAATCTACAAGTAGCTTTCAGTAGACTTCGTTCGAGTCCCTGTTGTCTGAAAAGCGTCTAAGCATCTTGTTGGCCCTGATCGTTTGTAAGCAAGTAAGCACTACCGTGGTGGGACAAAAACAAATTGAATGAGGCAAAGGATGTCATTGACAATCAGATTGTCGGGACTTGACATGGAAGAGCTTAGCAGTGTCGAGAGCTTTTGCCGAAGATGATTGGAGAGCAATCTCATGTTAGGCAGCCTTTGTGTCAATGCTGGAAGAGCAACTACTGATAGAGATCGTATGACGAGGAATGGGCCTCCACTTTGTTGAACAGCTAAGATTCCTCAATTCTCCCACTATGCTACCAATTAAGTCAGATCAGTCGATACATTTGAAATTTTGGCTCATATCTGTTTACTCCTCCGGATCCTTTTCATCGGAAGCTCGAAGTTTGGACCCTCGGATGGTTTGCACGATCTCCACGAACTATAAGTTTGGAGCACTCGATCTTGATCACTTCAATTGCAAATCCGTGATTAAATTATACGATTATAGGAACAACTCGATTTCCTGATGTGGACTGCGGCATTGTAGTCTAGAAAACTCAAGCATTCCAGCCAACGCCGTATTATCGTCAACCGAGTCATGCCAGGCTGAGGTTTCCCAACTATCTGGATCGGTCTTTTGTGGCTTCCAGCACCCAGCTATCACGCCCCTAGAAAGAATCTCGAGCGACTACCGCAGAACTTCAGACTTGACCCTTAGAAACAGTATGTCGACGCGCGGTCCGTCCACGGTAGTGAGAGATATACCAATCGCATCTTGGAAGGGAAGGCCTTTAAAGTGCTTGTGGTGTAATGCAAATATCAGACCTAAGTTTTGGGACCAGATTGATGAGAAACTTGATTTACGTTCCAAAACTCTTCTGGCTGCTATTGCGCTTTGAAAAGAACCCTATCTAGTCCATAAATGACGCGTGTCGCATTCGAGACTAAAGAGCAAGCCAAGTACGGAATGCGTGAAGTTACCGCTTGAGTGATCATAAGTAGCGGGCCCCGGACACGTCTCAGTCCTGTGGCATACGCTCTGCTCTAATAATTCAATATATGAGACCGCAAGAATGTCACAAGAAATGACCAACATTCATGTCTCGTATCTCCTTAACTGCTTACAGTAAACGAGACCTATGGACAGCCTCCGCTCTAAGCAGGACGCCATGACACGATAGACTTCTCAAAATGCGATATAGCCTAAGCCCAAACCTATTTCGAGCGTAAAGGAGATCTGCGTAGTCTGTAAAGAGTAGTGGAGACCACTTCGATGCCGTGCAAACACCAATCCCACGCAGTTTACCTTTCCGATCGGCTGAAACTAGACGGCTCCCGCTTCTTACGTAGATGAAACTCTGAATTAAGTGAAAAAGAGCTGTACTAGGATGGAGCTGTAAGCGACCTTATATAAGAGACACTGGCTGTGCTGCATAGGCAGCACAGCACTAGCGCGGGGGTAACTGGGGCCCATAACAGAGTACTTTGCCCAGCGATCACTTTGCAATATACCGCTTTGTGCTCCTTGATGTCACACGGGCCCCGTCATATAGCCTGCCATTGCCTTACAATAGTTTCACCTGGACACAGCTTCCGGTAGCAAATCGCATCTAGGTGATCTACGCCTTTGAGCGCAGTACCTAAGTCTGTAGAATGCAGAAGAACTTGTAAGCAGACAGTTTCTACAATAAACTGGACGTTATATTTGCTCTCTTAGATCAATCTGATGTAGCAGCTGGTTTTCAACTCTCTCTATGCTGCCCAGGGAGCAAGTCAGTTAGAATAATAATGACTTGTGTCGGCTCGTAGCATATTCAGCCACGGCTTAAGCTGCTTGCTCATAGCGCACGACAGGCGCCCGCCACAGTGTAACTCAAGGTCAAATTTGGAAAAAGGTTTAATGTGAGAGGAGGTCCACTCGATTGGTATTCGCTATTGAATCGAGAGAACACGGCAGATGAAGATAGACTGGATGCTATCTTATGCTATTCGATCCAAATCCGAAATAGCTGAGAAGTCAACCGGGTTCTGATTTGGAGCCATGCCCAGATGTTCCAAGAATCTAGGGCTGTCAAATGGACTGTATTATCATCACATTAGTATGTGTCGCTTGAACCCATTGCTCCATGAGACTTACCAGAGCACGGAGTCGAGCATAGCCAGACTATCGAAGAGGGAACTCTCATCTGGATCCATAGGTGTTTGGGTAACTACTGCATCAACGACTGATGTTGGGTCAGTAAATGCTGAGCAAGACATCATTGAATTGGGAGATATAGGTTGTGTGAGATGAGATGTCGACGGAGGTAAGACGCTTTGCTTGGGAACAGTGACCGTCTTCGGCAATATGTCAGAGCTAGTATGTGGCACGTCAGGCTTGCCTTGCCAATCTGACTGGAAGTGCGAAACAATGTCTAGAAGTATAGATTTCCATGCCAACAAGTCGTTCTCGCTGCACAAAGCCGGCTCCATTGCGAGCTGCTCGTCGAACAACGCAATATATATCTTGAGCAAAGGAGTTTTCCAAGTCTTATTTGTGCCCCTAGACTGCTCTCGAAACAATCTGAAGGAAGAGGTCAGATGCTGTTCTTGAGAACCGAACACCGCACCTGAAACAGAGGACATCTTCTGATGAACTTTCAATTGGATCCCGGAGATCGCAAATTGGAGATTAAGGAATTGGTAGGGCTGGTTGAAAATTCCTATTCCTTCTTGGGTCATCTTGTGGATCTGTGACGATAGCCTTTCCTTGAGCGCAGAAAATTGCTGCTGTATGGTCTCGATTTGGGACTCAGTTGATCCCACTTCTGCTGTAGTATTAATGTAGTTTAGTAATCCAACCAATTCAACGAAACTGTTGAAGGTGCTCAACATTTTACAAGGGTATGAGCGTATGTTCAGTGCCCTCGGAGGTTTCCATGGTTCCCATTCCTCGAGACCTTCAATATCGATTGGACCAACAGACTGAAGATCCGACCAAGTGAGCAAAGATTGCCTCTTGAGATGAGTTGATATTAACGTATCAAGTATAAAACATCCATGAAATAACCGCCTTTGGCTATCCTCAAGCTGGTTTTGATACGTCGAAAGGCCACTACCATCTCTATGTCGCGAGATGATTCCAAGGTCGGTGGCAAGATAGAGAGCTTGGCCGAGAAGGACCCAAGCAGCGCTCCAAGATTCAGTAGCAACTTTTAGTAATGTCAACAAGAGAAGTGCTCGAACATGCCCAAAACCGTAAGACTGAGAGCGAGAGTAAATGAGGCTGAAAGCTATGTTCTCACAGTCTGATTCCACTCCAAACGCGCTCTCACTTTCGTTCTGGCGCGTTGAATATGCGAAGACAGCCCAAAGGAATGCGAGATCTCCTGAGCATGGCTGATCGATACATCTGCCAGCATCGGCCGCAGTATATGCAATTTGGAGAAGTTCATGTTTCTTAGAGATGAGAAACCAGCAGTGTGTGGTCGCTATATAATCTTCAAGGAGCTTCAGCCAATTCGGTGGAAGAATTGAGGGGTCAGGCGAGAAGAGACCGGCAGTGGGAGTGAAGTTACCGGACACTACTGGAGGCGTTGTCGCTGTATTTGCCCGCTGAGTCCGTTGAAGGCTTGTAAGGCTCTCAGGTGTTGAGAGTTGATGAACATTTCCGGCTGACTCTTTGCAATTCAGAAAGGCAGACAGCGCTGTTGTCAAGCTCTCATCGATAGTGGGTGGTGAATTTTCTTCATCTATCGAAAAACTTAGTGAACTATCCGTAATACTGGAAATTCACCTCTTCTATGTGATATATGGAATGTTGGCCTACCGTCAGATGATTGCACCAATGATAGAAGTGATCCTACGAGTTTGAAGACTCCACTTTTTCGCCATGTGTCCAATGCACTACCAGAGGAAGGCTCTCCTTCTCCGAGGATCAAAGCTGGCTCCCGTAAGGAATGTTGGAGAAGCGACGACAGAATATGTTCACTGTCTTCAAAAGTTCGCAGCAGAAGCCCAAGCAACATTTCTAACACTCTGACGTAACCGGTTGGGAGTCCTCGTTTCCTCGATGGATTATATGTGCATTCGCGATTTAATTTAACGCAAGACGTGCATTTCGGTTGCCGTCCGTCGCATCTGTATTTTCTGCTTCTGCATTGACCGCATGCTCTTGATATCCGCGTCCGTTTGTGCTCTCGTCCTCCGTCATCCTCTACATCAAGCCCGTGCATAATAAAAGACGGTTCAGAAAGGTTCAAGCGCTGTCAAGCAGGGCATTGTAGGACCACCGCACACAACTGTCAAAGGAGTCGAGCTGCAATATTTTGACGGCTATCGAATGAGCGTAGCAGTAACTTAGGTACGCACATTGGAGGAAGTCTGCAGCTTGTGGGAAAGGTAAGGCCACTTGATGGGCGTCTGCTCCGATTCCCAAATTATTCTAGACCATGTGCCTCACGAGTTTAGAATAGAGTACAATGAATGCTGGTGAGGACAGTTCAGCGCATAAGTTTGCAGATCGAACTGTTATTTGATGGTACGCTAACGAACAGTATCCAGACCTTGCCGATCTCAGCAAAACCCCAACCAAGCCATCGATTTAGTCTGTGCAGGGAGCGGTTAAAGATTAACCCGAATCAAAGTAGCCTAGGCTAATTCTTCGCCTTTCCAGTTCCATTGACGGAAAATACGCAGGCTTCTGATGTACTCTAGAAACATTGTATCTCGGCTGAATCGTTAAGCGGTCCGGTCGACTGCTTTCAGTTCAAGTCCTAGTTCTAGAGTTGTCTCGTCAAACCACCGCAGGTAGCCCTTGTTATAGAGCTGGCTTTCATGAATATCTCTCCATCAAAAGTGTCATACAGGCACTGGGTATGATATTCTCGAAATGTTGAGTGTGTCCCCAAATTTCAGATTCGGAACGCAATCCTTACAAGTCTCGAATCTTGGCTGCTACGAGCCGACGACTCCTCAATCACAATGACCTCGCAGACGACTCCGCGCTTGTCATACGACAATACTCCTATCCCCGTGAGCCACAATAGAAGTTGTATCTTGAGTCATGCAGCAAGTCCAGGTACATTTGCTCCTGACTCTTCTATCGTTCTGATCGGAATTCGTGGAGTTGGGAAGTCAAGTCTGGCTGTCATAGCCGCCAAGGCCTTGAATTTCCAGATAGTTGATGCTGATCAACATTTTCAGCGAACGACTGGACTGTCCAGTGCGTCATACATGAATTCACATGGTGTCAAAGAATACGGTCTTCAGGAGCTAAAGGTGTTGCGACAGATACTGGCTGAAAATTCGACCCGAACAGTCATTATCTGCAGTCCCAGCTCCATCACGGGCGCCGGCCGAGATCTCCTACGAGCATTTTCACGTGGGCATCCCGTCATCTTGGTTCTAAGAGACGCAGATGATGTTCATCGCTACATTGGTGTGTGGGACGCAAACGCCATCTCAAATCTTGTCAACCAGACTAGTCCGTTGTACCGTGCGGCATCAAACTTTGAATTTTACAACCTTTCTGAGTCCTTTCATGATGTGTCAAGCGCTCCAAACGGATCACGGAATCATCCACCTTTGCCTCTAATGCTGAAACAAGTTGAACGAGACTTTGTCCACTTCCTCTATCAAATACTGAAGCCTGCGGATACACAAGAGAATCACTACACGCAACACATTCAATCAAAGGTGCCCCCAGAATCAAGGCCTTATACCTACGCCATGTTGCTCCCATTATCGCAATGGGACCTAATTGGTTCTCAGCTCAAGAACGTTGATCTTCTGGTAGACGCAGTTGAGATTGTTCTGGACCTCCCAGCAGTTGTTGAGGGGAAGAATGTATTTGATAGCGCCATGGCAAGCATGGTCGCACGAACATTCTATTCGGTCAGAAGAACGCTTAATCTACCGCTCATATTCAGTATCAATTCAGAAAAGCTCGTGTCTACAAATCCAGGTACCTCAATCAAGGTCGAAGTTATGGAAAACGTCTACTTTGAGATCATGCACCATGCGTTGCGCTGTGGCCCTGAATATCTCTCTGTCGATTTACACGCAAAATTTGATCCCCTACAGATACAGAACCTCATTAAAAATAGAGGTTCAACCAGGATAATTGGCAACTTTCATGACCACTCGCCCGGTCGAAACGGCTGGACTGAACCAAGTCGTCGTCAAAGGATGTTAGACGCTCAGGAGCTTGGATGCCAGATCGTAAGACTATCTCAGGACGCAACGTCAGTAGAAGACAATTTCGCTATTCGGCAATTTATACAACATACTTCGGAGTCGCGTAGGATCCCATTGATTGCGTATAACACTGGCAAGCTCGGTCGATTCTCCTGTTGCGTGAATTCCACATTGACGCCTGTCACTCACCCCGTTCTTCGCTCATCTTCAGCCAGCCGTGAAAATGATTGGCTTCTTACAGTACAAGATTGTCAACGTGCACTCTACGCTTCATTCTTTTTGGAAGAGATGTACTTTGGCATCTATGGCTCAGGCATTTTGCTTAGTCTTTCACCTGCCATGCACGAAGCTGCTTATCGGCTATCCGGAATGCCGCATTCATACAAGCTATTTCAAAACACGTCTCTCTCTCAGTTAGATGAGCTAATGGGAGACCCTTCATTTGGTGGGGCCAGTATTACGTCTCCATTCAAGGTGGATGTTGTCAAACGAATACAATTTCTTAGCCCTAGCGCCAAGGCAATCAAGGCAGTTAATACCATCATCCCACTGAGATCCAGTCATGCGAGCGCCTTGTTAGATAGAAATCGACGTGGCCCAATCGTGGCATTGTATGGTGAAAACACTGACTGGATTGGTATACGAACTTGTATTCGGGACAACCTTTCCCCAATTAATGCAATCGGACGCAACTCTTCTGGCCTTATTCTAGGCGCTGGAGGTATGGCTCGTGCTGCTATGTACGCGATGGTTCAACTAGGTGTTCGCAAGATTTATATCTTCAACCGCACCAGAGAGCACGCAGAAGTATTAATTAAACAGTTCTGCAATGAAAATATTGCAGTAGGCGGTGGTAAACAATGTCAAATAGTCTCGGCTCAAGAGCAGACCACGACACAATCGGCCAGTTTCTTGAGCAATACGGACACAATCGAGATATGTGAGACATCAATCATTTCGTCGCTAGAAGATACTTGGTCAGCGGATCATACGCCACCAACTATTATTGTATCTTGCATACCAGCCAAAGATGTACGAACGGGGTCTCCTACTAATATTGTGCTCCGTTCGGATTGGTTGTCAAGTCCCACTGGTGGTGTTGTCCTAGAGGTATGCTTTGAGGCCAGCGCGACTGATATCGCTTGAGTCTCTGAACTAATTGACTACAGCTTGCTTACGATCCACTCGAGACGCCATTACTAAAACAGATAAAGGCCTTGGGGGATCATAAATGGATTGCTGTTGATGGGTTGCACGTTCTCCCTGAGCAAGCTATTGCGCAATTCGAACTGTTCACGGGTCGAAAGGCACCTCAACATTACATGCGTAAAGTAGTTAGAGAGGGATATATGAAGCAAGTACAGTCTGGACTTCGCTCCCTTGAGAGTAAAGGTTAGTCTCGTTATTGATTCAAGATGATGTCCTCTACACGCACTCTTGAATATCACAAGGACGCTAGACTACATTTATTTCCACGTCTCGCATCGTGATGATGAGAAAATTGTACTTCTGTCCCAAGCATAGCTTTCCATTGGCCCGCCAGATGCAATCCGAATGTCTACACCATCCATATCCCATTGCAACGTGAAGCCAGTGTAAGACAGCCGGACAATACCCAGCCTCAGAATAGCAACCAGGATCTCGGTTCCTCATCCATCTCAATAGCCTGCACATACTAGCAGAAATCAGACACTGTGATACTGCTATTTGAATTATTCGCATAAATTCTTCGCCGGAGAGATTCTTGCGGTGTCCCCTAACAAAAGGCACGGGTCTGGGACCAGATATCGGAGAAGAATTCAGCCATACACGCTAAACATCTCTCGGACTCGTGGCAACGGGAGTTTGCACAGATATGTGTAAACGTTTCAGCAAGTTTTATGGTTTCCTGCACTGCAAGTACGCTGTTTCTGTTAAATTCCCATCTCAAATTGATCATGGCGGTCCCTACCTCAATTTCTCCTCTTCAGTTCTACATTTTTGGCGACAACATATCCCACTCTTTGTCACCAGCACTGCACAATGCCGGATTCAAAGCAATCGGGCTACCGCATTACTACTCCATCCATCAGAGTAGACAAGTGGACGAGACTGTAGAAGCCCGGATTAATGAGCCTAATTTTGGAGGAGCATCTGTCACATATCCCCACAAACGTCAAATTGGAAGACTGCTCGACACAGTGTCGCCTACAGCTCAGAAGATAGGAGCAGTGAACACGATAGTCGTTCAACAGACAACTTCCGGCCGGACTCTTGTCGGTGAGAATACTGACTGGTCTGGCATTCGAGCCTGTATCTTGAGAGGGGGTGTGACGGCGGACGATGAGTGTTGCGCCCTCGTCCTTGGCGCAGGTGGTGCCGCGAGGGCTGCTTGTTATGCACTGCAGACGTTGAACGTCAAGTCCGTCATTCTCGTGAACAGGACCAGGAAGAACGCAGAAGCTATGGCGGCTCACTTCTCGAAGATGAGGTTCGAGATCTTTGAAAGCTTAGGGCAAGCCTGCAGTCAAGGGTCACAGAACGTTCAGATTGTCGTTGCTTGTATTCCGGCCGATGAACTTACTGAGAACGACATTCCGAAAGAGCTCTTCTCTGGCCACAAGCCTTCAGTCCTTGTTGAGATGGCCTATCGACCCATGGTAACAGGAATGATGAAGTCTGCTTCGCAGAACTGTCAATGGATGGTGTTCAGAGGTCCAGATGTTCTCCTGGAGCAGGCTTTTGCCCAATTCAAGCTGTGGACTGGAACCGACGCGCCCGTCAATGTAATGCGAAATGCTATAGAGAGAGAGCTACGAGGGCAGTTATAAATGTGGGCATTTCAAACTCTTTACCAGAGACTGTCTAGATATAGCAATCTTTCGTGGCTCAATAGTCATTAGGTATATTCAGACCTGCAATCGGGCTGAATTTTGTTTCGCGCCGAAGCTCTGCTCAATGAACCGTGCAAAATACCACGCTATGGTTTCGAACCCAGCAGTTCATTCTATAAATTTTGGAAGGCCCGTCTAAAAAATCAGATTCTTTCCTTCAAGCCACTCCTTAGCTTGGAGATACAAAAGATCATGCTTGTCGCCATTGGGCGTACCTGCGTGCCGTCGATGTCCTGGCATATCGGGCAGCACCTTAGCTCCCATAATCGCTTCCTGGAAATATGCTAGGAACTTATACCCATCTGGATAAGTCTTCAATTTTTCCTCGTCGACATTTGGAATCTTGGCTGGATTGCATGGAATCAACTTGTCTTTCTCGTACCAGTGTCTTACGAATCTGGCTCCCCATCGCCCGTCAGCCTTCTCAAAGAAGAAACAGAAGCGACAATCACACTCTACATCCAATTCAGCGCCATCTAGCACAAACCGCTGTGTGATAGTCGCTTTCATCTTGGTCACCGCGCGAGTCCCTTCAGGGTTGATGTCTGTTGTGAGACCATGGCAACGATGCATAATGAAAGCACCTTTGTCTATTCCAGCTTTGGATGCTTCGATAAAGTCGTGAAAGTGAACGCGACCAGACCAAGTCGTATATACATGGGCGTCATCATGGAATATCGAGGCGAAGTTGTCCCATTCACAGGCGTCTCTGAATAGCTCGGTCAGAAACAGCGTGTTTTGCTTTAGGGATATCTATTTCCTACCGGTAGCAAGGCCAGCCCTCAGCCAGCTCTCTCAAGTACATTCGTTCCATGAGCAGTTGAACAGGTCCATTGTTGCGAAGACTATTCCTTGGCCAGAAGTCTTGAGGAAGACTGTGAAGATCAACCATGATTTTCCCTTAAATGATGTCTGCACAGCGTCAAGTGGCTTTAACTGTCTCAAATACAACACAATTTTAGAGACGGTCTTGCGGCTTGTTGCTCCGGTGAAGTTTTTATTTGCTACAGACACTGCAAGCATCATGATCAGGTCTTGCATTCAAGATCAAACATTGACGAGCGGATGTTCCGCAATGAAGCTCGCAAAACCAGGAGCTGTGAATACGGCTAATTCCTTTTCCGCAGATTTGCTACCCCCCTCGACAAAGAAATCGAGCGCACTGTAAATCGCGAGGCATGAGTCCCGCAGCTATCGGCTTCAATTGTCGGCATCTCCTGCGAATTGTGCAGTGCATGCGGTTCAAATCCATGTGCTGATTAGCCTGATTAATTGCCGTGGTCCTGAAAGCAGACTGTTCACAAGTTTTCCTGCAATGCACAGCAAGCACCATGAAGGATTTCCGCCCTGCCATTCTCTCGGCCTCTCTTGGTCGTGCTTGGTTGCACGACTTCGACAAGAAAGTTGCTCAAGCTGCGAAATATGGATTCGAAGGAATTGAGATATTTTACGAAGATTTGGAGCATCTTGCCAAAGCCAGATCGAGCACCGAAGCTCCTTCCAAAGAGCAGTTACTCGACGCTGCAGAGCACATCCACAGTCATTGTTCGTCGCTGGGCTTGGAGATCATATCTTTGCAACCGTTTCTGTTCTACGAAGGCCTCCTTGACCGTCAGGAGCACGGTCGACTCATTGAGAAAATCAAAGCATGGTTCGAAATCGCGAAGCGCCTTGGGACTTCCACAATCCAGATTCCGGCAAATTTCCTCCCAGCAGACAAATTGTCGGATGATGTAGAGCTCATCGCCTCTGATCTTCGCGAGCTGGCTGACCTTGCACTATTGGAAAACCCGCCTGTTCGGTTCGGCTATGAAAGTCTCTGTTGGAGCACGCACATCGACACATGGGAGAAAGCATGGGATGTTGTCCAGCGTGTCGACAGGCCAAACTTCGGCCTCTGTCTCGACACGTTCAACATCGCTGGCAGAGTCTGGGCTGATCCAGCTTCACCGACAGGGAAGACACCAAACGCAGACGCGGATCTTGAGGCGACGATAAAGAGAATGGTGAAAGAAATAGATCTTCATAAAGTGTTTTATATTCAGGTCGTTGATGCGGAACGGATGGACTCACCATTGGTAAAAGGACATCCTTTCTACGTCGAAAGCCAGCCGGCACGAATGAGCTGGTCTCGAAACGCCCGAGCATTTGCGTATGAAAAGGATCGCGGTGCGTATCTCCCAATCGAGCCTATCGCCAGAGCGATCATTGAAGGCTTGGGCTACAAAGGATTTATATCCATGGAGCTTTTCTCCAGGACTATGGCAGAGCCGGGTGAACATGTGCCTGAAGAGCACGCTAAACGTGGAGCAAATTCATGGAAGCTGTGTGTGGAAAATTTGAACCTCAATGGCTAGTGCATTCGATGACAGGTAGAGAGGTATGTATCAAGGAGATTAGAAATTAATCCCTGGACTCTCTTCAGCATGTTTCATCAGTACATTCCACGCACCCTCTCTGTCCAGCATCTTCACCCGATCCTCTCCGGACCATAATCGCCACTGTTGTTCAATCTGATATCCGATAACATGCGTGCCCTCAACTGTCTGCCAGCCAAGTCGTTCTGCCAGCTTGATCATTCGCGTTCGCCGAGGCTTGAAGCACATATCCAGCAATAGTCCCTTGCCTGGCCTTGACAGAAACTCTTCTAGAGCAGCGACGACCGTCTTCTCGGCCTCAGTTTTGGGCTCCGCGTCAGGCACCGTTCCTACCACGTAGGCTGGAGTGTCGAGAGATTTCGCCTGCTCTACGCTTTTGACATGTACGATATTGGGAGAGGACTCGATGCGAAGAACGTCGCTCTGGAGCGCAACGACTTCGTCGTCGTCTCGATTGAGTAAGTAGATTGTGGAGCAATGCATTTCGGTAGCGAGGGCATACACTGCCGCACGACTTGCGCCGCCAGCCCCGACAATGAGCGCTTGAACTGAACGTTCTTCGCTGCCTTGACACTTGGTACCGGTGGATTTCTCTAGAAGGCATCCTTTGATGCCCAACCAGTCTGTGTTTGATCCACAGAGTCTACTGGATTGGGATGGATCTCGATATATATTGTTGCAAGCGCCAATGGCCTTAGCCAAGTCGTCCAACGCATCGAGTTCTGGCATGACTGTGGTCTTGTACGGCATGGTTACCACCATGCCAACAGTTGACTCACGCCGTGCCAGTTCAAGCAACTCCTCGAGCGATGCACATTCGGTGCTATGGAAGGTCCACGGTAGACGAAGTGATTTGGCAATGAAGTTGTGCATGGGTGGTGCAATTGAATGCTTGACGCCCACTCCAACAAGATGGAGAGTTTTTTCGGCATCACTCTGACCTGATGCCATCATGGATGTAGGATTGTTTCCGTTAAAATTCTGTCAAATGCTCGTGGGCGCGTTGGATTCAAACCAATGATTAGCTAGAGTCTTGATGAGCTCAAATATTGGGGGATTATAGGAGTCAGATTCCATTGCCATGCTATTCAAATTACCGATTTAATAGTATAGATCTTTTCGGCCGTTCAGCGGTGTACTTGCGGCTCATATATAAGCCGGGCAATCAAGGGGCGATTTAGTCCTTTGCCGACCGTGGTTTCGAATCCTACTGCCGTAAAGCCGGGAAAATAAGGTCAATGTTGAGGAATAATTTAGAGAAACTTCTTTTTCTTTCCCCCTTTTTTTTTTCGTGTATATTTGACAATTTCGGATGTTAAACCCGTGCAAAAAAGGCCACAGCCTACGCCTAGTTTATAATTCTACATGCGCAAGGAACCCAACGACACCATTTCGCCAACGACTCTCGTGAACGATGCAATTCGAATTGACATCTTGCAGATCTGCTCTCGCATCTTCTCCGGCCCACGCACGCCTGAGTAACTCTCGGATAGATTCTCGCTTAAGCGCCCTCGGATCCCAGTGCGGTCTGCAAAATACTTCGTCCACAACCTTGTCCATCTCCGACTCGCTCATTCCCAGTTCCTTCCGTCCTCTTGGAACTTCCCCAATCCGATGCTGCGAAAGGATGGGCCTAAGATGCCTCTTGAGCAGTCCGATATTAGTCACCTGCTGGGGAATCGACACGAGTAGTGGACGAGGGAGGCCAGGTCGAGATAGCTCTTCTAGAAGCTTTCCAGCCGTAGATGGGAAATCCAACAGCCGTCAAAAAAATCTCAACCGTCGCATATTGTCTCTCGTCGTAATTAAACCCGTGCGAGGTCAAGATTCCTCCCCTGAAGGATCTGACGATCGAAAACAGCACGGACGATGTGATCGCCATGAATTCCGGAGCCAAAGACCCGAGGATTGCGGTTCCTGATGCGGCGACTGTTCACGCATATGCACGACTTCGCGCGCGACGTCGGGCAGACCTGTACGGACGTCAGGCCAGAGTTCATCCTGCTCTTGGACATCCTGGAGCTGTCGCTGTTTGTAGATTCCACCGATCGTCCAAAACCACCGCAGTCAACGGAGGGGACCGTCCTTGGCCCCTTCCACACGCACGACGGACAGCTTCTTGTCAAAGTCGCAATTTGGCCTTCGCGCCGGGCCGCTCGTGGCAAGCCAGGGACCGAGTCGCCATGGTCACGAACGCCGCGGTTTTTCTTTGCTGGTGCCGGCTGCGGCTAGATCAACGGCCAGCCGGTGAATTTGTTTTGCTCGTCGAAGCAAAGTGTGGCTGAAGACCAACGGCGGCTCCAAACGAAACTTCTGCTTCTCAAGCCCTACTGATCTTGATGATATCCAGACGAGACTGTCAAGCGGAATTCTCCTTCCAGGACGACATGGGCAGAGAGCACCGCCAAATGCGTTCGGATGCCTCAAATCTGCGACGTGATCCGTCGCTGTTCCAAGCAACCTCTCCCGTCCTGCTCTGGTACGATGCGCCAATATTGGAGAGGCGCCTTTCCTTCCTCGCGATCTCTTCGATCAAAGATAAGCCGGCCGCCCGAGCTCAACATCAACGTACGCAAGCCCCTGCTTGACCGCCAGAGGCACTAGGGCCAGCGCCTCATAGTAAGCGTCATCCTTGAACTTTCCTCGCTGGGACTTGGTGCGCATTGCAGACAGAAGCGGCAGCGGGCCGATGGACTGCAGAAGCTTGACCTGCTCTTCGATGTAAGATAGTGGTGGGACACCGTGGTCGGCAACAGGCCCAGGTATAGGCGTCACCAGGTCAATTCGCACTTCCCAGACATCGCCGCCGTAGCCAATCCTCGTGATCACCGCCCTGACGTCCTTCAAATTGGCAAAGGTCAAAGAGGGGATGAACGTCTGTGTGCTCCTGTTCCAGTTTGGCAGACACAACGTCCCCGCTCGTCCGTGACGCAGTCATGCCAGGCTTACTCTGCTGGAAAGCACTACGCAGCCGAAGAAGCGGAGGCACTCCTACATATAACCTGGAATGGAACATTGCAAAGCCGCACGCGATGCCAGGCCGTCGCGAAACGGGGCCGGTGACTTTCCTTTTCTTTCTTTCTTTTTTTTTTCTTCCCTTTCCAGACTGAGGTGTGGCTCTGCGGAAATCAAACGCCGCACGCAGGCAAACATGTAAGGTGCAGACGACACACAGGACTGCCAAGGGGAAAAAAAAGCACGGGGCATACGCGCGCGAAAGGCTCACAGAGCAGCTTTTATGTGTTCTACATGCACGGCTGAGTACAGGCTGATTCTCCTTTGTCAACGGCTTTACGTGCTCTGAAGGCGGTCTTGGAAAGCGCCTAGGCAATGATTCCAACCGTTCGTACGGAGTAGCAGCGCTTTGAGGTTCCGCCTTTTTCTCCACCAAAAAGGAGGGGTGTAGCTGTCGCGTGCCAGCCCCATCTCTGAGATGAGGTAACTTCTTCTACTTTGATGTCACTTTGAACAGTGTCTTTTTTTTTTCCAAAAGGGTCGACAGGGGATGCTTTGTACGATTGAGGTGCGAGGCAGAAGGTATGGCCTGAGTCGGAACCCAGTACAATTGCGAGGCCAGCGTCCCGAAGCGAAGGCAGTAAAGGCGCGATGATCACGACGCAAGAGGGGGAAAAAAAGACTCGCCGGACGACGGGCATTCGCGCAAGCACCGGCAAAAAGAGGAGAGAGCTCGCGCGCGATGCGCCTTGCACGCTTCTGGCGCGTCTCGCGACTTGATGCACGGTCGACGAGAAAAGTGCACGGCAAACACCGTTGCGGCCCGCCGAAGAGCCATACACGGCGGGCGTATGCATGGTTGGACGCAGAGTTCGCCTCGACGCACTTGGGCGAGCTGGAGGCCCGGAAGCAACGTGAGCCCTCGTCGGCCACGGCGCGCTCGCGGGTAGAGGCGGGTTCGTTTAGGGCCGCTCCGAGGAGGGGAGCAGGACGGCGAGAAGGGAGAAAAATGAAGGCCAAAAACGGTCGGAAGAGAATGACACCACTGTTCTTACTGTTGTCCAGACTGCATCCTCGCAGCGGGGGGGTTTATTTGTTCAGATCGCTTAAGCGCAACGATCGAGGCCTGTCCAGACGATCACAAGGCTGCGGCACACGTATCGCTCGCCGCCATCCTATCGCTTCCCACCCCGCTCTCCCACCTCCAGACTCCAGAATGGTGTCTCACTTTCCCCCCTCCACGCTCAGAACACGCGACTCGCTACGAAACAAACTCCAATTAGAAAGGAAAGAAACAAAAAAAAAAAAAAAGAGGGGGGCACACGGATGCTGGCCCTCTTCAACCATTCACGGCACTGCGCGAGAATGAACAACAAAAGAAAAAGAAAGAAACATGTGTCCAATACCCACACCTTCGAGTCTGTCCATCCTTTAAAGGAAACTTTGGGGGGTGGGATGGGGGAGCGGGATCTTTGCCTTCACGCCCACGCTGCAAAGAATTAGATATGCAGCACTGCACGCGTCGTCTCTCGCACCGACAGGAAACCCTCGCCAAAGCTAAAACAAAACGATAAACGAAAGACAAGAAAATGAGGCCTCTCTGTGGACCTGCAAAGATGACGCCGCGAAAGCAAAAAAGAAGCAGCGGGAGCAGCGTCAGCAGCGTTTGCAGTAGGAGCAGTGGCAGCAGCATCGGGATTGCGCCAGAACTGGGCGTGGCTTGCATCTTTTTTTGCTGCTACTCAGCTTCAGTAGTTGGTATCCCCCAATGATAGTCGTAGCAACGGGAGCGCCCAGCAGCAGCAGCAGCTGCTGCTGCTGCTGCTGCTGTTGTTGTGATGGCGGTGGTGAACTGATCTTGAACAAAACCCCCCTTCACTTTTTAGTAGTCCTGCTCCACTCGCGATGAAACGGGCCGGCTTCCAGCTTGTCCTTCCTCTCCGTCACTCGTCTTACCTAATTTTTGTTCTTTCCTTTCCATCTTTTCCTTCTCTCGCGTCCTTCTACTGCCGACTTTGCCCTCCTCACCGCAGTCTGTCCGTCACGAAACGTATTCCATTCAAGCCGTCGAATCCGTCTGTCATTTTGGAGATTGTTTTGTTATACGGCGCTTTTCCTCAAACAGAAGAGGAAATGGTGGGGTCCATCAAAATGCATTAGTGACGTTTTTGTTCACGTTGCTGCGATCGGCTAGAAGCCAAGAGATCTTCGGGCGGTTACTGCGCGTGGGGGTAATGTATGGGGCGTATCGAAAACGTGAAAGCCAAAAAAAAAGGCAAGGCGGCGAGTCCGGCGTCTGGGTTCCTATTCGTGGTCCTGCATGTTCCTTGATGTCTGGAGAGTGCAATGCCTGACAAAACTTTCGACGGCATCTTCGGATCTTCACGCGACCAAGACGAGAGAAGATCACGCCGATCGAGTCGTGGGAGTTACTACATCGCTGCCAGCCAGCCTGGCCAGGATGGACCCGACAGAGCTCCGCGGATTGTAGCTACTCTTGCGCGGAGAAAGAAAAACAAAGAAAGTATGGTGAAGAGGAAATCCCGACTTGAATCCCCATCTTGGAATGAGAAACGGGTTTTTTTTCTTGGAAATTTCTTGCATTGATGTATGAGACCATTGTGCGACCAATTCTAGCCGATTAGCTAGCTAATCGCACCTTGCTTCCTCGACTAGTGAAGTCCCATGGATGACCGCCCAACGAATGTGATTTTTGATAGACATTGAATCCACCCGTATGCGCTTATGTGTCTTATCGGATCTGCAAAACTTATCCACAAGAAATCTATGTTCATTTGGCTTGAGTAAAAAAAAAATAAAAAAAAAAGGAAGAAAAGAAACCCAAAGCAAAAAAACAGGCTCGTTAACGGGTTCGCTGTGCGTGCTCGAACGTAACTGCGAGAATGACGATGACGATGCTGTCTTACTGAAGCACCAGGTCCTCCATATGCAGAATACGCGACATGATTCATGGCGTCGTTAAACTTTGTGTGTGTGGGAGAGAGATGGTGGAAGAGTAGAGCCAGCCCTGGCTGAGACCGTTGTTATTGGCTATCGAGCAGCCAAGAGAACTGTCTCGAGTTTTCCGTCGGCTGTGGGGGTTGAAAAGGAAAGTCAAACTCGTCGTAGTAATCTTCGCTATTAGGTATGGCGATCGCGCCCACGTCGCTCTCACCACCCAGCTGGAAGCCGCTTGGAGACTGACTGGCCGATCGAGCTGCGGCGGCCTCTCGCGCGCTCTTTAGTGTGGCCAGGTTCTGGAGATGGCCAATGTTGACGTTGCTGGTAAAGCCGTAGTCCCCAGGCACGGTCGTCGACCCACTGCCATTGTGCGTGTGATGTGAGCCTCCGCTGTACGTCTGGCGATGTCGTCTAGGTGATGACGTAGGCTTGAATCCAGGTTCAAAGTTGGGCACGCTAGCTGGAAAGGCGAACACGCCGTTTTGCGGAGCACTCGTGACTGGAGTGCTCTCGCGGAACTGGACGGTGCCACTCCATAGCGCTGGGAAAGCATCCAATTTGCCGTTTCCCGTGGGGCCATCGATCTCGGACTGGGCACCTGATGAGGACGCTGTCAGGCCGGGGACACTCTGATAGTTCGACTCGCCGCTGTGGGAAATAGTCTGGGACAGCTTGTTCATGCTCGTGCTCAAAGGCAGGTCCGACGGAGAGAAAAAGTCCGAGGTTGCAGAGGGGATGTTCCAGTCGCTCTCGCCATACACACCCGTGGGCGACGTGACAAAGTCACCAGGGGCTTCAGCGACAGTACTCAGCGTGGTGTCGTACCATCCAGACTGGGACGAGATGGCGTCCGCACTGGTGGTGCGGAACAACTGAGAAGAAGCGTCGGGAGTGCTGACGTCGCTTCCGCTAAAGTAGTTGCCGAAATCAAGACCGGACTCAAAGCCGGTGGGAAAGTAAGCGGGCAGGTTGTCGGCGGACATGGTAGGCACGTCCATGCCATACATCTTGCTCGCATTACCGTTAAGAAGAAGCATGTCATCTGCGGCACGTGGCTCGCCGTCCATGAGGTCGGACGAGACCGCATCCTTGTGCGAAGGTCCGTGGAGGCTGGCAGGCCTCTTGGGCTTTTGGTACGGCTGACACGATGTGTGACCCAGAGTGTTGCGGTGCTGGGGCTTGGGGTGGCCCGTCGTCAGGACGCTCTCGGAGACTCGCGTGTCGAGCGTAGGCCTGCTCTTGACGGGGAGGGGGCGCCGGAGGAGTTGCTCTTGGATCCTCAGATCGGCTGCTTCGCTCTTGATGCCACAGACGCACTTGTTACCAGGCTTGTGGCAGGAGCATCCGAAGCCTTCGACTGAAGTGCGAGGTTAGCGCTGGGGGTCCAGCGGAAACAAGGACGGCACCAGCTTACTCTTTGGGCCGCTCTCAGACGACACGTCCTTGTGCTTCTTATTTCCACAGTTGCATTTTGCATGGTGGGATTTGTCCTTGCGGGCGGTTCGACAGTGTTCGCATTGCTTGACAGGACGGCCCTTTGGGGCAATGGGGAACAGCTCGCGGTCTGCACGGGTACAACAGACGTCTCAGTTAGTGGAGGCTGTACGGAAACGAGGCACAATTGGCGAGGGCGCGCGACTTCTACTTACCAGCATGCGTGCAGTTGCTGACGCGGTGGCCCCGAATGCATGACTGGCATGCCCACTTCTGGCCTTCGATAATCATGGCTGTTACCAAACGCTCACCTCTCCCAGACCCTCTGCGGAACCGACGACGGATACGGGTTCGGAGATTCGGGTAGAGAGCAGTCAGGGAAGGAGAGACCACCGACGGGACCGGTGACGACAGCGCAACCCCGACGACGCGAATGGTACAGCGCGCGGTGAAAGAGGACTGCGGAAACGAGGCGAAATGATGTGTTGCGTTGTGTTATCTTTTTCTTCTTGATCTGTTCCACAATCTCTCCCTCTCGTTTCGGCCGAGGCCACAGCGGTCGGTACGGGCAGGTGAGGCAAAAATGGGAGAGTGGAATTGGACGGGACGGTGGAGAGCAAAGCACGAACACGGACGGGACGAGAGACGGAAAGAAAACAACTCCAAGCTATAGCACCAAAGGGTGCGAAGCTGGCCAGAGGCCTCCGGTTAAATAAAGATTGAGCCGACCAAAACAAGAGGCAGGTGTGGTGGTGGTTGTTGTGGTGGTGTGGAGTGGGGAGGAAATGAAGAAAGGGAAGAGAAGAGAATAAGAAGGCGTCGGAGCCAGCGAGTGCAGGAAAGGGCTTGTGCTGGGTGGGCAGACCTCCATGTGTTTTTTTTCCAGACTAGCGCGACGCTGCAACAACAGCAGCGGCAGCAGGATGCGCAAGCAGCAGCGAGCAGCAGCAGGAGCGAGGGCGCAGGGCGGCGGCAGCCCAGGACCGGCCCAGTCCAGGCCGGTGCAGTACAGAACAGTACGGTAACGTACAGTACAGTACGCACCAGAACAGTCCAGCATTACCGTACATCAATCAGCATTGGCGGCAGTGGCAGCGCCCCACGCGGCGCCAGGAGCCGGACGCCTGTGCCTGCCAACGCGCGCGTCCGTCTGAGCAGTCTCCCGGCCGCTGGCCAGAAGCGTCCTCCCAGCTGCGCCCACCACCGCTTGTTTCTTCCCCCCCCGGGCTCGCCTGGTCCCTTCTCCTCCGACCCTGACCCGCCTGACTCCAGCACCGTCAAGCGCCTGTTCCCAGCGCCCATCTCCCGCGCAACCGCCGCCAGCCCGCTGCGTCTGCCTCAGCCACCAGTGCCGCCTGCGCGAGTCGCTGTCATTTGCTCCTGCTGGAAACTGTTAGACGCAGACGTCGACGCCTGAAGTCTCCTGCCAGCGCGCCAGAGAGAGCACCATGCGTCAAGTCGCCGCGAGCACCAAGCACCAAGCACCCAAAGCACCAGGCAACGTCGTATGCCGTCTAAGCCCACCGCCTGCCGCGCTAGGCCTAGTTCAGGCTCTTCTTCCACCCGCGGAGCGCTTCACTGGCCCCGTCGCGCGTGGGAGCCTGCTTCTTGACACACAAGGCGACGTCCCCTCCGATATCATCCTCAGCGCAAGGCCTTTGCAGAGTTTTCTCGTCTTCTCGTCTTTTCGATGCTGCAAGCCGCCTCTTCGAGCATCACCGCCTCCTCACCCTTTCTCGACGCTTTTCTGCTGCTTGTCGCCACCTCTGCCCCGTCCGTGCAAACCCGCCCCAATCTTGCACGCATACAATGTGCATAACCACACCTAGACGCATCCACCTTCGCGCACACGCACGCATGCACGCACAGTGCAACCATCCACGCTTTCCTCTCGACCCTCTCTTCTGCCAGGCCTTGGTCTTTGTCATCTGCCATCCCTGCGATCTGTAACTCTCGCCTATCCACCCCTCCTCTCACGCACGTACTCACTCACACACACTCTCTCTCGCTCTTTCTCTATTTTTCACTTTCTCACACACACACACCTACACCTCTTGGTCACGTTCTCACCCTCTCAGCCCTACTCCACCCTTACACTTGTTCACCGACTATCCCTTTCACTTTTCGGCCGCCCAACGTCTGCTCTAGCACCTCCCTTTCATCATACGTGATCCTTGCTCCCCAGGCCGCGTTCTCAACCACTGCTAAAACCCTTCGTTGAAATTACAGCATTCCCGTCTCCGTCCGCATATGTGAGCGTCTGTATGTGTGCGTATTTCGGTCCATGTTTAGGCACCTCCCGTGCCTCTGGCTGGTCCTTACGTCCTGTGGACCTTCCCCGCCAATCTTGTATTTTCTTTGCCTTCTCTCGTACCCGTGCAAAGCTTACGCTCTGCGTGAGCGTGTGCACGCATTATGCTCTTCCTGGAAATGCGATGCCTGGGTGAGTCGTACATAGCGTGCCTTGCTTGCGGTCGAGCATGCGACAACAAGACTGTGGCGGGTGGGCGGATCATTCGTCCCCCTCATCGCACGATCGCCCGGGAACCCCCAAGCAGTAACTCCTGGTACACGGTTTTGGACAAGTTCTATCCGGTTTGCTCCTACGTTCTCACACAATCGTCGTGTTCGATATGCCCGGTAGCCGCCATTTTTCTGCCAATTCTCAATCTTCAAAACACCCCCACACCCCTCTCTCCCAGACCCAGTCGCATGTTGCATCCAGACAAGAGACCAAGCTGACGTCGAGCCTGCACCGTGCAGATCTGCCTGTCTTGTAGCTTTCCGTTGTGCGTCTCGCCCATTGCAGCACTTGTCATTAACGCGGACGCTACTCTCGCAACGCCGGGCGATGCTCTTTAGCACCTGACAAAGGCACATTCCGTGCATCCGCAGCGGCACAAACTGCTTGCGCGGTATGACGTCCCCGACCAGGTTCATAGACCTCTCCTTGCAAGTCCTGTCACACACTAGCCTGAACGCGACTTCGCTGATCTCCCATGTACAAAAGCTGCACGCTTCTGTCCAGCAAGCCGCCCACTTTCAGAGTTGCGTCGTCGTCCAGCTGACCGCCAACGATCCGTATTCAAAAAAACCCACTGTGACGTGGAATCGTCAAGTCGTGGGATGTGAGTCCACGTCCTCCAATCGTCGCACGGTAAAATTCAGCTTCGGCACCCCTCGACGTATGTCCTGCAGATGTTCCTGGCAGAAAGTAACAGCGGGCGTCGTGCACGGCCCGGCATGCTGAACGAGCCCTGGTCACCCCACAGTTCGATGTTCGATTTGACTTGGCGCTTCGACAGACAGAGTTTTCATGCATCCACCAAGTCTTTGCCCTCCACGGCTCTCAGCCTCCTCCAAACCTCGTCCCTCTGCCTTGTTTTGCTTGGCAACGGAAGAAAGAAAAATTCACATCCCACGCTGTCGCCAACCAATAGCAACTCTCATTCTTCTGCCTCTCCCCTTGCGTCGCAGGTGTCAAGGGACAACTGCCCATTTCCACGCTCGGATCTTCGGTTTTGTCTTCCTTCGGCTCGGCCCACCGCACTATGGGACCAACCGCATTGTATCAGTTGGCCTAAGTTTTGATTCGCCTGATTCTGCCTAAACTCTCCTCTTCATTCAGCTTCCATAATGGGATGGTATAAATTTTTTTTTTTTCCTCTTCATCTCCTTTTCGCCTTGATCTGACCGCCTCCTGGCTCCTACTCCATGCAAATTTGATACACGAGTGATCTATCTTTCACACCCACTCCAACGAGGGGCCCATGACACATACAAAATCTACGCTTTGCAGCGTTGCGGCAGCACCGCGTGACCGCTTTGCTGGCATCTTACCCGCCCGTTATATGATGATGATCTGCCAGGATTCGCGGATGCCGAATGGCAAGAGAAAAACTTAGAAGTATCTTCGTTGGCGGTTTCCCTGCCGACCTCGGAATCCTTCGAGAACATCGTACGGGTCGTTGCTTGGTCTCGGAGGCCGCCGATGGTGTTCCTTTTCCTCGCGTCTCCATGCAGACGCAGCGATTCCCTTTTCCCATTGCTTGTGCTCGTACCTGTAGAAGACATGGGCTGTGGCAGGAGTGCCGCCTGGTCTCGCAATGTAAGACCGGAAGACGTTCGGCCGTTGATTGCTCGTACTCCGCGTCTCGCCAAGCCGTGTCGACAGTGAAACTCGCGGAGCGCGCCTTACGCAATAAGCTTGGTCGCGACGTGGAGAAGGCGCGAACGTGGACGTAGGCGCTTCGGCTCCCGCAGACGATCAGGACCGGACGAGGTGACAATCGCTAACTAGGGTCGAAAGCTAATGCTCCAACTGCCATGCCTCTATGTGAGACTTGCTCAGCCTTTGCCCGTGAAACCTTTTGCGTGGAGGCGACCTTGGAAACGGAACAGCCCCCGTCAGGTATGCTACTCACTCCGTTCAGAAGACGTCGTTGGCTGTCCAGTCTTTGTCCGGTTTTCAGCTTGGGAAATCGCGATCATAAATTCTACTCTCTTTGCAGGGAGCCTCTGCCCAAGGACAAGTATCATAGTTGACGGCTACACTTGAGTGAATCATATCATGACCATCTATGAGCCGGCGTAGTTGCGAAACAACCTATCAGCTCAATTCTAAAACTCCATATAGTCTTACACGCCGTCTTGCTGTTCCGTATTCTGTAGAATACCCCAAGACCACTTGGCTCGAGACAAGAGTGTAGTTCACTGTAGCGACAGCGTGATTCAAAACTCTTCCTATCTCAGCGCATGTGGTCGGGCCCTTCAGCGCCCGAGTCCAATCCTTTGCCAGCACCCAAACACATCTTCGCATAGCGTGATGAAATTCTCGTCAGCCACCCCTTCCACGATCAACTTCTCTAGCACAGCCATCCTCTCTTCGTACGGCATGCCAGCATAGCTGGCAAGATTCTCCTTCTCAAGATGCTGACACGCGATCTGCGGTGATGTTGGCGTCATTGCCGAACCAACGCGGTCGAGGGCGTTGCGTAGGTTATCAGTGATGTTGTTCGTGCCAGCTGCCTTTTCACTGGTCATGGGCGCGTCATCTGAGACGTTGTTGCTCGCTGAAGGGGTCGAGAGAGAGGTAGACAGACGGATGCCTGTCTCTTTTGCCAGGCGAATTCTCTTGCTCTGCGTCGATGTTGCCGTATTCGGTCTTTCGGCACCAGCTGCATCCACATCAAGGGATGTTGCTTCTTTGGTGTCCGCGTAACGTTTCTTCGTCTCGCCCTCGGCTAAGTTCCTCGTCAAGTCGTTCTCCGCGCTTGTTCCGTGTTTACGCGTGGGCATCACGCTTTCAATCGGAGCCGGTTCAATGAAATTAGGTTTCGGAAGCGCGGACAAATCTGCCGAGCTCGAGGGCCGACTCGCGCTTCTGTCTCGCGAAAACGCGGATTGTCGACTCTCTGGACGTTTAAACGGGAGTTCGCGCCGTGGCGGAATCATGGCGCTCAAGTCGCTGTCGAGCTGCACTATTGTCATCTTTGAAGTTGTCGAGGGGCGTTCCATGAGTGCTATCCGCGACGAAGGCGAGCAAGTTGATCCATGTCCGCTAATGGCCGGTGCCGTGTCGAGACGAACGGGTGAATCGGCTCGTAGTTCCTTGCTTTGTTCCGATTCCACAGCTGTAGCGCGTCTTCTTAATGGGTCGACACGTTGGTTCCTTGTATCGAAGCCCCCTATGTTTGCAACCACTGGATCTGCGTCGAACGAGTCGTCTTCATGGATTGGAAATAATGGCGTGGAAGGCTGAAGTAGCTCTGGAAACTGGGTTGTGTAAGCGTGTACTGACGGCCGTTGAAATTGAGAAGATAGGGAAAATGTGTCAGAGATCGCACTTGAAGGTCGAAAGAGATCGCTGGATGTAGCGTGTGATGAACTGAATTTGTGATCTTGCGAACGCGCAGTATCTACATGGCCAAAGAGGACTGATGTTTGTGCTGACGACGAGCGTTGTGAACTGGGCCTGTTTGGCGTCACTGTGCGCTCACCCAAAGGATTTACACCCGGGCTGACCATGTAGCAACCTAGATCTTTGAGAATTAAGAGAACGCGATCAAAATCCTGAACCGACTCAAATTTGAACTGTAGCCTACGCGTCTATTGATAATACACGTCAGCAGCATAATAGAAGTCACATAGAGACGAGTGTACCTCAGTCTCTGAGTATGAGTAGCGGATCGCAATCGCGCAGTTGGAACGCTTGTGGATAGCCGCAGTAGGAACATCGTCCGGCTCCTTGAGCTGCTTCCCAGCTTTCCGTGACGCAGCGACCAGGTCAGCTGCTTGGTGAATTTTTAATGACAGATCTACACGTTCCTACGTGCTATGCTGTCAGTGAGCGGGACACACAACAGGATTGCAAGTCACGAGCGCAATTTTTGACGGCTCATACCAAGACCTGATCTGCTTGGAGAACGCGCAGCATAGGATATGTCCGCTGACGAGAGGGAAATCCCCCATATGTGTCAAATATGAGCTGAAGATCGCGAGTTTCGTGCTTCCAGTTCCATTTTTTGCTTTGCTTTGGATCCGTGGTGTGTGAAAATTTAAGCAGTGAAAAGGAAACTCCGTTGGGGTGCGACACTGTCTGCATCATCGCCATCAATTTTTCGCCTAAGATCAAACCTTATAAATGAGACTAGACCATAGGCTTTCCCATGGTGACTGTTACAGCGTTGGAATGTTCTTTCATAACAGCGCTCGTGATACGATCAGCCTTGGAGTTGAACCTGAATGATCAGGGATTCGCAAGGACCCACTTTTTCTTACTGGCGCGGGCCTCGTTCGCGAAGTTCAAACACCAAACTTGTCGACGTGACAAGGGCTGAAGTTTGCGCCAGCTCAGGTTCCGGCATCACGAACCATTGAAAATCCTCGCTCTGACGTTCATGGTGCTCGCCAAACCCTCCCGCACCCACTCCCGTCTTTCCTTTTTTTCTATACGTGCTGGGCGACAACCCCTTGAGATAGGCCACGATGGTCCTCAAGCAGCGCGACCCGAGCGTGGAGCGGACTGAAGAGTATGAGGAGTTTATCAAGGACTTGGAACAATATCATGCAAAGCGCGGCACCGTGTTCGATCCGCAGCCCAAGGTTGGACCGCGACATGTGGACCTGCTCAAGCTGTACAAGAAGGTGCTGGAAGAGGGTGGCTACGATCGTGTCTCTGATACAAAGAACAACAAACTGGCCTGGCGCAAGATAGCACAAGACTTTATGCCACACAATGTGAACATCGTGCAGATGGCTTTTCTGCTCAAGACGGCGTACTACAAGAATCTGGCGTATGTCGTGAATTGCCAATCTTTCCTGAGCGGATTCGACAGTTGCTAACAGAGATATAGGGCCTACGAAATATCTACATACTGGAAGGAAACGCCTCCACCGAAAGAGATCCTGGAAGACATATCAGCAAGAGGAGGCGACCTGCGGACACGAACCCTAGAAAACTACACGCCACGCGTTCCTCGCGAACAGGAGAATTTGGCCAACGGAGAGAAATCAGACGGTTCTGATGACGAGACCAAGACTCCTAAAGTCGATAAGATGGAAATTGACGACCCAGGGAGTCAAAGTGGTCGTGCGACGCGAGGTGAGGCTGATTTGATAGGCTAAATTGAAGTTCAACCAATGACTGAGAATGAGGCAGGTTTACGACAGGCTCCACCCCAAAGAGTTCTCTTCGGTCAACAAGCAGACTTGAGTCAGGGACGCACAACTCGCACCGCACTCCATCAAACGAACAGTCCCACTCCAGGCGTAAACGGTTCATATGGTTCAAGTGGCGCTGCAATGACCATCTCAAATTACGAACCTCGTACAGTTATGCCCGCTACTGTTAAACCGGCTTGGACGCCTGCCAGCCAACCTCAGCACTTTCGCGATCTGGCCCGACGGATGCTGGCGCAGCGAAGAAGTTCACGGCCACAAGGACACATCCGTGGCACGCCCATGCTTCCAGGCACCGGTTTTACTGGGGCGAATATCTATCTCCGCGCGCTCTTTGCGCTTCAGTCAGGAGAACCTGCAGAAATACGCTATGCGCTCCATCATTTGGTCAAAATATCTCATGAACGAGGTGATAAATACTTGTTTGAGCAGTTCGTCGGTTTAGCTGAAGCGCTTCTCGAGCAAATTCTCAAGGTCAGCAGTCTCTGTTATGATATCAATTGGAGGATATCATATGAAGATGAGCCACCAACTGAGAATGATGTCCTCAACGCGCTCAACGGCACTCCGAATATTATGCAAAAGCTAGCTGCCTTACAACCACTGCCCATTGTCGATGGTTTACAGCCGGAAGACTTTGCGATGACCCTCAGCAATGTGAATGAGGCAGGTCTAGTACTGCGAAATATGGTCATGCTGGAGCAGAACGCCGCATATATCGTCCGTCGGCCACTCTTGCGAGATTTGCTTGTGATTATTCTCAATCTACCTGAACGTCCAGCTTTGACTGAACTACGTCATTATGCTCTTGACATTGCAGAACAGATCACCAAATACTTTGCATTGCAATCGAACGACCCCCTATATACGTCGTTGCTAGCTCAACTCAAATCGGACGACAGGGGCGCAATCATTACAGCACTTCGCGCTCTCAGCCGAATAGCCATGAACTTTGAGACGATACCTAATAGGTTGGCAGATGTACCTGTGAATATCCTTCAGAGAGTGTTTGAGTGGCTGCTCGTTGATGACGAGGAACTGCGAAGCTCTTGCTTGGACTTCCTGTATCAATACACCGCAATTACGGAAAACGTGGAGTATATGCTGAAGAATTTGGATATGGAGGGTCTTGTCGGTCAACTTGTACGGCTGCTCATGTACGGTGCGCAAGTGCAGAAAGAAAAGGAGGAGAGGAGAACAGTCAGCTCAACAACTCCTGACACAGCCAGCACACCACCAAAACTCTCGCCAAAGATTATTGAAACACTGATCGCTACGATACCGGACGAGAGGGAGTTGAGCAGTGCTTGGTACGTATCTCCCATTTGTTCTAAATTTACAGCCCATTGACTTTTCCAGGTTGCGCACATGCTTTGAGGAAGATCCTCAGGGCGAGATTACGCAACTCGCGCTTTGGTCAGCTTACAATGAAGCCTTTGCACAAGCTAAACTCACGCGACCGCTCATGCAAGCTAAAGATTTCATCACAAACGTGTCGAGCACATTCACAAATGCACAAGCCCAGGTTGTATACCCAGACCAGGATCGCACTAAGCCAAAGTACACAATTCGTGGTGTGAGACCGCGATCCGTACCAGTTGATTTACGAGGCAGACCATATCTTAAGTGCTTGTGGCGAACACCTGCGCCAACGACAAATGGTTTCACTCCAGGACAAACCAAGCCTAGGGATAGCGAATGCGATTTCTCGGTACTAAAGGCGGACGAGATGTGGGAGCATGTCATGAACGTCCATTTCAATATGCACAAAGACAAGGAGACGGGCAGATTTGTTCTCGCGAACAGCAACGGTAAACAAGAGACCAATGGTGACGTTATCATGGGCGAGGCAGACAGCCCTGCTCCGGTTGTGGCCAAGGTCTGGAGCTGTCATTGGGGTGGTTGCAAGAAGATGCGCGACTCATCGGATCTCAATGCCGTCGTTAAACACGTGATCACTCACCTTCCGGACACGAGTTTGCAAGCGCCCATCCATAAAGTGCATAATGTCTCACCCGAACGTGTAGAGATCCCCTCATCCAAAGTACCATATCAATGGATAGTTACTGCGACAGACGAACGCGGCGATGCCGCTGGTCTGCCGCTTGCGGCGATCCTAGTTCTCAGAAACCTGGCTAGGCAGATGGGCAAGGTTGATGAGGCAGAGAAAGTTGGAGGCGGGCGCCAGCATAAATGGGTTGAAAAGTGCTTCGGCCCTGTGCGAGAGCGCATAGCCTGGGTTGGCGCTTGGAACCGCAGTTTAAGAGATCTCATGCCGCCGCTAGAATTTCTAGTGGAGAAAGGCCTGGGGTTGCCTACGTTGCCACCGTTGAACAACGCGGACATGGATCTTCACTGAGCTTCTTCTTCGCATCTGGGACTTCAAGGTGGGGAAAGTTGGGCACGCACCGTCTCGGCCTTCTTTGTTTGCATTGGCGTGGTGTTTTGGAGACGCTATAGTGGTCATTTGCCGTCTTTATGTGGGAAGTATGATAGCGCCTGTATTATCTTGTTCGCGCAGCTATAAATCTCATGGTAGACTTTCGATGATATTTTTCCTCATAGCTCAGCTCAGTTAGGTCCAAGGGCGTGACGACAACGAAATACAGCCAGTACGCCGTTGGGGAGCATGAAATCACACGTTGTGTTGCTCTGGGTCAACTGACCTCTGGGGGGGGAGAACAAAGGGCCCATCCTGGTGCACAAGCATCAAGACTAGAGTTCTGCTCTGGATGGCAAACGGGGGAAATGTACGGAGGAGTGTCATCACTTCCGCGGTCAACGCCTGCCTTGCGAACGTCGCGTATGTGGCTGATGTCATTAGGTTGCAGCGTGTCATACTCCGTGACGGACAGTGTGCCGCATGCCTTGGCGTGCAGCCGCTCGAGCCCCCACCACGTTCGAACAACAGCCAGGCTGAGCACTGCAGACGGTTAAAAATATCGGCCCCGACTGTTGCATTTCCAGCCTTTGATACGGAAGGCCTGTGGCCACGCAAACACAAAGAGACGTTCTCGTGCTCTTCTCGTGAGCAGCCTGACGACCCTGCGATCACCACCACTCAGCATTTCCGGCGCAGAAGCACAAGAGGCTGGCATCGCAACAGCCCAGCCTCCACCACCAGGCGAGCAACAACGCCACGGAAAACGGATTCTTCAGCCGCCTCAGACTCCCCAGTACGGCGTATGGTACACGAATATGAGGGCTCGTGCGACTTCTGTTCTCTTCGCTGTCGTCAGCTTCGCCCTCGCCGTCGCGCATGTTTCTGCAGAGCCGCTTGTCGCTAGGCAGGCTGCCGCCACGACGAACGAGTCAACCATAATCTTCACCATTCAGACCGACACCGTCCTCGAGTCGACCACCTCGCAAACGGCCGCCCCCTTTGGCAACAGCACCTTCACCACTTCGTCGAGCTCTTCGACCCCTCGTTCGACCCCTACTTCCACGTCTAGCAGTCAACTCACGTCCAACGGCGAATCCACGGCAACGTCGATTGCCTTGACTACGTACACGATTCCACAGTCTGGTGGCGGAGTCATCACGAGCACTGCGTTCGCTGCTCCCAGCACTAGCACCAAACTGCCAAGTGTGCAGCCCGGCGCCGGCAATCAGGTCGCGGCAAATCTCAATGAGCTGGGTTTGCTAGGAGCAGTTGCCGTTGTGGCCATGAACATGATTTGATGTGCAAGTAAAGAGGGTCTGATCTATTTTTCCTTGGAGGTCCTTCTCATTGATTTTTCACTTGAAGCTATGAAGACACGCATGATGATACCCGCTCTTTGGCTTTCTCGTTCAGCATCATAGCATAATATGCCATATGTATGTACATTAATTGTATCAGGATCGTTTGGATACAATTAATCTATGTCTTCTTAGATTCGACGGAGCTATACACTTGTGTTTGATGATTGAACACGTCATTTCCATGGGAATTGTTCCTTTTTTAAAGCTCACTCCCGGTGCGGCAACGGACATGTAGACAGGCCTTTTGTTACGCACAATGCATTTTCATTCCGTTACCGTTACAGGACCAATGACTTCTTTCACCGGCCATCTCGCCCATTGTCATCTGAGTCATTTATATGCACTATTAAATCGATCACGCCTGTGCACTTCTTCAGCAAACGAACCCATCTCCCGGAGGTGCAGTCATAATTCCCTTTGACGATTTATCAAGGCTTGCATATCACGTAGTCAATCCCCTGCTTTTAGCACGCAGACTGTGCTTGCATCACTTTGCAGTCGCTCGACAAGAATGGCTCCAATTTGAAGATTCGGGACATCTACGATAGTTTTCTGCGTATATGGACTACGTGTGGCTCACGGGGGATCTCAGGTTGCATGGGGCAATGGAAATTTTATCATTCATGTGAATAAAGAGTATGCGCAACTTTTTGTGGCCGTATTCTTGAAGGCAGTGCATTACCTCACAACGTGATAGGTCGTATATGGCCCGGAAACTGACTGCAAATGAAGCCAATAAAGACCGTAATATACCTCTCTTATCAATAAAAAAAAAATTAAGGCTCTTAGAATGTAGACTCAAACTTGCGCTTTGTCTCCGCTCAAACTCTTGTATTTCAGAATCGTGTTAAAGCTTCTCGTAAAGCCATTGTTCTGCAACTCTGCTGTTGCCGGAGGAGCATTCACAACTCCCCCACACTGGACGTCGACATGATCCAGGAGATCCCACAGAGGCTCCAAGGCGGGGATCTTGCAAGCCCATGGTCTCCATGTACGTTGGAATACGTGGTTTAATACTTCTGCCCACGTTATAGTGACGGACTTGGCATTGCTCGTGGGCAATATCAGGGTAGCGACAACGTGTTTGATCGCCTCCACGAGAAAGTCGACATGAGCATTCATAACGTAACGGATCTCAATGTTACGACTGCGTTGGACGTAGCGATTGCTTTGTAAAGCGTGTCGGTACGCGTTCTGATTGCCTAGTTTGGCGAATGCGAATGCATCCACGTGAATGGTTAAACGTTGGGTTCGGTGGAAGTGTGATAGTGCTTCCTCGCAAAGCAGTGGGTGAGCTTGTAGGAGATTCAATGGTTGAGTGTGCGCCGCAGAAAGATGCAACGAGCCTGAATCGTCTTTGAGGTGCAAAACGGGTCGGTCTTCGGCTAGATAGTCGTATATCGTTTCACGAAGCTCCAGAGGGAGGCTCAGAAGGTGAGCGGCTGGGTAATTCACTGCCATTCTTGCATTAAAGCGAAGAAAATAACTGTCTGAGAGATTTTAAGTAGCAAGTACTGATGGTAAATACAAACTATGTCCCTCTTGATTGCCTGCGTTTTCAAGGTATGAGTCCTGAGGGGACTTCGTTTTCGCTTGGATTCTCCACACGTGGCCTAGCTCATGAAGTACATTCAAGCGCCTCTTTCAGCTCGTCAAGAAATACGATATATCTGTACTTTGAATTTATGAATTTGGTCGACCCAAAGCTCATATTTTTGATTCGTGGAGAAATTATTTTGGTCTCTTTTAGACTAAAGGTCACGCTCGCTATGATGGTAAAAGTTAGACCGCTCAGCCGAAACCAATGCTGCGAACCTTTTTGACCGAATCTATGTGTCGCGTTTCGCGTTACTATGATACAAGCTCTCAAATTTCACATAAAATCGAAAGGATTATGTGTGAAATACCGTGTTAATTTATAGTAACGGTTGCGATCCTTAGCTATGTATTTGCAAAACTCGCGCAGGCGAACTGTAGTTCTAGCTACCGTTCCACGTTGAGCGTCACAATCAAACAGTTAGTCTTCCAGCCTGCCACATTCCCCAGGTTCTACAGTCTATGCTCACTTAGTCCTACTGTAATAGTTTGACTCATCGCTCAAGTTGAAAATTGTTGGAAAGCCGTCCATGCCAATGGTAACACTTTCTTTGATAATGTTCTTTGGCTTTTTTTTTTTTCAAATCAAAAGTGGTATCAGACGGTATTGTTTTAAAAAAGCTTCTTCAAAGACTGTTAAGTCATAGCCGTTAACCAAGTTGCGCTGCCAATGAACCAGCTCATGTTGATTCTTATCATTTGGCTAAATGTGTCGCTGAAATCGACAAACATAAAGAACAACATAATGCCAGCTTCTCAAAATAGCAAACGAACTGACTAGTCGCCAAGAAACTGAACGTAAAAGCTGGTCAAAAATTGTGGCCTTCTAAAATTTTAGTTAAAGGCTTTTGGACGCATGAGATATGAGTTAATATCAGATTTGCAAGTACTGACTACCTCTGATAGACATGTTGCCAAGCGATGAGCCAGTGTGATAGTGGAGATTTGTATTAAAAGACAGGAAGAAAAGCAAGGAACTTTACATATCTCAAATCCAGGATGAGAGTCGGAAATTTTCTGTCCTAATTTCCATCTTATCTTCAATTTACTAGCAAAACCCCCCGTTATGTTCGTAGATTTCCAGCTTACGATCTCAAATACTATGAGTCAAAACAGTCTGGGAGATGCTGTTCAAAGGAAACTTGAGCGGAAGATTCTGTTGAAATATGGTTTTAGTTATCGCAGGAATCGCGGAGAAGTCTACTCAATTGATGCATTTCAAAGATGCCATTTGAAATATACTAATTGTACTGATAGGTACGAGTAGAGAGCATCATTCTAACACTCGCACATTCATTCGAACGACCTTAGTGCCCTGAATCGCACATCGAGGCGAAGCAAAATGGATATTGTAAAGCAATCAACTAGCGGCTGCAACTATAGCTGCTGCGTTTGGACAGGTACAAACACCATTCACTAATGTTCCAGTTGTTGTCGCTGCTGCCGCCGTGGCTGCTGTAGGCAACACCGCCGCCGATGCTACAGTCGCGGCAGCTTTATACTTGTCAATATGAAGATTACAGTGGTAGATCCGCTCACATACCTAAAGATGCTGTAGCTGCACTTGCAACAGTCCCGGCTGCTGCGGCACCGCCCGCAGCCGCAGCCGCAGCACCAGTTCCTTTCCCTTTGCCCTTTTTACCAGTTGCAGCGGCAGCGGCAGCAGCAGCTCCGTTACCTTTACCTTTTTTCCCTGTCGTTGCAGCAGCAGTGGTACCGCCATTAGCTGCACCGGCATTTGCAGTGCCAGCATTCGCGGCACCAGCATTTGCAGCGCCAGCATTTACAGCACCAGTATTTGCAGCACCAGCATTTAAAGCACCAGCATTGGCAGCGCCAGCATTTGCAGCTCCACCTAGATAGAATTTTCAAAAGATATTCATGATCAGAAACAATAGAAGACATATCCTTACCTTTACCCTTACCAGCAGCTGCGCCAGCATTTGTACCAGCGTTTGCTCCTGCTGCACCTGCATTCGCAGCGCCAGCATTTGCTCCTGTGTTACCAACACCTAATCTCTGTCAGCTCTCTAGTCACAGCTACGTTAATCATAAGTAATCATTGACCTTTTCCCTTACCTGCGGCGGCGCCGGCTCCACCAGCTTGAGCTGCACCTATTTTACTATTAGAGGTTTTGCAAGCTCACGAAGTTTATCTTCCAAGACAAGAATTGCTACCTTTTCCAGTGCCGGCACCTCCAGCTCCAGCGGCTCCTGCACCACCTTTGCCCTTGGCTTGTGGAGATCTGGCTACAACTACGGTACGCTCTGTGAATGGTATTCCTAGGCCGAGATCTGTAAGTAATTTTAGTTGGTCTGTCATCTCGTTTCTCTTTCTATTCTTTACCATTTGCTGGTGCTGGCATAGCGGACACCACTGTGATGATGCCGAAGGCAATTGCAGCAAAGCTTTGAATCTTCATGATGAAAGTTGGAAGGAGACGTCCAGCGTCGACTCGCAGAGTACTTGAAAAGCTATAAAAGTATTAAAAGAGGTAAGATGGACGTAAAATGTAGTAGATTAAGCACTCTGTTCACAGAACAAAGACTGGGAACGAAGGAAATGTTGATAGATAACTTCGATGGATCACCAGCACTGCATCATGAGCAAGTCTTATGTACCAAGAATTCATGGCTTTTTCCGTCTCCTTGGAGAAGATCTTCAAAAGTGCAGGGGAAAGTCACTCATTGCGTCGAAGTCATGGCTCTGTCAGCTGGTTTGGCAAGGTTTCTGCATTGAGAAGCAACGAGGATATGCATCCAGGTTGGGCGACAGTTCGTGTTTGTGAGTCGGTGGGCACGCACGGCAGAAACAATACCGCTCCAGTAACAGAGCACAAGTTTTAACCCTAAATCTTGGCAATCACCTTAGGATATACAGCGAAGCAGCATCATAGAAAAGTGCAAAGAGGTGCACTGAAGCTCGCGTGCCTGATAGGTAGAAACGAAACAATGGGATGTCCGTGAAGCTTGCGTGCGAATTCCTTCCGTGTGCCTAACCGGGCCGAGAGCGTACTCCATAACTGAGGTCTTTGCACACATCCGAATGTTTGGCCAAGGTGGTGTCTATATTCTCTTTCGGAAAACCCGATGTTAACATCTCAGCTTAGAAGTCCATATCGAGTTCGCGATATCTCTGGAAAGAATTCAGCTTTAGAATTTCATCAGATGATCTAATTCGGCTCTGAGCCTGTGAACTGACTTAGCTTTTAGTCGAATGCGATAAAGTTCGTCAAGAGAGCTTTTGAACACGAGTAACGCTGCTTCATTAGACAATTCCAAGACAGTGTTTTCAGAGCCAACATCAATGGCGAGAGAATAGAAGAGCTACGAGCTTGTCAGCTCTAATGTGGATTGTAGTTGAAAAGTGGTTCCTTGGGAAGATGACACAGGATAGGCCAGGCTGGGATCGTGATTTGACTAGGCGCATGAAAAAATTCAGGTTTCGAAACTGCCGTTGCAACAACGACCTGGGCACCTGTGACAGCTTTTTGACACCGGACCGTGCGGTAAGATCGACATGAAAGAGGCGTGATGCTCCTTTCTCGGGCTTCCATCGTGGTTGAAAGGGAATAGAATGTTTTTGCGACGTTGGTCAACCCTCTGAGGCTTCATAGCATCAGAAATCATAAGACTTTAAAAAGTTCACCTCTAGACTTCACAGCTTTGAAGATAATGGACAGGATACTATGGCGCTTCAGTCGTAGTATGAGAGTTAATAAAATGATAGAGCACATGATTATCTTTTTTCTCTTCCTTGCTTTGTCGGATATGCCTTGTCAACCCAACTCGCAAACAGGCTTTCGAATTTCTTTGATCGATGGCAGTACATGTTTGTAGTGAGTCCATTCCTTGTTTCCTTTTCTTTTCTTAATTTTCTTTGGCCTTTTATCCAATTCAGTATAAACTGTACTCGTTAAAACACATGAGAGAAGAGTTTAAACCGTCGTTTTGCTTATCTCAATACCCTCCCAATTTGTAACTTTACCATCGGCGGATATCAATCGTTCTCGACGCTGGCTCCGACCAAGCATCGAATACTGCAGCAAAGATTCATCGTTACCTCTAAAGCTGTTTCGGAAGTCGGCGCATTGAATTTCCGACTATTGCATTCGCGTTACCCAGAGTGATCGTTCTCACATTCCATGTCCGAAAGTGCATTAGACTCATTAGAATGTTCGTGAAGTTTTACACATAAATATGTAGTATAGAAATATTCAATAATTTATGGCAATTACTGCACCCATTGCGTCGTCAAATAAATGTTTTATATGTTTAGCTTCACCGGAACGATGCTCAGCCTGGTTGCTGCCCCATTTTGGTCACCACCAAAGACCGCTGCTACCTAAAACCATGCACCGCCAGTTCTCATCGTTCAATGACTGTCCGAGCATGTACAGTATGATTTTTGGGTACATATTGCTCCATGTTTCCTTACATCTTCGTTTGCTCCTCAAAAGTCACCGTTCTTCGGATCTTTTCCTGCATTTTCGTTCCTTTTTTGACGAGACCTTCTTTTGGGAGAGACATCAGCCTCGTTTGATTCTTCTCCATTGAAACACAAGGACTTGGGCCAGTCAGAAATACAGTCTCAAGTGGTCAGTTGCTTGACGATTGTAAGATTTTCGAATTCTTCCTCAGCGCTCAGCCCATGTTCTCCACAAAATAATCGCAAAGGACCAAAGTACACGTTCGAGATAGCCTGATCGATAGTTCTCACGCTAACAAGTCAAAGGTCTAGAGCAGGACCACCGAGGGACACAATGGTTGATCAGCCGCTTGCGTTCATTCCGTCCGTGAAATCTATGTTTGCAGCAGGTCGCGATCCATCAACCGCTTTCAAAGACATACGTTCACCTTCTAAATTGCGAAACCGTATCAGGGCACAAAAGAGGAAATATTTCGACTATCGCTTTGTCAATGCCGGCCAGGTGTCTCAACCACACTATGCTGCGTCTGAGCATTATGCATTTTTCGCACCCACGTTCCCGGCAGACCTGTCTACTTGCCAGACCGTGAATCTCACTAAGCAGCAGCTGTTCAAAGAAGCCCAGTTCACAGCGCCATTATACAGGAAAGGCTCATGCGCTTGCTGCCGATCATGGCGGGCTCGTGATGCCGAATGGAGGAAGAGAGCTGCCCGAGAAGAGGCATATAATTGGAATAAGATCAAGCTTCACCAAGATTTCTCTGACGTGTCAGGCTGGGACTGCACGAAGTACGATGAGCTGGCATACCAAGACGTCGAGGATTACTGGGATGAGGTGTACTGCCACAGCTGCGAACTGTGGGAAACTGAATTTGGAGCTCCCAACCTGCTTCCTGGATATGAGGGAGACGAACTGCAGACGGTGTACGACCTAGAGTCACTGGTAATCAATGCATTAGCAGGTCTCGGAAAGCCCGTGGAAGAGGAATTTGGGTGGGAATATCTAGCCATGGATGAGTGGGATTCTCCAGAGTTACCTTGGGTCAGTGACCAAACTGATGTCGTTGAGGAGGAGGATGACTTCGAATTGTTGTAATAATAGTATAGCAGTATATTCTGCGAATTTGAGCCGTCAAGCGTGCTGAGAGTACGACGACCAATTCATTTAGTGCGCAAAGTCGAAGTAAGACGTGGTGTTGAGGAGCGCAACATAAAGATGTCACTCTAATCCTCGGCACACTTCTTTCTTTGGAAGTTTCAAGGCACTAAGCATTGGGATCTTTGCTCCTAATTGTGGTTCAATTCTTCAAATCGTGTCCTGTATTTGGTATTGACTCTGCCAGCCTTGCGGCAAGCCTGATCTAAATTCGGAAACGGGCTGACATCATCGACATACACTCGCCCATAACTTAGCCCAGTTCGGCGCTTTGCGTTCATCGAAGAGCGAGATCCTACAGCGTGGGCTATTTATTGGACATCAGAGCCGACAGCGATCAGCTGGTCCATCGGCCAAATCCACCAGTTGACACGCACTGAGCAACGAGCCAGGCGCTAGGGGCGGTCGCAAAAATAATGACCAGCTATTCCAACTGAAACAAATTTCATCGACAACGGGTAGAAGAGCCATCCCGAAATCTAGCCCACCTCTTTCGTACTTCAAGCGAACTGAACCCTCCCCAAAAGCCGGCCCGGCGTCGATGAAGGTCGTCCAGCAGAACACACAATGGCTTCGGATGCATCAACAGGAGCAGGCCAAGGCATGTTCCCGCCGCACATCCTGGTCCCTCTCTTCCACGCGCAACACAACGTACTGTAACGGAGACTGAACCTGAACTGACGCGGACGCTACAGCAAAACTCGACGCAGTAACCACGTTGCTAGACAAGTTGTCGCTCGATCTGAAGGATAAACACCTCAAACCTAACGAGCGCGACCAGTTCCTCGAGCAGCTCAAGGTCTTCGGTCGTGACCCCTCCAACGCCGATCCCATCTTCACAAAGCAAGGCGTGTCCACCCTCGCCCAGCACGCCTTCGAAAGCAATTCTCCGACCACGTCACGAGAGGCGTTGCGATGTCTCGCCAACGCTTTGCTGCTCAAGGAAGCCACGCGGCAGATATTGGTGGACTGCGGCGCTGCGCCAAAGCTGGCTGAAAAGCTGAAGACGGACAGTACCGAAGACGAGTTTCTCGTTTCCCGAATATTGTTCTTGCTGACATACGGTACCAACGTGGACTTTGAGAAGCTTATCAAAGAGAATGGTCTCGCCGACAGCGTGAACAAATGCATATCCCGGCATGCCAAACGATACTCTAGCACGATGCGCTTATTGTCGCACAGCTCTCCCATGGATGACATGGCACTCAACGAAACGGCGAAGCTCATTTTTAACATTACGCATTTCTATCCGGACCTCGGGCTACAGTTCTCTAAGTCTATACCACCACTGGTAGAGATTATGCGTAAAAGCAAGATACGCACGCCTCCACTCGACCCTCCTCTGTGCGCCGTCATCAATGCGCTAATCAATCTAGATCTAGCTGAGAAGAGCGGGGGCCTGTTGGGCAGAGACGCTCTGTTTCCAGCACTTGACCAGAAAGGCAACGCTGAACACCTGATCAACATCTTAGACGCAGCCATCTCGTCCTACACTTCCTCCGAGCTGGAGCAGCTCGCCGCACCTGTCATCACGTTAATACGCAAAGTTTACCAGATCGCGCCGGAGAATGTGAAGAAGTACATGGAATTCCTGCTCTTGCCTACAGATGCGGAGCGCAACAAACCACTTGGCAAATCAGACACGCTCTCGTCCCGACTTTTGAATCTGTCTTCGTCTTCCACCTCGGCGACCCTTCGCAACTCCATTTATGGAATGCTTTTCGAACTTTCGGGCGAAAATGCGGACACCTTCGTCCGCAATGTCGGCTACGGTTTTGCCGCTGGGTTTCTCATGTCCCAGAACATGCCGATACCGCAGTCGGCTGGGGAAGCTTTCGCCGGGACTGCGGACGGCTCACCCATCAATCCGATCACGGGACAAAAGATAGAACACGAGCCCAAAGACGAAGGCCCGCCGATGACTAAAGAAGAGAAAGAGAGGGAAGCAGAAAGGTTATTTGTCTTGTTCGAGAGGCTGAAGAAAACAGGCGTCGTGGACGTGGAGAATCCGGTTGCAAAAGCAATGCAGGAAGGTAGATTTGAAGAACTTCCGGATGATTACGACGAAGAAGACGAGAAGCCCTGAAAATGATGATCCATTTGTGAGCTTAAGGACGCTCAACCGCGGTAGTCGAACATTGTACATTCCGTGCATTAGAAAGCGGCAATGGCTTTGTCAGAGATCTTACAATGATGTGACTCATCAAGTTCCTTAGATTGCATGGCAGAGAAGCATAGTATGTACAGCTAATGAACTTCATGTGCCCTATCGAAATACTGTCTTATGCAGTGCCGTTCCTGTCTGCAGACTCTCCATTCGACTGTCCATTAGCTGACAGTAAAATTGTAGCATATGATGAAGACGATTATCTTCATTATATCAACTAAGAGCTACCTCGTTCCATTTCAAGGTGCTCTCTTGTCGACGGATCAAATGAACGTCGACATATCGAGCTTGAACGTTTTCAAAATCGTCTAGTTAACTGAAGAGTTGCCATGTGTGGGCAGGCTAGTTAGTCATCACAGCCACCCTGGAAGTCCACCTTTCGTGTCCAAGGCAATCAAGTGTCACACCGCGAGCGGCAAATTTGCTGGTGCTTCTGCGCGTGCAAAACCTCAAGTCCTCGGGGACACTTGGGAGAAAGAGCTCCTCGTCACGACATCCTCTGAACTGCACGTAAATTTTGTTCTTTTATCCAGAAGAAGAAAGTTTTTGAAAGTACAGACAGCCACGTCCATCCATATTTGATTTCCATTACAAGTATTTCAAGAGAATATGGTCACTCCGGGCGATCTCTTGCGACTGTACGAAGGATTCGACAGCTATTCCTAATCTCAAGTTATTCCCGGTTCGGCTTAGCTTCTCGTATCCACAGCCTTCTGACTGTGTCCAGAGCCTTGGCTGTGCTTGCTAGGTTGAAATTATGTTCAAATGGGTTCGAAGGTTCCCTTCTGCCTCTCGAAGCCAGAACATGGTGACGTTCATAACGTTGCCACGAGAAATCCGCGATGAGATCTATGAGATTCTTCTTCTGCTTCCTATTCTGAACGCGGCGCCTTCCGTGGCAGACGTACAGAAGGCAAACACGCGACGGGACTCCGAGCATGTTTCTGCAAGGAATATCCGTTACCCTAGTCAAAGGCCAACCAAGAATCCGATCGTGTCGTTACTTCTTGCAAATCGTCAACTGCACGATGAAGCTAGCCTGGCCATTGAGCGCTATCAGAAGTGTGGCGGCGTAGCGCTGGTACTTGATCTTCTTCTGGAAGGAAACAAGTGGTTTTACCCAACATGGATCAGCATCTTGCCATATGCTCCCGTCGTCCAAAGGATCCGGATCCAGATTCGCAACTTCGCAGCCTCGGATGAAGCTGGTGGACACCCGTTCTCAGCAGTTTGGCGACTTGGTCACCTGTGCAACAATTATTTGAAGAGAGGCCCTGCTTTGGTCGACGGTGAAGACTTTCAAAGGACGATAATAGTCGAACATCTCACAGTGGACATTATCTCGGACCCCCTGCTCGATGAGACAGGAAGCAGTGACCAATCAGCGATTCAACGAGAGATGCTTCGCGATTTCATGATCAATAATATCGACGTGCTGCTGGTTGACAGGTATCGGCGACAGTCAGTTCCTTGGGGACCTCTCTTTCTGTCACGCGTTCGGGAATTGAATATCGCTTATGAAGGAAACATCTTGAAGTCAATAAACGTCTTCGAGAGAGCGAAACAGTGCAAAGTCCAGGTTGTAGAGTTGCCAGAGAAGAATAGAACATAAGAGATGGTAGAATCCTTTAGAATGCTAAAAAGACAAATTCGTGCTGTCATCGCTATCAAAAGGATGAGGGTAAATGACCAAGGGAGATGATGGAAAGATAAATATAGGAAGTCATGCAACCATGGGACAGAAACTTTGAGCTGCAGTCGTTCTCTCTGTGCCAACTAAATTGCTGATTTGCCGGATCAATGAGACTCGCACACTTAAATGAAAGACAGCAACACAACGGTCCAAAGGAAAAGTACAGATTATTAAGAGAGAACAGCTCGGACAGCTTCAATATCGTCCCAGTCACATTCCCATGCACTTGACACTATGAATTTCAATGTATTCTCCTCTCTCCTCATTTTTCCAATGGCTCTGCAAATTGGCACATCAGTGTCATTGTTCATTTTAGCGAGGAGTTCAATTAAATCGGCCTCGAAAACCTTCCACCCCTGCCAGCAATTCCATACACCAATCAGTTTTGGGGATCTATCTGACCATATATCTCTGAACAGGAACTCATATGGGGGCTCGGAATAGCTTGCGGGGCTTATAGAGATAACAAGCGCATAGAGTTTAATCAGCACATTCCGCTTTTTGGGGACCGATGTAAGCCGAGCGTAGAGAGAACCAATGTTAAATACCTCGCCAGTACGATAACATGTCTCAAGCGTCAATAAGTTGCTGATATTGAGCAATGGAGACCTTTCTAGCAGGGGTGCTGGGAAAAGTGGCCTAACAATTGGAGATATAGGTGCGTCTATTCAAAGTTATTTCGGTCGTCTAAAGATGCCAGTTAGGATCCTCAGATTGGAAGTATCTTTCCAATCACTGCTACTCTAGTGCGCGAGGGATTTGTGCGCAACGCTGTAAGCGTGGTTAGTTCTTCAATTGACTTAGATTTTGCGAGATCATTAGCTATGGCGAGGCAGTACAAGAAACACGTACACTCATTACACATATTTGCGTTATTAAAGAGGAAACGATGAGACTCTCTCTGCATTAACATTTTCGTGCTTTGTTGGTCACTTAAAACTGACGATTTTGTATCTGGATGCACTGAGCTATTTTCGTACGAATTTAGAACAGTGGGTTCCAGCTCGAACAACTCATTCTTGTGTACATCTTTATATCTTGTGAACTCGTCATCACAGCAATGGTTATTAGTACGAGAGTCAGTGACGATAACGCTCGGTGAATCTAATAGCAAGCCCTGGTTTGACGGAGGAACTGTTAAAGATGACAATACTGCTAATGGGCTTGCAGAAATCGCTGGCGTTTCATAAAATGTTGAGTAACATCCTTTCCCAAAAGATTGGATAGCTTTCCCTTCAGGAGAAGAGAGGCTCTTCAAATCTGAAGCGTGGCATGACAGAGTCGAGAAAGTGTTCTCCGGAATTGAAGTAAAAGACTCTCCGTGGGAGAAGCACAAGACGACTTGTCACCGCCAGGATGTAGACAGTATGAACCTGAATGAGAAATCATGCAACTCGAGCTGGAAGAAATTAGAATTGATTTGACCATTTCAATCGATGTTATCGGCGCGATTAGCGACACAGTTCCATTCGTACTTGGATGCCGATTGAAAGAAGCCTCATGCTGGTCAGGATTCTGCTGAAACTTATGCAATTTCAGCGACCTCGAAGTATCCGACAACGGTGGGGCTTCGCGATGCATACTCGGTCGTGTCTAATCGGTGGCAGATGAAGGCAGGTTGTGGTGACGGTGGCGATTCAATCACATGGTGGGGTAAGTTCGTTCTAAGATGGCGACGAAGCAGCCAAGCAGGAAACGCTCCTCCGCGTCAGTACACCACCACGGACCCGCCCACCTCCCACTTCGTCCATCTTCAAAGGCAACGATAATATCATTAGGAGCAACCTCTGCCCCCGGCATGCCCACTGTCTAACGACTCCTTTGGCAACTTTAACGTACGTCCGTGTAATCGCCTGCAGCGTCCCGTGTATGCAGACGACTTCGCCTCATCGCCGATCGGCTCTCCAGGTCAAGCCGATACGACACTCAGCTAAGGTAATTCAGCCGCACCAAATTTGAGCCATACGTTCGGAAAGCGAGCCCGTATTGGCACAATTCTGATGATAATTTAGGGGCTGGGTGATTGTTAGGAATCAAGTAAGCTTTGCCCTTCGTAGTTTTCAGAATCCTTCAGGACATTGCACGGTTCTTCCACAAGTTTGCCTACTTTTATGCACATCCCACATACAAGATTTGTTAATCGAGACAAGCTGACCAACATGAAAGGCGCCCCAGGAGCCTCCTTGATTGCATCTCGTCGTATAAGCCCTTCTGATATCATTCCCGACAACTTGAGTACGATACTATAAACGCGCTTTCTATAAATCTACTGCCAAGTCTCGCGATTCAACATGTTCAGCGGTCAAGTAAGCATTTCGAACAGCTATCTATTCTCTGCTTCAGCTCTTCTTCCCAATTTTGATTTTTTCAATTTCATTCTCTTTTTACCGGTTTTGCCTTATCACGATGGGACATGAACAGCCAGTTCTCTTTGCGACACCTGTCACAAGTGATCCCCCATCCGACGGCTGGCCAGCATATGATCTGCATCTTCTTCCACGCGAGACGTTACTTCAGAGCAAAAAAGTCCATCCTAATCTTCCTCTTGAATTCACCTACGGGACTATTCCCTTATGTGACGTGAGCCGAGACTTGTATCAAAAGCTAAGAGATTGGATGAATAGAAAAAACCGTATACGGCTGTGACCGTACACATCGATCGTCTTACTAGCGAAGAGTACGAAGAAAATGACCTCAGTGGAATTCCTGATCTTGTCGAAGTAATTCGAATACAAGACACTGGTCCCACAGAAGCTGCAAGAGCAATACGCAAGAAGTTGTAAGCAAACCCTCATTCCTCGTACTTTCTGAGCTAATCTTTGGCAGGAAATATGGTAATATGCATCGACAGTTGCGTGCATTGACCATCTTAGATGGTCTAATGCAGAATGCTGGTACCCGCTTTCAGCGAACATTTGCAGACGAACCGTTACTGGAGCGCTTGAGACTTCTACCACGTGACGATTTGGTCGATCCTGATGTACGAGCCAAATGCAACCTTCTGTACCGGCAGTGGGCTGTTGCGTACAAGAACACTCCAGGCATGAGTAGCATTGCAACGCTTCACAAACAACTACCTCGTACGAAAAAGCCACAGCCCTCTCAGTCCCGAGTTGTTCGCGAAACAGAAGAGCAGGCTCAACAAGACTCCCCGCCAACGTCTCCAGTCAGAACTACACGTAGCCCTGCAGTTTCTAATGCTGCGGCTACATCTTCTGGATGGACGCCACAGCCTATCTCCCTGGAGAAGACCGAAAAATCGTCTTCATTCTTCGGCAAGTCATCAAAAGACAAGAAGGGAAGCAAGCGCAAAGCCTTCAATTTGGAGAAAGAAAAGGCCAAGATTACCGAGACTATTGGGAATGCGAATCTTGCTGCCACAAATCTATACAATGCTCTCAAACTCATCAACCGCGAACACCAACGAGTTTCTGAAAACGCGGAGTGCGTGAATCGCTTCGAAACCTGCAAAGTCCTCCGCCGGCAGATTCTTCGATACATTCAACTCGTAGAAAGCGAGAAATACTTGGGCAGCTTGTTGTCAGCCAACGACGAGCTCGTCAAAGCACTCATGGCATATGAGTTCTTGGACAAGAGCATTGACGCTGATAGTGATAGCGACTTGGAATACGAGTCTGCGAGACTTGCAAGGAGGACATCCGGAGCAGGTGATCAAAGTGAAGCCTTCGCTAAACTAAGCTTGAATGAGGCTGTTGATGCGCCAGTCAAACCGCCGAGACCAACAGGGCTTGCAATGCCATCTGTCCCTAGTAGCTTCGGAAAACAACCTTCCTCTGAGCCGGAAAGCGAGGAAGAGGATGACGATGACGATGACGACCCGTTTGCGGACAGAAATGCAGTGAAAACACCTCATGTAGAGAAGAGCGGATTAACTTGGTAAATGCACATTGCCATTACGTCGTCAACAGCATGTACTGACATTACCTAGGCGTGATGTTTAAACCCTGTCTTGCGCTGCATCATTTAGCTAGTCAATGCTTTCGTCTCCGTTTTGAGGCAGCCGTTCTGAGGCAGATTCCCTCCATGAATTCAAGTTCTCCATCGTTCTTATCAACAGGCTTCTCTTAGACCACTTGTCCTATCTTATAAGAAGCGTTCAGACCGTCTCAATAGCATGCTGTGTTGAAGGTGCCAAGACTTTTCCAGTAACCGTCGTAGAGCGTCTGGAACAGTCTAGCGATGAGAAGGAAACTGTGGCGCAAGGATAATCGCCTGAGATTGGTGTATCACGCTGAATTCAAGCATCGAAATCGCGATTGACTACCTTGACGCCGAGTTACAAAGATTATATTCAATCAATCGTCCGGTTTGAATATACTTGGCGCTGGAAATGAGCATGCCAATTGCTACTCTTTTTCGATGATATGATGTTCGTTAGCCTTTCAGTCCTGATACCCGACACAAATTCGCGCTTCATGTACCAATCCTTTCATTGTGTTATCGTTCTACGAAATCATAGCATAGGCACACCCCTCGCTATGTTTTGGCACGTAAAACGGTACATTTTCGAAAAACCAAAGGACGATCTCGATCGGCTTGGTGCCGAACGTAGTAGTTAATCATACAAATTCACGAGGAACTCGTACGAAATCTATCGGCTATATGTCCTTAAACAGCAGATCTTGGGTCCGAATCGCGAGAACCTTATGGCTATCTACGCGAATATTCTTGCGTTGAGCATACCTTTTTCCTAATTGCGAAAGTATGCTGATTATGCAAAGCTATTCTTTGCTTCTCTTGACCGCACCCTATTTGTAGACGTTTGTGACTGATATTATCCACTTGCGAAGAAAGTAATTCTTGCGGAGACGATGTCTAAGCTTGTAGAAATTACAGTCAATGTGATGCCATCCGAAGCTCTCCCAGCTCCCAATTTTTTGTCATCCGGCTCAATCTGGGTAGCGTCCATATCGTCCAGGCAAATCCCGAGCAGGTATCGCTCAACAAGGCGTCGACTCAGCTTTTTGCGTTGCAGCTACTGAGCAGTCACGCCTATTTTCACAAAGCAAAAGAGGAAACTGTTTTTGCAATCGGACGAGATAAGTTATAGTTGTGTCGACCTAGCGCCTTGAGTCTAGTTTCTTCTTACGCTATCAAAGCTAGCCGCACGATGTATTCTCGAAATATTGTACACGTTGTAAATAATGCTACAAAAAGACACCAGCGGCCCTGTCACGATCGATAACGAAGCGAAAGTACACGAAGTAACGGTCAAGGTGGGCAGCTGAAGGCAACAACTCAGAAGGGCGAAATTCGCGGCGACGGTTGAGCCAAAATTGCACTGTACTTCAAATTACTCAGAACCGTGTGGGAAAAATCTGCGTTTCAGCAGCAGAGAATTATCCCAGCTTCTCGGCATCGAGATACTCACATTCGGTCCGAGACTTGGTTGATGAAGGCACGAGCAGCGAGTGCCGTTCAGCCTTCTCGCGTTCTCCGTCCAGCGACGCCGTTCAGCCTGATGCACCCAAAGCATCAGGCCCACTTGCCGCGTGTGCTGCGGCTGCTGTGTCGTAGCGGACTGAGGGTTGAATCCAGCAGGGGGAACGCATGACAGCGAAATCCTGCAGCAAGCTTTGCCAGAGTCATTGCAAAGCGCCTGGAGCTGCGAGGCAGCTTTGACAGCCTGTTTTGATATGCTCCGAGGTTGTCCAACAGGCTCTTGCTGCTGCATGGAAGGACGACGATGCCATTCAACACGGTTTTTAGGCAGTTGCATTACTCACGTTGCGCGACGAAGCGCGAAGGTGGAGTGAACCACAAAGCGGGGCTAGCGTGGACGCTTTGATCGCGATTGGGAGTACGGAGACGTACTGTCTCCTCCAGTCGCTGTCGCTTCAAACCTCAATTCGTCACGATCTGGCGCCAACAAGTACGGCTGCACTCATCGTAAACACTGCTTGCCATATACACTCCGTTATATCAGAGCCATGTCGACGCCTGTCGAATGTACACGCTAGAGCGCGTTCCCAAACCCTCCGCTGAGTACAATGGCCGACCAACGAGCTGTCTCGACAGCGAGCCACGATGGCATGGAAGTCAAGTCGGCGCTGTCGGAGATGCTGAAGAAGTCTTTCTCAGCGGTGGCGTCCGAAGACTCGTCGTTTCAGGCACAGGAAGATGCGTTGCGGGACGCACGCATTTCAACTCCAACTAAGAATCAACAGAGCCCCTCCAAAGCTCGCTCGCTCTCCGACTCCACCCCAAAGCTCTCTCCGTCACCCAAGATCAAGGAACACTCGCGCAAGGCGAAGGATGATCATACAATTCCGTCGTCTATCTCAACCTCAACTCCTAGAACTCCTCGGCAGCGGTCAGAGTATCTAGCTCGCGGGCTGAGCCTGCAGATGCCACCAAGGGACTACTTGGGCATCGTCGCGACTGGCAGCCCTACGAGTGCTTCTTTCCGTGCGCCCCCGCTATCGCCTAGAGTTGAAAAGAAAGACATCTATGGGAGCCCGGCAAGTGTCCTTCCTAGACATTCGCGAGGTCTCGACTTTGCAAGGGCATGCACAAACCTACACCATTCTACGCTCGCCGAAGCATCACCTGACTCCTCACCTACGATCACGCAGAAGGGCATGATGATTCCGAATAGAAAGATGTCGGTCAACGCCATGGCCATCGACCCTCCTTCCTTTGGGCCATGGTCTGCAGCGCCTGCCTCCGAACGCAGCGTCATCTCGAGTTCACTCGGCAGTGTCAAGATGCTGGACAGTGATTCGACGAGTGACTCGGATGACGAGCTTGAGCCCATGGAACCCGATGAGAACGAAGATGTCATCGTGAATACTCCACAGATCTTAAAGCGCAACAACCCATCCGCATCTACACCTTTCGGTAACAGCGCCGGCGCTATCAGCTGGGCGAACGCGTTTTCACCCGGTGCCTCGAACTTTCAAAATTTTCACAGAGCAAGGTTACGAAACGGCCGAAGTAGAAAGAGCTCGAGTAGTGCCAGTGGACACAGCAGTTTGGCGAGTCCTGTTCCAGCGTCACCACCCGCCGGAAACAAGATGAACAGCGACGGCTACTTTGGGAGAGATGTCGCAATGCGAGGACCAGCAAGTAGGAGGGAAAGCTTGAGCTTACATACCCATGATCTTCATATCTCTTCAGGCAATGACAGTGGAGATGAGGCGACAAAGCCACCACCTACAACGCCTGGCGTAGTAAGAAGGGCAGTGACCCGGAGAGGCAATCTTTTGGTAAGTGTTGTACAGCCATTCAGAAAGTTCAAACCTCTAACAGCGGGCAGCCAAAGACGCGCGCTTTCGGCCGTATCCGTGCTGAACTCCTTGAGGAAACTATGCCAGTAGATGCTGAAGTGAAACGCGAAGCCGAAGTAATAAGGCAAGTTCGAGAGAGCGATGCACCAGATGTGCAACGCAATGATACTTTAACCGCGAATTCGTCGCCTACTCTTCAGGCCGTCGACAGTCTTGCAGACGCGCTGCAAGGCATTCCGGAAGAAAATCAGACCTCCCTCGAATCCAAGCCAGCTAAGGGCCTATTTGGTACATTCTCTCGGCAGTCAAACAGCAGGCGTGACGTCCAAGAATTATGGAACAGTTTGGACAGAACGCATCGAACGCCTCCGCCGCCATCTTTCTTTCCCCGACTAAGCTCGAGTACAACCATGAGTGACGATGTGAGCATGGATTCACCTGTCATCTCTACCCCAACAGGATCGGTCTTTCCATGGGCAGTCCCATCAAAAGAGGCCGCTACAAACAGCGTTGCTACACCACGAGCCTCCACTCCTCAAGCCCAAACTACAGGCACAACAAATGCAATCAACGCCCCTCTGACTGCTGCAGAAGGTATCAGGAAAGCAAACAAGCGTCGAAGGGATGATGACTTGGACATAGCAAGTATGAAGCGGCGTGCAGTAAGCCCCGGTGTCAGTGTGGGCAACTCGCCTATTCTTAGTCAGTCACCCAGTCAGCGATCTGATGTGTGGGGTCAATCTTCAAAGACTACAAGACAGGAGAGCAATGGTAGTGCAACGAACGGTGGGGGTTCTCTTCATGAGAAGAGTAGTAGCAATGGCAGTATGAGCGTCACGCAGACGCCTTTGTTAGGACCAAAGAGAGTTGGCCTACAAGGAATGACTGACATGCAGGGGATGACTGAAAAGATGAGCATTGAATAGGAAAGGCAGGAAGGCTGTTCGTCTTTCAACTTTGACCTAGCATATTGCATAGCGATTGGACGGACTATTTTAAGGAGTTTCATGGAACGGGTATTTTAATTCAAAGATATCCCATGTTTAGTTTTCATATTAGTATGCATACAAGATGAAAATGACGGCTTTTAAATTGTGTCGACACCCTACCTTATTGTACCTTTCCTAGGTCATCGTGAAGTGCATAAGTGCGGAAAGTCCAGTTTAAGATCCACTGCGAAACTGGACTCGTCAATGCAGGTATCCCACCTCGAATCAGCTACGCAACTCTGGTAGCTCACATTTCGAACTTGAATCCACTCATTCAAAGTCGACACAAGGATGTCCGCCAGAAATACAGCACTCTCAGATTTTATAGCCTCAGCGCCGCCTGGCGAGCTCAATAACGTCATCACAGGTATGCATTCAACACAACACGACCGGTGCGCTGCCCCGCTAACAACTTGTTGTAGCTATTAAAACGCTCTCTGGCGATCCAAACGTGACCTCTACGCTCGGTCCGGCGTTGCAGAAATACAATGAGGACCAGTTCACGGCTGTGAAGTTACCGGGCGCTAGCCAACCTGTCATCGTCAGCTCGTACAACCGGCTAGAGGACGGGAGGTATTTTGATGTTGAGAGCAAGAGCAGTTGGACATACGATCATATTGCGCAGGTGCAACCACCCGCATCCTGGCACTTTCAAACGAGAATACAGCTAAAATTGGACTAGAAAGCATCAAATGTTCAGTCTTACGTCCCAGATTCTCCGCATGACGAGCTAATGTACTGAACTCAATCCTTATTCCGTCTCTGCAAGACAGACCTTGGGCTAACAAGAAACAACAGAAAATCGCTTTACAAATCCCTGTCGAAACACGTCAGCGAGCATTATCCTTCGGCTTCTCTCGGCATCTATCCGTCTTCTGACGGTGTACACATCCTTACTGTCTCGTCCAAGTATTCGCCCTCAAACTTCTACAATGGCCGATTTCGTTCGCACTACATATATTCGCCGTCATCCAACCAGCTAAGAGGTACCATTACTGTTGACGTACACTACTATGAGGACGGCAACGTGCGACTGCTTACAAACAAGAAGATTGATGAGACCGTGCGTGGTGACAATGTAGCTGGGACTATTGCTGCGGCAGAACGGAAGTACCAAGAGGAATTGAACCGGGGATTCAGTGGCCTGAGTGAGGGTGCTTTCAGAGGCTTGAGAAGGCAGCTGCCTGTGACTAGGGTGAAGGTAGATTGGGAAAAGGTTAGCGGTTATCGTTTGGGGCAGGACATTGGTGGTACCAGGCGGTGATGGTAAGCGATTTGAACGCATCTTACCGAAAATCATGGTACACTAGATATAAAAAATATTCAGATTGCAGTCTGATACCCGCAAATTTAGCAAGAGAACTGCACTGCAGCTAGATCAGCTATGGATGACTTCAAAAGAAATGATTTTTTATTCGACGAGTCTCCCGCATTTGTGTCCGAACGTTTTCTGACTTAATGCGCGGAGCTCTGTAAATACTGCTTGGCAGGATAATCTCAGAGCACCACAGCCTGAAGGCTGAGAATTTACAGAGGCTTTGCACTAAAAAATGCCACAACCCTGGTGCCAGCAACCCTAAGTGGAATCGCAACGGATAGAAGATTATTCAGCATTATAAAGATTAAATGGTACGACCCGCTGGAAGAATTGGTATCAAAGAGCTGAAAACCTGCAAATCTTACAATAGAGTCCATTTCTGAAGAGAATCAGCTTCGCATAGGTCATTTGATTGCCCTCGTTTCTCATGAGATCAACTATCGCAGACAGAGGCATGGACGAGCCTCCCTGGATCCCGGAGCATGCAATCTTCATGAAAAAACTTGATAAGCTGAAGAAACGAAAGATTGGGAGGTTTCCTTGACACTGCTCAGAAAGGGTACGAAACAGCTTTGCGGTTCAGGCCAAGAATTGCAGATGATGAGAAAGGGCAGCAAGATCTATGATATTTCATTCTAATTACAGTGATTTCATCCATTTAGATTTAGTTATAGCAGGAGGCTATGTCCTGGTTGCAATAGAAAACAGCCGTCATTGACTGACCACATGCTTGGGACCAGCTTAGCCGTAATTGGCGAAAATCGCAGCTTTGTGTTAACTAGCGCTCTTCTTCGGGGCCTGGAAGATCGACTTAATCAACATGTCGCACACACTTACGCACCACCACGGACGAAATCCAGAGACATGAGACAGAATGTCGGCCAGAATGATCCCGGTTCCCATTCTCGTTGCTGCTCCTGCATGCATCTCTTCATAACCCTAGGTCTTATCGATGCTTCGTCCACTCAGATGAAGCATCGTGAAGCATCCCTCAAAGCGAGGCATATGCGTTCCAAAGAGTTTTGAGCCGAAGGATCTCGCCGTATACACGCTAGCGATAAGCAATGGCAAAATCGGTGGCTAGTAAACTGGGAGCTGTGGAGAACGAGCTGTATACCAAACAGGATAACGTTCGTTCCGCAATTTTGAACAGTGAATGATGTCAACCAGATTCGAGACTGCGAGGGAACAGTGACTCCAATGTCAAAAGCTGCCTAGGATTCGACGAACCAGATATTGTCTCGCAGGCAAATCTCAGCGATGAAAGGACAGTCAACCTTTGAAACTCTTATGTTCGAACACAATCTTGAACAGGCCGAAATATAATTTTGCTGCTTATGTTCGACCTCTGAAAACACATTATCCATATTTCAGGATCGGCTCATCATGTGATATCGAACGGGACGGTAGGTTTACCGTGGTTAAGCAGCTTCATCGGCATGTTTGGTGGGCCACAACAAGCGGACATAGATTACGTCGGAATCTACTACTCTGATGTAGAGCACTTCAAAATTACATGACGGGTGTGCATCAAACTTTCGAACTCCCAATCTGGATAGCGGAGCTCGCATACACTGGATGGAATCCCAACAAACTGCGCAGCGAGGATGAAGTGTGCCCATTCATGAGAGCTGCGATATATTTCCTTGAAGAAACTCCCCTCGTCGAGAAACACGCCTAGTTCGGCGTCATGGCCGACGTAGGAGAAGCTGTAGGAAGAACAAACGGTCTGCAGACAGACGGCAAGGTTTCGGCACTTGGCGCCATCTGTTGATCATAAGTAACACCAATAAATGGCACCGTGCAAGAAGAGCGGCAACCTTTGTTGTGTTCGCTCTGTCGTGTCAAATCCCATCGGCAACTGACTGCGTAGTTTGTGTCACTTCTGGCTGCACATCATCCAACACTTGGTCACCTGATCGCCGAAGGAACATAGTCGGTGAGAGCCGAGACAGTCTCAAAACTCTCTTTGTCCTCTGGATCCGCGTTGCGGCGATGTATTGCGCAATGGATCGCAGCGTCGTCAACTCAGCAAATTTTGCTATCGGCATCATTCTCGATTGGTTCACGCTACGTAACAAAAGCGTTGGAGGGGTAGATGTCTCGTCCAGTCATGAGCTCAATGTGGGTCATTTCAGCTCATGAAAGTGCTTATCTGACGCGCGAGTGACTGTGTCGTCGAAATTCGACCCTGCAAACGGGGTTTCGTCGTTAGTTCCGCATCAAAGGACCGGACTGCCTGTTTGGGGGCGATAGAACATGGCCATAAAGTAGTCAAGGCACATCGGCGGCGACGACTTAAGAAATTGAACGGCATCCAAAATCTCTCTTGGTAACAACAGATCAATCATAGTATCGCTAAATTTGATTCCTTCCATCCATGATGGAGTTGCCGAAGACTCTTCCCGCATCGTGGTACTGCAGTAAACCATTATATCAGCTGGAGCGACGAGCAGTATTCTTAAAGGTGCATAAAGAACGGCCATTATTCAGCTCGTTACTGACTGTCCAAGTCATGGTATCTTCTCGGCCCGCTCACAAGATTTCAGAGCGATGAGCAAGTAGTCGAGTACGAGTTTGCTGGAGTCAAGCTGCTGGTCAAGTCCACTACAAAGAGCAATGAAGCGCCTCGGGTTGTCTACGCGGAGGATGAACGGGAAGCCAGAAGCTACTTGACAGAGACGGGTTTGTTATTCGCAGCAATATCAGATGCGGCCCCGCCTTTTGAAGAATACTTTCCGGATGTTCTTCCACTGCTCAAACGCGTGGACTTTACCAAGCTTCCACACCGACGAAGTCTCAAATACCATGGCAAATTCAACTGGAAGACCATGGTGGATGGCTATCAGGAATGCTTGCACTGCCAGTACACCCATCCAAGCTTCAGTATTTTCTATCCGCCGACTTTCTATGCTGTACACAACCACACCAACTTCTCGCAACACATTGCGGATCCCAAGAAACCAGATGATGGTCTTTTCCTATATTTTTTCCCCAACTGTACACTAAATGTGTATGGCGGTGGCATGAGTAGTTTCAGGGTGTGCCCGACAGATGAGCCTGGAATGACGCGCATGGAATTCGATTACTACCACTTGGAAACTGGCGATAAATTCGAGCAGTACTTCAAGTTTGTCCGGCAAGTTGCTCTGGAGGACTTTGAGTTGTGTGAGAAGGCGCAGGCAAATCTAGAGAAGGGCATCTATCACGAGGGAATCCTTAATCCAGTAAAGGAAAATGGCGTGGCCTGTAAGTCAGAGAGGCAATTCTTACCTCTTGACGATGCTAACGGCGTCTAGTCTACCAACAGGAAGTGCTGAAAAGAGTGCTTCGTCAGTACGAAGATGAAAAGCAGCTAGCAAATGCAGACTCGATGCCCAAAGACGTGTCGACAAAGAGTGATTCAATGGACGCATCTGCTCCGGGACTTGTGGTCGAACCCGCAGAGGCTTGAGTAATGGGATATGATTGACAGGGTTTCGTGGCAGTAATCAACTTGTCTTCGTCCGACCAATCCAAAATGCATGTGATCGTTATTCCGATAAGATACTCATTCTCTATCGTGATTTTTGAGTACTTCTTGGGTAATGAACAACAAAGAAGCTCCAGGGCAATACCCCTGGAAGATATTCTTTGTCTTAATTGGTGGCGTACTTCTTCCGACGCTGGATCACCGGGACGTGCATGGGAAATGTTGACCTCACTCCGCGAACTTTGTAGACTCATGGATGTGAATTCCGTTTCGGGAAACATGGTTGCACCTGTGACACTGATAGTGCTAGCGCCGTTTAGCGGGGCGAAGACCTTGGACATGAAGCTTCGACTCATAATATGTTGAGTGTGACATCCGCTCTAGCATTGCTCTGTTCCCAATTCCATTTCAATTCTATTCCATCGGCGCAAAGAACGGAGCAATGGATGTTACTGATATTAATTTGGGCGTTGCCACTGTGTTGACCTTGTCTTTTATTACGATTCCAGTTTTATGGGTGTTTAGTCAACGAAGGGCTTCGCCAGTATCAAATCAGACTCTAGTGCCAGACACTTCCGTTCCGAAGGACATTGGCCTTGATCTGACAGTAGCTAAAGTCAACGACGCGCCGGATGGGTGGTTTACAGATGACGGCACTTTTGAACTAGAACGGCGAGCCATATTCAGTCAAGTAAGTTCTCCTCGCGTACCTTTCTTTGTATCAAACTGAACGATATAGACCTGGCTCTGCATCACCCACTTGAGCCACTTTCAAAAGCCGGGAGACTACTTATCATTCACGATTGCAGATTTTCCATTCTTTCTCATTCTCGGAAAGGACAGAATATTACGCGGTTTCCACAATGTGTGTCGACATCGTGCATACAACGTTACCAGAAAAGTCATGGGCTCATCGCTTGTTCTCGGATGCAAATACCATGGTTGGAGTTACGACACCAAAGGAAACCTTACGAAAGCCCCCCAGTTCGACCAGGTCCCAGGCTTCAAGAAAGAAGACAATGGCTTATTCCAGATTTGGGTTCGCACGGATCCGAACGGGTTCGTGTTCATCAATTTCGATGCAGACTGGGACGTCTTCGATCCACCAACGCAAGGCCTAAACGCATTCGCGTTGCATTCAAACGCTTCCAAGTCTTCTTCATATCTCGCTTTCTGGCAAAAGGAGGCGAACTTTAACTGGAAGCAAGTGAATGCTCTGCTGGAGCACTCCGGAGTGCCGCAATTGGACACAAGTTCGAATTCGTTCTTGGACAGCTTGAAGAGAATTTCTCATTCAGTACCTAAGCAAAGCAGGATATACTTTCCAAGCCCAGTCTCTGCGCTTACGACTGTCGGAGGAGCACCACTGTGGCACATGACAGTTGTCGAGCCAATATCCGCTACGCGAAGCTCAATTCGACGAACACTTTACATGTCTACACATAGAGATACCATAAATGGAATGGAAAGTCTCATATCAAACCTAGAGAGCGAATTTGAAGCCCTGGTCAAGGCTCTTGAAGTCGAATACCAGGAGATCAAAGCGATAGGCGGGAGCAGATCGTTAAGCCGGAGCCAGGAGGAGTTGCACTCTGTGATTCGAGAGCATGTTCGCAAGGAGCGTGCAGCAGGCAAAAAAATTACGCCAGCACTACCGTTGCAGATCTCCGGTCAAGTCAATGGGAGTAATTGCGGCATCGCGGAGAAACGTAAGTATCCAATGTGTTCAACTTTGGATTTAATATTGACGCTATCCAGTGTGTCGCGAATTAGATGGCCTTGCAAACTCTATAGCCTTTTCCAATCCTGTTTCGACGTCCAAAAGCTTAGATTGGTGATAAAGAAGATGGAGGTCATTGATTTTGATGGCCGAACTTGCCTTGCATCATAATTTTTGCATATCGGTGTTTTCGGGTCAGTCTTTCTAAAGCATGCGAATACAACACCCTCACGATACAGACTCTAGGTTGGGGGAATTTGTATGGAGTGACAGGCAGCGCAAAAGGAAGAAGATCCCACGGGTTTCAGGTCTGAAATTTCGGTCTTCGTTTTTCAAGAAATGCAGAAATACCTTCCTTTGCGTCGTCTCCAGCGGAATGCTTCACCATCATTTGTCCTGCCCACTCCATCTCTGAACTATCCGTAATTGTCAGCTGCGTCCAGAATGCCCATTTGCCAAAAGCTTGTGGCTGTGCTGGAAGGTCGACAAGTCTTTCCACTACTTGTAATACCCTCTGCTCGAAGGCTTTCGTTCTCGTGTCGGTACTTTCTGCATGTTCAGGAACAGGCACAACATCCACCGCCCCTTGAAGTTGGTCGGCACGCATGGCATCTCCAGTCGCAAACATTCTGTAAGCAAGACTGGGTGGTATTTTACGAGACACGACGGTCGCTGGGCTTGTACAAGGAAGTCCTATAGTCATCCCAGGTAGCTGAAATTTCGTATCAGCCAGTGCAATAGGGTAGTCAGTGCACATAGCCAGTTGAAACCCTGCAGCGCTCGCAAGGCCTTTACCTCACGTTAATGCTTGCTTTTAACTATGGCATGAACACTGTTACCTTGTATTGGGCACACAACTGGTGTAGGACATGATTTTATCATGCCCATGATTTCAGCGCACAGAGAGAATGTCTCTTGGGTTCCTTGTCGCCCCAGCTCTCTCATCTCTCTCAAGTCATGTCCACTAGAGAAAACGGGACCTTCAGATCGCAAAACCAGAACCTTGGGCAGCTGGGATCTTTCCTTCTGCCATTCGTCAGGGGAGGTTAGCCACTGCGGCAATTCTCTGCCTGCAGCGCTCTCTCTCCTTGGAAGCATCATTAGCTCGCCGCTCGCGCCAGTATTGTACTGCGTCAGTTGTGACTTCAAATCCCGTAACACACCCAAGCTTAATGCATTTCGCTTTTGCGGATTGAATAATTTTAGGTAGGCTGCTCCACGCGGCAGAGTTGGGAACGACATTGTGCTGCTCGTTGGTGGAGTTGTCGATGCTTTCACACTCAAGCAAAGAGACCTTGATTGGCTTGAGACAGGTGTTTGCGACCATGCTCTAGTGGACCACCGAGATCCATCCCTTTCGTCCCGCTGATATTTGCTTCATTAGCCTAGTTGGACATTACTAAACATAAAAATATCTAAGTTTTGACCATTTCGTATTTTGTATTGCATTGTACTTATTTATTCATTTTCCGATAAGCTATTTTTTGACATCATCTTCGTGCACTAGTTACAGAAACTTGCATTAAGCGCATTACCTCAATGATATTTGATAATTCATCTCCTCTGAAGATGTTCGAGTAAGATGCTGTATCTTTGTATATACTTATTTGAATTCCGTAATCTACTGCTTTTCCTTAGGAAGCGTCCGATGGTTGAAGCCACTATCAAAGAAATTTGACCATTTGTGTAACAAGGTGCCCTCAGGATACTGGTCCGCTTCGCAGTCCATATACCCTTCTTCAACGTCCATTCTCGGGACAATTGCTAATGCGCGGCCATTGATGTTCTCATCAGTAGCAACCTTCATAACAGCCTTTGCAGCATCTTCTACTTCAGCCCAGTCGCTTTTCATGCTCTTTAAGCTGGCTCCGATTCTCTCTTTGACTGCATCGCTCATTATGTCGGTGCTGATGAACCACGGCGCAATCACGTTGACCCTACAACGATCTGCCATGCGCATCTGAACCATAAGGCCTCTGACACCATATTTGGAAACAGAATACAAGGTTGCGGCAGGAACCGCTAGGTAGCCTGCGAGACTGGACTTGATTATGAAGCACTTTTCTTGTGGAGGCCGGGAATCAAATTGCCAATAGTGCATGGCGCACTTTGCAGTCCATAGGACACCGATGAGGTCAACATTCAAGATCTTGAGATCTGGCTCTTCAGGGTCAGCAGTGTCAGAAAGTGTGAAGACAGGATCTAGTCCTGATATTCCAGCATTTGCTACAACCACATCGATTCTCCCCGTTGGTGATAATTTGAGCGCAGATTTGAAAGCATTGACCTGGTCCTTGAATTTTGTTACGTCGCACCGAACGTATTGATATTTGCCCTCCGAGGGTGGAGAGTAATTGACCGGTTCCTGGACATCTGCATTCGTCACATAGGCACCAGCGGATAGAAAAGCTTGCACATATGCAGACCCAAGGCCAGAGCTACCTATATGTGTAGTTCAGTCGCGGCAACCTGGACTGTACAGATGCCGAGGCTTACCGCCAGTAACAATGACGTTCTTGTCCTTCAACTTCGACAGGTCAACCTCATCCGCGGGATTTACGGGACCAATGTTCTTGTATGGGACAGGCATGGTCTTGTTCCGCTGGTCTTCCAAAATGAATTGCTGGATGGCTATGTGTAAGCAGGTAAGCTTGGGGGGGTGTCTGCGATGATATTTTGTGGTAGGTCAGCAGGATTAAGCAGAGTGTACATGCGCGAAAGCTAGAATGATATACCCCGGGCGCGAGTTGTTCGGCTAATACCAACTGTCTCCTCCCACTTCGCTCGTGTTGTTAGCCCATTTCAGAATGGCTAAAGGAGGGCGAAGGTCAACATCGTATCTGCAGCGATGATCCAGTTGCCCCGCATTGCTTCCTCGACATTCCAGGACTCCTGTAACGTACCCAAACATGACGCATTCTCCGATTACTGTTAATGTTATATTCGAGATGGCACCGCTACGCTTTTCAGTACATTTTTGATCAGGTGCATTGTGTTGAAAATGTTCATGACGGCCAAGACTTTTATTGTCATCTCTCGTGCCTAGACAAATGTGCTGCTTATCGTGCAAGTTTACAGCCCCACGCAGGCTTAGTTTAACAGGACCTTGCGAAACGTTTAAATCAGGGGAATAAAGAAACTTTTGAAATATAATGCAATTAAAAACCTCTCTTGAAGCCATGTTACACGACTAAGACGAATCAGATAGCGACAGAGCCGAACGCAAGTTCCAAGCCGCTATTACATGTATCATGACTCAACTTCGCCGATCAGCTTTGATTTTCCACAATATTCAAAGTCGGTCAAATTTGCCAGAATACAAAATGTAGGCTGGGCTCGTGGCTGATGCACCGCTGGGGTTTCTTGAAACCTAGTAAGATGACTCGATTCTCCGCATTGTGTTGGCCGAGGGATCCTCGGTTGTTCCTTTTGGGTAAACATGTATAACGCTTGCACCGCAGCCTGATTTATTGTGCGATCTTCGCTTTCGTTGTGAGAGTCCTTTCGTCTGGTATTTATATTTTCTTTTTCATTGAACGTGCAAAGAAAAAGAAACCAGTCTGCAAAGGAAATCTTTTTGTGGCTGAACATTTAACATCGCAGCCATGGCCTCACCACAACAGATCAGAACCACTCTTACAGACTTTTTTGGGATCAAGCACCCAATCTTGCTTGCTGGCATGGGGAGCACGTCAGGCGCTGAATTAGCGGCGGCCGTAACGAACGCTGGAGGTCTGGGTGTTATCGGTGGTAACGGTTATACGCCTCAGATGCTTCGCGAGGAGATTGAGGAACTCAAGTCGTACCTTATTGACAAGAATGCGCCATTTGGCGTCGACCTTCTGATCCCCCAGATTGGTGGAAATGCCCGCAAGACGAATTACGACTACAACAAGGGCAAGCTCATGGAGCTCATTGACGTGATGATTGAAACCGGAACAAAGTTGTTCGTCTGCGCAATTGGTATTCCACCACAAGAAGCTGTCGATAAGCTTCATAAGCACGGCATCCTATACATGAACATGGTCGGTCACCCTAAGCATGTTCAGAAGGCACTTGATCGCGGTGCCGATATCATCTGCGCTCAAGGAGGCGAAGGAGGAGGCCATACCGGTGATGTTCCACTCTCCGTGATAATCCCCGAGGTCGTTCGAATCTGCAAGCAGAAAACGTCCAAGTTCACTGGAAAACCAGTCAAAGTCATTGCCGCAGGCGGCATCTCAAACGGTGAAACCCTGGCCGCTGCCCTTGTTATGGGAGCGGAAGCTGTCTGGGTTGGAACTCGCTTCGTGCTGTGCAAAGAATCCAAGGCCAGCAGGGCACATAAGAAGGCTGTCGAGACCGCGGGCTTCGACGACAACATCAGGACCATCATCTTCTCAGGCCGCCCATTGCGCGTGCGCAATAGCCCGTACATCAACGATTGGGAGACGAACAGTATGTCAAAATCATTGTCAGGTGTTTGGCCTCTCAAGGACAGCGCTAACGGGATTTGATAGGACAAGCTGAGATTAGGGAACTCACAAGCAAGGGTATCCTCCCTGTAATGCACGACTTTGAAACCAACCCAAAGAAGATGGAGGCACTTGAAGATGAAGCTCACCCCTTTTTGATGGGCAAGGTATCTGCCGTTGTAAACAAGGAGCTGTCAGCTAAAGAGATCGTTGACGACATGGTAAACGGTGCTGTCGCACGTTTGACCGCAGGTGCCAACGCCCTGGTATCGACGAGCAGGATTTAATCGTACAAGCCATGTAGTGTAATGAATGTGAGCGTTTCATACCCTGCTGGAATTTGCAATGCTAAAACTAGTCCTCTATGGCACGACAGAGTTGCAATAGTTAGCGTGCAATGTATAGAGCAATATTAAAAACGAATCCATGATGTAAGCATCAAAGTTCTTATCATATCATTTGATATTTACAAATCCTCACCGTATCTAGAGTGAGGATGTCACAACATTGAAAGTGATTTCATTTCAGCCAAACCACCAACTCCATTATTCGAAATCGCGTTCATCGCGTTCGTCGTTAATGACAGAAGCCGTAGCTACTATGCGTTCATTCCATCCGTGCGTGATCAGGCTCTCGCCTATTTATTGGTAACCGTACGCCCTAGCGTGTGCAAAGAATGGTCAAAAAGGAGTGTGCTCATTTAAGCCGGCGGAGCAGCGCCACTGCCAGCAGTAGATGGAGACAAGCGCTTAAGGGCGCTATCAACATCCTTCTGGTCAATAACTACACCACTTTCGGAGCAGCGTGCCTTCGCTCTAAGCTCCGAGCACAAACCGTCTATATCAAGGCTACCATCCTTGAAGTCAGGTCGCTCTTGAAGCTTGTCCCTAATGAATGATTATTATCGAGGCGTAGTATAACGTAGGCAATAAAAACATACCAGATCTTGTGGCAAGTCATCAATGAGCCAGGCTCATCGGCTGGGACGACTTCCTCGTCATCTCCGCCTGCTTGCAATGCATCAGCGACCTCGAGCGGATTCGTCTTTGGCAGGAATGGCGTGAGGCCGGTCGGAGCGGTGATGTTCGCCCAGTCAAATGGGCCAGCGAAGTCGCTTGCAGGCATTGCATCATTGAAAAAACCGCCAGTAAAATCACCGTCACCCACAATGGCATTTTGCGGCTCCCTATAAGTATCAAACAGCTGGGGATCAAATCCACCTCCATTCTGATTCGCCATCGCGGCGAAGTAATTGAAGTCGCTGTCTTTAGTCGCAGATGTCTTTTCGGTCGATTGTTGCACATTGGCACCTATTGATTTGATGCCGTCAGATTGCTGTGATTTGCTGCGCGGTATCGGGTTGCGAATATTGCCACAAGCCATGTTGAGTTTTTCGCAGAAGGAAATCTCACCTTCTGATGTTTGAACTGTCTTACACTCGGATATTGTATCGAGCGTATTATTCTTGGGAGAGTTGTGGCTAGGCTCGGGCGATGTACCACAAGATGAGTTTGCAGCTCCTCCATATTGAGAAGCGGATGAAGTAGAACCGGGCGATGCGGTGGAATTATTGCTGCTATTGTTGAACTGAAAAATGCGCGACGGATTTTGCTGGACGCTAGCTGTACTCTCGGGTTCAGCGCTCGTGGTTGTCGTCACCCAGTTATCGAAACTCAGGGCCGAAGAATCATTGAAAGCAGCTGGAGTAAAAATGCTGGATACTGACTTGTTTGATCGGTCAGAAGCTTCGACATTGGAGGTTGTCGAACCATTGGTTTGCGGTGAGCTTCTTGAAGACAATGATCCACTCCCGGGTAACTGACTTCTTGGGCTCATACTGCTTGTACTTGATCCGTTGCGAGCTAGTACACCATTTGAAGGTTTGCTGTTGCCGTTGATCGCGTCCTTTGTACCAGATGTGCTGTTTCCGAATATGCCTCCAGGTAAGCTGCCAAACTTAGGGAACTCAAATTGGAAGCTACTGTTTGAAACTGTGCTGACAGAGCCTGGGAGGAACATGCTGCCGCCCATGGGTTGTGACCGACTCATCAATCCAGTGCTCATAGAAAGTCTCCTCCTGTATTCTCGTAGTTCAATTTGTAATCTTTCTACCTGCGCACGAAGAAGACCGTTCTCATGATTGGCAGCTTCTGAGGCCTTCTCTAGGTCTGCGACTTTTGTCTCCAAGTCCCTGAGATGCTTTTCTTTACGCTCTCTAAATGCCCGTTGCGCAGCCCGATTCTGTGCTTTCCGTTTCTGAAAAAAAAAAATTAGCGCCCGTCACGCCTCAGGCTGAGATGAGATCGGAATCTTGCTCGACACCAGTGATGAAAGGCTACATTGCTTACATTGGTTGGCTCAGATGTGAGTGGCTTGCGACCAGGCTTCTTCGCTTCCTTGACCTCGCCTTCTCGTCGTTTGCCGGCATTTTCATTGTCTTCCTTTTCGCCTTCAGGACTTTTTCTTTTGTCGTGTAGGTGATCTTCATCGTCATCATCGTCATCACCTGGAAGATTGCCGATCATCCGACCGTCTTTGTTAAAGTCGAAGTTGGCATCGTCACCGAAATTTTCCAGGTAAGGGCTGTCTTCAATGGAGCCAAAGTTGTTGAAATCCGGCATGGCCAAATTGTTCGTGTTGAGAAATAGCGACGGGTCCATGCTATCGAAGAACGTCTGTAGCGCATCGTTGCCGAATTGCTGATTCACGCCGCCGGAACTCAGCGCGCTGTTGGAGTTAAGGGCAGCAGTGAGCAGATCCTGTTGATTTGAGTCCAAATAGGACGTGAATTGGCCGTTGGAAGCCGTCATGGCGGGAGGTGAGATATGATGTGTGGAGCGTAGCTGCGGATGGTGGCAAAACTTGTGAGCGCGCGCAGAGTCTTTCTAGGGACGAGGGACAGACGTATGTTAGTACTTCTCTCATGCGGACATGCTGCGCCTGAGAGATGAAGGGTAAAGGCGGCAATGATATCAGGAAAGAATTTGTGCCGTACGGATCAATTGCATCGAAGTCAAAACGTACCAGGCGAAGCCGAGTCAAATCAGACGACGAGGTCTTGACGGGGGAATCGGGCTTACCTCCGGACGAATCCCGCAGTCGTGGTCACCGCTACCCCGCAGCGAAAACGCAAAGACGAGTTGCGCTACCAAACAAGGACGATGGTTGTAGTACGAAGGCGAAAGATTGTGGAAGGCGTCCCAGGACGGATGGGCCGAAAGTGTGAGAAAAGGTACGAAGACAGAAGCGGGCAAAAGAGTTGAGCAAATGGATGATGACAGATGGACCTGGTGAAGATTGCGCGCTTTGCCCTGTCCGGCGGTAGCAGCAGGGACCAGGTGCACAAAGCAGCGACAGACTCAAGGCCAATCTGCGGTTGTTTCTCGGCGAGTGATTGGCCTAGTCAAGAGGCGGCAGAAGGCTGGAGAAGAAGATGGTCGCTGGAGGGCAGATGGTCGGAGACGATTTGTAAGCGGCGGTCGGAGGAACTATTGTGACGGCAGCAAGGGTTCGCAGCGGCTGGACCATTGTCAGGCCGTGCAGAGGCGGAGTGGGGAGGCAGCCGGTGTCCACACAAGGTATCGCTCCAGCGATCGAGAGCCAGGTCGTGTTTTCAGCAAGGTCCCAAATCTCGAGCTCGAACACGGGAAGTGAGCCTGTGGTTGAGCGCAGTGAGGTTGGGAGCGTCTGGGGCCACAAAGCGGCGCCGCCCAGCTCCGTCCGCGTCGAGACCAGTAACGGCCACCCCACTCAGCCGCTTTGAGCACTCACAGTCGCAACTCGCCTCGAGTGGCTCACGTGAGCGCATGTCTCCAATGGTTGCCTGGCCCTGTGTCGGGCACCAAGGCAGAAAGAACGACCCGTGCCAGGCTCCTGTCGCCTGCAAAACGCCTCAAGCGTCTTGCCTTGGACCCGTCGCAGACAACACGCCCCCGGAGTGCATCCACGTCCACCGATCCAAGACGTCGCAGGGAAAACAAGGTACGTATGCTCTCGCACTTTGCACTTTGCGCACCCCCACGCAGCGAGTGAGCGAGCAAGGCACGAGCCGTGTCCACCACAAAAGCCAGCCACGTTCCAAGACGGCCTTTTCGAGACGAGAAAGTCGCGAGGAGCCATCATGAGCTCTGTTGCTGAGCTGGAGAGCCAACTCAAGGAATGGCGCGATCAGGTACGCAAGTTCTATCTATCTCTAGCCAATTTTCCTCTGGTCCGTACTGACCTGTGTCGCAGCTCGAGACCATCGATGAGCAGTTGGCACTAAACCCAGACAACGCTGAGTTCATCGAGCTCAAGACAATCGTCGAGAGCGGTATTCAAGAGTACGAAGTAGAGCTTGCTAAGTTGCAGCCTAAAGCGCAGTCCACAGCACCTCCGCCTCCACCACCAGCTGCTGACTCGCCACCGAAATGGTCCGTCGAGAATCACCCTGCGTACCAAGGTTCCAATCGAAAGCCGCCCTCGAACCAACCCTCCGCAGACACGCCAGAGCCGCCACGCACATACCATGTGAATGAGAAGGTCCAGGCGCGATACAAGGGCAAGTTTTATACCGCTCGAATTCTCGCCGTTACCGGCTCGTCCAAGGATCCTAAGTTTACTATCAAGTTTGATGGCTGGCCAGACACACCCACGCTGGGTTCGGCTGATCTCAAACCCCTAAATGCTCCTGTTGCGCCTCAGCAGGTCAAACGCAAGGCAGATGAACCACCTACACAGTCTGCGACACACACATACTCGGCCGCGGCAAATGTTAACCCTGAGCTGGCTCAGGCACGCAAGGAGCCTAGCAAAGCAAGCGATGGTCCACCAAAACCAGCCAAAATGCCAAAGAAACTGAAGAACAACAAGACATATGAGAAGAGCGCCAACGATTGGAAGGCATTCAACAACAAAATGGCAGTCAAGGGTAAGCTAAGTAAGAAAGACAGTATGTTCAGGACAGGAGAAGGTGTTAATGCTAGAGGTACAGTCTTATTGACGTTTAATCTGAAGTTGAAGATACTGATCTACTCGTAGTTGGCTTTACGGGCAGCGGCAAGCCTATGAGGAGCGATCCGTTGAGGACTAAACATCGTTATGAGCATATCGAACAAGACGACGATAACTAAACGATTACAACGCAAATGCTTCCCGTTTGAACGAATAGCACGCTGCGTCGTGCACATTCCATCATTGACAACATGTACGGAGCTCGTCAGGCTGACTCTTCCCAAGACTGAATTCTGGCAAAGGATGAGGCACATAAAGCACATGACAAAATCTCCAGCGGGTTTGAATTGAGGGCCACTGAAAGAAGTGATACCCGTATCATGTGGCTAATGAATCATGAATAATGTGGCTGATTTATTCTTATAGCCTTAGACTTTAATAACGAGCCAATGCTCACTTGCAGCTTCTTCAGCTGACCGCAAGCCAATTAAAATACTTTCTTTTCCCCAGAGAAGTAGCCCCGTGTCTTATGGATCGGTTCTTACTTTGATATAGCATCTCCCGTGCGGAGTTTTACGCATATCCGTCATTCGTACCTTTTCCCATATCAAGAACTAATCATGGCAAGTATTAAAATATTTCTTTCTCTGCTACTCGCATCTGTATCGTTGCCACACCTGTCCAAGATTTGCATAAATGCATTCAATAAGTAGATTCCATTACAGTGCTCCATAATCCGTAGATCAGTTCCGTGCCAAAAAAGATCCCCATGATCAAGTAGTTCAGTCGATTCTCGACACAGGACAAATCTGGCAGCATCGAAGAGCACAATTTTGATACAGGGATGGTTTGGCCCTCGACGAGGAGGGCCGTCATTAGTTGATTAGATCTGCGGTTGAAAAGAAATCGAGTCATCACATAAAACCAAAGCCTGATGTTCCTTCCTCGATGGCAATGCCCAACATCCTCGAAACTGCCTCCTCACTTTCATACGGCGGCAAAAACAATTTCCCAAAGCAAGTACTGCTCGTAGGTAGCATATTTACGTCACCATGCTTTTCGATCGAGAATCCTATGGCTCTGTATCCCTGGACTGGCACCCTGTCACTTGCCGTTACGAATGTGAGCAGTTTCTGCAGCTGTACCTGATCATAATTCATGACCACGGACCAGAAATGCTGAATTGTGGGATGTGCAGATGAATACTCGTCTGAATAACTTGGCTCAGTCTCCGGGGATGTTATCGCATAAGAAGTTGCGGCCTTAAGGAGCGAAGCGTCAATCTGTCTCGTGCCCTCAACAAAGCGTTGGAGAGTGGGCGATGTTATGAACGATGTGAATGTTATCGAGATGATATGTCTGAATCCTTTCACAAATGCCTCAAGTTGAGGTCTAACCGAGTTGAAAACAAGCCACTTTTTGTAGTCACTGATAAAGTCGATGCGATTGCTGTACGTGACTGGTGTCAGCGATCTCCTCATGTCGGTGAAGATGCTCTGTTCAGAATCCTCAGAATAGAAGAGCCGGTCTACCAAAGTCGAATCATCATTGAGCATATCAATGGTATATGTTTGCCCATTCGCCTCAAACGAAAATGCATAGTCTCGCGCGAAGATTTCTTCCACGTCTCCATCTTCTTCCCTCCAGTCTGTAAGTTGCTGGAATGACTTATGCAATGATGGCCAAGCATCCTGTAACACGAACTGCTCAAAAGGTCCGCGACCACACAGGACTTGATACATTGCAAAAGGGAGATTTACGGGTAATGTTATGCCATTGTACACGGCCATACCAAAGAGTAAACCCAGAAGCTCGTATGTTTGCAGGGGCTCGAGACTTAATGGCTTAAACCAGTTCATCTTCGTTTGCTCCTCCGTGACAACAAAGAGCCCATATTCCGGCTCGAAGGCCTTTGCCAGAACAAGCCTGAAGAATTCCTGAGAAACCCCGCCGTGGTCCGCAGCATCCTCATCCTTACCATCCATACGCATGACAATTTTCAACGGCTTGAGTAGCTCACGATGTTCTCGGCCCCATAGCTGATCGAAGGTACTCTCCAATATACTTTGTCGCTCAATATCCAAAATGAGGAATTTTGCACGTGACGTGTCCAACCTGTTGCGTAGATACAAATCTCTGTTCCAGAAATGGCTAGGTAGACGCCGAATAGAACCGTGACGAGCGTCATCCGAGAGAATAGGCTGTCGGTTCTGAAAACGTAAACGCTCACACATAGCATGGTTACATCTCTCGTCTATACACCGGTAGTCGGACGAGCCCGGGGTGATAAGCCATGAGAAATGGTTGTGAAGCTCACGAACAGCGCGGGATCTTCGCCATTCATGGTGCATTTGATGGTAAAGCATAAGACGGAAATTGTGCATCCTTCGCATCGGCTCAAACAGGAAAGGGAATTGCAAAAGGTGGCGCTCGTTCTTGTAGCGCTTGCTCCCCGGTGGGTTTGCTGCCATCCATGCCAGATAATCAGGAACGATCTTGTGTGGTTTAAGGTGTGCGCCGAGCAATGGTATGACGAAGTGCGAGTCGTCCGGAACCCATCCCTTTGGATCCGAATTGTACATCTGATACAGGTCGTTCATGATTTCGAGCGCCGAGCCTGCACCTTTCCATCGATCAACGACATGTTCACCTTTCCATCCTATCCGGAAGACTGTTTTCAACCACTCCAACAATATCGGTCCAGGACTGCGTCCGACCCGGTGGAGACGCTGAACTTCAAATCGCCATGTGCCTTGTCCATCATCTGGAGAAATCGCTTCAAATACTAACCGGTTCATGTATGCCATAACAAGATACATGACGGGGAATACCTCAGAGCCCTCAACCCGTAATGCACACCAATATGAGCGTCTCACTGCGAGGGCAGCAACTACCTTCTCAGCTAAGCGCGTTGAAAGAGGATACTCGAACGCGTCGGAAACTAAGACAACATTGTTCCGCATATGGACAGTATCGTTGAATTCGGTCTCCGAAGAATATCCCACGACACTTCCACCCAAGCTGCGTTTCGCAAGAATTAAGCTTAGCGTTGTGGAATCTGATTTCGGAATTGAAACTATCAGGAGCAAAATTGCGATGAAGATCATTCGGGCTGCCTGGTCGTCTGAAACATAGGCAGTTCCCAATGTGTTGTTCTTCGAGCCAGCAATCCGAGGAGGCGGAACAAGCAGAGCGTCCAAAGCATTCCACATTGCGGTGAGCATCTCCTCAAATGCAGCCGGAAGCGCAGTCCAATGCCGCAGATGTTCATGTGGTTTATCCATGGCAACAATGGAATTGATGACATTACCATCTGTATCGAGAACCTCTTTGAAGGGCATTCTACTCAGCGACGCTATAGGAATTTGCGGGCCGGGCGAGGACCATTGCTCTAGAAGACGACTTGGCGAGGAGAAATTGTATCGAATGGAACGAACCACCAAGTCAGTAATTGATGCGAACCTGTCTCGATAACTGCCAGATATCCTTGTCAGTGCCGTGGCGATGGCCATCGCCAGTTCACGAGACAACTCCGTAAAAACCATCACGTCAAGGTCTTTCGATTTCGAGTTGTCTCTTGTGTTGCACTGTGAGTCGAACCAGTATGCCATCTTGTTCGTGTTGAACAGGTTCTGAACCAGGCTAGCCCTGTCTACCTTCGTCTGAGTTGTGTTTGTCTTTGCATGCTTGTCTTCGCTCGAGTCATCGCACTGTCCATTCCTACTAGGAGAAGACGTAGGATCATCCCCGCGCTTTTGTCCTTGGATTGCAGCCTGAGAAGCCCTCATGGCGTCGTCTCCATTTTGCAAAGACAGAACATAAGCTCTTACTAAATTTGTGTCAACTCTCTCGTCACCATCGATATCTGTTCGCAACGGATTTGGGCAGAGATACGACAGTGGATCATCAGTACTTGCAAGAACGAACGCCTGATTTCTCGCAGCAAGCAATGTAGGTCGTCGAACAGGCTCGCTCGTGTTTCGTCTGCGGCAACTGAAACAGCCGAGTGTTTTGCAATCTTTGTTCTCGCATCCGTACCGTATTTGCAAAGCGAAACATTGAAGAAGGAGGTGGAATGCAACTAGCCTGCTCTTTTGCTTACGTTCCACCAACACGTTGCTACGTGGGATGACTCCCAACGCTCCAAAAACTTTATGCCAGAGCTTAAGATCAAGCGGCGATTCCTGCATGGCAGCCATCCAAGATTGAAAGGGCAACGGGTGGTCGAAACTGGCAAGTCGATTAAGGAAGTATCTAGCGGTGCGTCGTTGAGATGAGGCTGTCACATCAGCGTAGCATCTTGGGTAGCACGAATCTGGCGGGAACAGAGCTTAAAAGTCCATGCGATTTTCTTTCTACGTCTGAAATACGTTCATACGCTCGACGCCATAGAAAGGGGGCTGTACAGAGGAGAGGGTGAAGTGTAGCGCGCAGATTAAAACGTGCAGAAACATAACTTGTCGTGCGCCAGGAAACTGGCGATACAGCGGACTCACACGAAGTGAGTTCAAAATACTTGCACCTCCAAGTGAGGCTGAGCATGTGCAGCCAAAGGTGGCTGGTGGCGGCCGACACAAGCGGCAAATGCCCATCGAGTTGCAATCGATAAGTCTTTGGGCGTCAGACTAAGTCAATGTAGGGTCAGATAACAAAAAATTCGCCCTGTGACGACATTGGCTCAGCTGCAAAAAGTACGGCGTCCCTCCTCTGTCGCTCTTCGGCATTACGGCTGCAAGGCGAACAACCTCTCGTTTCTCGGTACGCATTACCTACAGATTCGTGGCAAAATCCATCATATCCGTAAAACACGAGGGACTACCCTGCTGCTCTTCAGCCCGTGTTCCGAGTATTCGCCGCGTCTTGCCTGTGACTGTTGTGCGTATACAGTCCCAACTCGGCGCCCCACTTGTCGCAGACACAGACCAATATTTTGCACACGCCGACGGCACTCATATTTCCCCTACCCGCTGCGACCCTTCATCCTTGAATCTTCATATACATCAGGTCGCGCAGAATTGTTGTCTATTGTAGTCTTGACACTGACTACGTGAAAGATGAATGGTAGCACCCACCCATTTACCTGTAACACCTGCCAGGTTGCTTTCAAGTCCAGCGACTTGCAGCGAACCCATATGCAAAGCGACTGGCATAGGTACAATCTGAAGAGACGAGTTGCCTCGCTTCCACCCCTGTCGTCTGAGGTCTTCAACGAGAAGGTGCTTGCTAATCGTGCAACCGCTGCCGCTACCGCTGCCCGTGCCTCCTTCGAGAGGCACTGCGATCCATGCAGGAAAACGTTCTATTCCGAAAATGCGTATCTCAACCACTTGTCAAGCCAGAAACACAAATCAAATGCCGTCAAGGCTACAAAGTTGGGCAAGAAAGAGGATGACTCGAAGTCCCTAATGAGTTCTACGTTCTCTTTGGGAGATCCTGCCATCTCATCTAGAGGTGATGTGGACAGCGAAGCCGAGGATGACTTCCAGGACGTCATTGAAGGCATCAAAGATTCCTCTCTAGAAGACAACCCCGAACCAATTTCGAGGCGGCCATCACGCCCACATCACTCCGCTGTTGGTGAGGATACACGTCCAGATCACCCACTCTCGCCAAGCACCAACAACACTCCAGTCAATGGTCGTATCCGGAAGCGTGATCCTCTCAGGGAATGTTTGTTCTGCTCGCAGTACGACTTTGAATCAGTTCCCGAACTTCTTGACCACATGATCAAATCCCATGGTCTCTTCCTACCTGAGCCAAATTACATTGTTGATATGGAAGGCTTAATCCGGTACCTTAACACTAAAGTGAATGAGGAACACCAGTGTTTGTACTGCGGCCGTCTTAAATGGTCAGAAGACGGTATCAAGACGCACATGAGGGACACGGATCACTGCAAAATTGCCTACGAGACGGAAGACGCACAACTGGAGATTGGTCAATTCTACGACTTCAGAAGCACATATTCTGACGATGACTGGGACACTGAGGACGGCGAAGATGACGAATTACTCGACAATGGAACGGCAACTGGCGGTGGCGTTAAACTTGGTGCTCGACGTGAAGCCAAATGTGATGATGAAATGGAAGAGGGCGACGGATGGGAGACCGATTCAACCGCCTCGTCTGTACCCACCGAAGAGCTTGGGCGGGTCTATGTGGATGAACAGCGGGAAGAGGTCAAGCGTCGACTACGGCAGAATAAGCATCACAGCTCCACGACAAGCAGTCGTCACCGCGAGACAGACGGCTTCCATAGTCACGCACATCATGGTCCCACCGCAGTCTACTATGATGACTTCGAATTACATCTCCCCTCTGGCCGAACTGCTGGTCACAGATCCCTGAATAGGATATGGCGCCAAAATTTACGTAACTACCCAACGCCAGAGGAGCGTCAGCATCGACTACTTACCGAGAGCAATAATGACGAACGTGAATTACGACCAAGTGAGGCTGCCCGTGAACGTGAACGTGGCAGGGCTCACGAGCTCATTCTAAGAAATGAAGCTCTCGGTGTAGCTGGGCTCGATGACGCTGCAAAGAAGCAGTTGAAAAACCAGGAGATCAAGGAAAAGAAACGAGCGGATAGGGAACAGAAAAAATTCCAGGCAAGAATAAATGAAAGAGCCAACCAGCAGAAGCACTTTAGGGACCCGTTGCTGCAGTAAAGGGCTCGCAAATAAGTTTGAGAGCGATAGATGCGTTGGCCGGCTACATTATCAGCCAGGTCTGCAAAGCGTTGATTTATCCTTCTGTTAGTGGTAATGCCAAGGCAAGAATGGTAGACTGAAACACGAAAAGCATCGCTTATTTATAGCTCTCTTCAGTCATAGTTCTAGGGCAATGATTGTGCAAATTTACACGATTCAACGTGAATCAGCTGCTCGAAATCAGATCGAAGATCGACAAACGACTTGGAGTAGAAACAGCAGCACAACATTCTGCAAGAAGTTAAGTGAACAAACACTTTCGCGTTGATAAAATGCTCCTCGCTTCCAAAACTTCGACATCGTCCCTACTTGAATCGTCTCTGAAGACATCGTCCACGTGCAAATGAACATTGCACATTTGCATTTTATGCTCTCATATATTTTTAACATGCAAAATTCTGCACAGAGCTTTCAAAGCCTTTCACAACTCCATCTGTATGTGTCAGCATCGTGCATCGATTCTTTAGGATACCCTTATCAAGTCAGCAGCTCAATCGTCGTGTCCCTGCGTAAGGTACATTTTAACTTGAGAGATCTGCTGCGCTGAAACTCGCACCGCACTGGTGGTGGCATCGTCTAAGCATACAACAAGTACATGTTATACCTTTGTCCTCTTGTGCAAACTCCTGTGCCCTAGCATCCAGCCTACTCACCCTCTCATGCCGAGTTCTTCTCATTCAACTGTAGCTTCGGTATTTAATATATGACCCCTCGATTGCCTCTCTGAAAACATCGTTGATATCTTAGGCAACTTATCATATCCTATACTCGCTCATAGCTGCCCTGCGGTTCCACTTCCGCAACCTTTCCATGTACGGAAACTCTAGCTAAATGTTTTTGCAACATACTAGGTTAAATGTATTATCATCTACCAAGAGCCTACAATATTTCTGTCATTATATTTGTGAACAATGCTATGAATCCAACAGGAACGAAACTAACAGTCAAATAATTGCTATAGGACTTGATCACGGCAGCGTCATCGAGAAAGAACAAAGATAATATTACAGTCTTGACGCGGCTAGTATGATCATTTGAATATATTCCGGCATTGCGAACAACGTCAACGTAGTGATGTTTTCAATTCTTAGATCCAGCCTCCGTTAATACTGATGGTACCGCCTGTTATGAAACAGCTCTTGTCAGATAGTAAGAATTCGATAAGATTTGCAAAATCTTGCACTTCACCGACTCCGTTCAAAGCCAGCAAGCTGGCAAAGTTCATATCGATGTGGCCTGTATTATCGGTCTCGCGCATCATGAACGTGTTGACTGGACCAGCTAGTAGACTATTAGCGTCCAATCAATGTCTTCTGAGCGTCTGGACCGTTCATAAACAATGTTCAAACGAATACCCTTTGGTCCTAATTCTTTTGCTGTGCATTTGCGTAATCCAATTACACCATGTCTGCTTGCGCAATATGCTCCATTGAGAGCAAACCTCGCTGGCCAGATACGGAGGCAAAATTCACAATTGCGGCACCATTCTTGAGATTCGGTATCTGCGCGCGCAGACGATTCGTCATGCCTGTCAAATTTACATCAAGCACAAATTGCCAGTCTTCAGTACTGATCTCCTATGTTGGCTTGATGCAAATATCTTTGCCAACAGCAGCAGCGAAGTTCGAACAATAATGAATGTGACCAAAAGTCTCCCATGCTTGACTTCTCCAGGATCAACTTGGGACTGCGAGCGGACATCTGTTTTGACTGCAATGCATGTCCCGGCACCGTTGTTTGCTTCTATGTCAGCTTTGGCTTTCTTGAGCACTCGTTCTTGGATGTCGGCAATACACAACTTGCATCCCTTCGATGCAAGAAACTTAGCAGTTTGAAGGCCCATGCCGCTAGCGGTACCTGTTATTGAAAGTACTTTGCCCGACCTTTCAGAGTCGAACATGGTAATTGAACCTGGTTCGGAGCCCATGACGATTAGATGATTATCTCAGTAACAGCAAAAGTCAAAGTGGTGCTGCGGAAAATCGACAAATAGCTGAGATCGAGTAAGTGAGAAGGAAACTCCATTTCTGGAAGCCCACAGAATATTATTAAATGTACACGGCCATGCCACTCGCAATTTTAAGGAAAATCAGGAAATTTCCACGCACGAAAGGTTCCATTATTCCTCGTAAACATCTTTCAACGGTTGTTGCTGTTTCTATCTCCCGACACACTACGCGGGCAATGCTCATCCGCGACTCTTTGTCAAAAACTTACCTGGACAGCCTGCGTCCCTATTCTAAGTTAAGCTTTTGGCAGGACCTGGAAAGTGATTACTGGTTCAAGTTCAGCCGTGTGACTTTTTCCCGCTAAGCTTCATTCGATGAGGGGTCGAGAATGGAAATAGGGCTTCCGATAGCACAGCTCTTTTTAAGTTGAGATTGTGTAGGCCCCTGGAGGGAATGTTGTTAGTTTCGCTAGTTATATAATTACAGCATAATTTGTGTACGGCAACGAGTACAAGTGGAATTGGTGTATAGTTGCTGAAACATTCAACTTTTACAAGACGGATCTAGTCATGAATGAGGAAAGGTCTGTAAACTTGTAGCTTGGCATTTAGAAGCATCTGATATTCATGTTTCAGCCTCAGGGCCAAACACTTTTGTGAAATTACAAGGCGATCTAAACGTGCGTCGTCTTGGTTGCTTCTCGTCCTCTTGAACATTTTGTTGTGTATACGCGAAATGAGATGGACATATCGTCAGATTCATTTCGTGGATCGTTCAAAATATAAAACATAATTCCACACGTCTGTAGATTAAAGTATCCTTGATTTTACTCTATCTCACGGCTGAGTTCGCTTCCTTGGCGACTTTATTTTTTCGAATACTGACCACATTTGTGAAAATAATATGGACTGTCAAAAATCACAGAATTTTCTTCAAATTTGGAGTATAGATTAGTAAAAGACTCACTGGGCTCTCAAATTAATTCTTGCGTCGCCCGCTCTAGATACAAGCTACTGGTAAATGTGATGATAAATTCGTGTGAAAGCGCCAGGGGGGACAGTGTTTCAACAAGAGCCGCTGAATTTCTCAGTAAATCATAGATATTTGAGTAGTCGCCGAAAGTATGATGGCTAGCGCAATTTTAATAGCGTATTGCCACTCATACATCGGACGAAGGATTATTGAGAAGCTGCGATCCTCCCAGTTTATCATTGCTTCTGGAGGACTTAAAGCTGTGCATGGCAAGGTCCTAATATAGCTGCATGATACCATTCCATGACCCGATGAATCCAATATGAAATTCAGAGAAAGTACACATACCTGCCCGTGAATTTCTTCATACTTATTCCAGTTGTTTCCGGTGAGGCATTTACGTGACAAACACCCCTCTAAGGCCATGGAAAGTCTCCGAAATGACGTGAAAGCCGTTTGCTGAACTCGTCGTAGACTTTGCATTTATACGATCTTAGTAGATCGCTCATCTATTAAACAGCATGGACACATGCTGCCTGATTCTGATCTTTGGTGGTATGAAGTTCTGTGCGTATCTCCGTGTACAGCACAAATTATGAACATATACGGCATTTTCGCCGGCCTTAGTCATGGTTGAACGCCTTTTGAGCTGGCTCAAATTTTGTCAACTTTTGGAAGCAACAAAATCCCGCACTCATTACAAGGAAGATGTCCCGTTCGTCCAATTTCTTAAGGCTAGGAATCCACATATACCTTTCGCTACCTACTGCGTCTCGTAAGTTTTGGAGAGAAAGATGACCACTTTATCATTACCGAATATATTTGGCCTTGAGTATATGGTCACCTAAAACACAACGCATACTCGCATTAATTTTAGATCGAAGGTCTCTGCATTCATGGCTAAATTAGTATGAACACTTGGTTCGAATACTTTTAGAAAAGCGATGAGAAAATCTGGCAGCCCAGAAAACCACACTATTCTAAGTGGATTATGAAATATTCATATATTCAATCTAGGCATGTTTGGCGTGGGGAAAATGAGTTCAAATTAGCGATGCTAGATATCATTTTGAAAGTCCCATGTAAATAGGATATATACGGAGAAATCATCCTCTACTCGTTCAACTGATAAGTGCAACGCCGTCTTCAGAGAAATTTAAGAGTATATTTACCGATTCTTGCTATCTATGTGTTCAGTCTGCAATTTTTTTTTGTGTCTCTTCAAATTAACTACCATAGCAATTGCCGAATCCGGGGGGAAACCAACATTTTATGACGGATACACATTTGGAAATATATTTATGGCTAACAGACCAAAAGCCTATTAACAAAAGATTTGGACACATTCAAGCGTCGCAATAGTAAGCATACGAAGAGATTATTAAACATCCAAGCAAGCAGAATGACACGACGTTATTGAAATATAGAGTTAAATATGCTCTTCAATGCGAGACACCAATTAAAATCCTTATCTCGATATCAACTTATTGCAGGAAATTTATGCCACTGTGCGAACTTTTAATGAAGTCAATCTGTGTGGTCATGATCCCATCCGTTTCTAGCATCTTTTTTGGATCCGCGTTATCACTGGATATCACTGCAGATTTCAGACTAGCATGTTCTTTCGTATTCTCCTCTTTTCCAAAGAATTCTCGTAACTCAGGATATTCAGCCTCGATATCCATGTACGGTGCAAAGTTCCCCTTCATGTCCATATCTTGCTCAGTCATTCCATTTCCAAAGAACGCGAAAGGCTCCTCCTCATCCATCAGCTCGTAGTCGAAGTCCTCCCATCTTGGATTTCCAAGAACTTTGCGAAAGTGTAAGTCACTTCCCGGATAGATGGCAATGATACGATCAGGGTCAGTTTTGCATCCACGCATCCAAGTACGACATTGATCACTATAGACTGTTTCCTGAAATTATCTTTGACATTGCCTCGAATATGCTTTTATGGCCTTAAGCTTAGGTATCATCGAATTAATGCGCTCGCGTTGCATCTTTTCAATACAAGACATTACAAAGGTAGTGGCGTATTCCAAGACAGGGAGGAAGGTGCCTGTTGTCACAATCCCGTAGGAGCAACCGGGACGCAGTATTCTTGCTCCTACTGTTAGTAAAGAACCAAATTAAACAAAAGATTGCGTACTGGGCATCTCAGGCGGACAAACTCCCAAATAGGATTCAGGCGCCTGCTCAAATATATCGTTGAGGTTGACACCATTTCTCCCGTACAATGGAAAGTCTTGGTATGTAATCTCGTAGCCACTGGCAAGTATTATGACGTCGTATCGCCGATGGGTTCCCTCCTTGGTTATGATCCCAGATGCATCAAAGCACTCTATAGGTTCCTTGATCAGTTGACGCTTTTCTTCGCAGAGTGCCTCGATATACGGCGTCCCTGGCGTAAGTCTTCTGCATCCAATTGCCCAATCAGGTATAATTGCTTCTGCAACAGAAGGGTCCTTCACGCTCTTTAAACGCATCATCTCAGCTGTAGCCTTCTGTGCTCCCATCGCGAGCGGTGATCCCTTGAATGTGATCAAGTGGAGGCATGCCAACGCATCTCTTAAAGTGCGTTCATAGCTCTTATAGTACTCTTTTTTGTTTTGAAACTTGGCTGTGTCTTCATCAGAATATCTGAAATTCACACCTCCTGCCCCACGCGTCTCGTGTACACCTTCAACTGGAACAAGGTCGCCACCGAAGCCAGAAGTGATTCATGTACGAGAACGAACATAATTGTCCAGACTCTCAACGTGCTAGTAGATTGTGGGGATTATTTGAAGAGCAGAACTACCATTGACAATGACAGCCACCTTTTTACCTTTGATGTCAACATTGTGATTCCACCGAGCGGGATGGATCAAGCTTCCTTTGAATGTATCTCGACCTGGAATGTCGGCAAGGTGCGGTCTGTTGAGGTTACCAACGCATCCAAAAAGCACATTGCATACGTCAGTGAAAACCTCTCCAGTTTTGACATTCTTGAGTGTTATTTTCCACAATTTTTTGTCCCCCTGCCAACGACCTTCAATCATCTTCGTGTTAAACGTGATATATTTTTCCGCATCATACTTGACTGCAATATGTTTGAAATATTTCCAAATCTCATTACCTGTAGAATAGCACTGCGTCCAATTTGGGTTCGTTTCGAATGCAGTCTGATACTCGTGGGATGGTCTATCGTCCCTTCAGCACACTTGCTTGAAGGAACCAGAGTGTATTGCTTACACGTCGTAGGCAACACCAGGATACGTATTATCCAGCCAAGTGCCGTCAACATCGTGATTCTTTTCGTAGCATTTAAACTCAATGTTCGCGAATTTGCGGGGGATTCTAATGCATGCCACAACGCCAGTATATCTTGCACCAATATTAATAACCTTCATGGGCTTACCACTGTCAATAGTATATTTCATGAAATCTGGATGCTCTTGCCCATTATCGAAAGGGAAAATGGAACGCAAGTCCATAGAAGTTGTCATGATGGGCAAGGCAAAATAGCGTAATAAAAACGATGATTCAGTAGGATGGCAGTAAATTGACCAAGTCCACAAATTGTGAAACCCACGAAAGCAGAGCGTGGTTTTGACTTCTTGTTGAGCGGTCGGATAGTTAGGCGTGGAATTCCGAATTCGACTGCTCGACTAACGTACTCCGCGAAACTCTCATCTGGCTACCGTATTAGGCTATAGGTGTTCCGGTCCAAAAATTGGTCTCTAGTCTTGTGATATATACACACACTGAATACAGTGCCTCCAATGGGTATCCATTGCTAACGCAACATATCAGTTTTAAGTCATTTTTACTTTCGAAATGCTCTTAAAGAGCGTGCTAATACTCTTGATATGGACTTCGTTTTCCGGACAAATGAATGGATCCACACAAGTCGAAATCCGCCAGAGTGAGGCATATTATGAAACGAATCGAAATCAACATATGGTTTTCAAATGAAGACACGGCTCAATCGTTCACGGCATGTTTGCATTACGACCATGTGAGGCTGATGATGGGAAAAAGAACCTCTTACTAGGCGAAATCCGAGTTATTTGAGTTCAGTGCCTTGCACATCATGTAAAAAAGTGTAGTGTCTTCATAGAACTAGTGAACATATAGAACTTCCAGATTTGATTTGTTCAATTAAAACATAATTGAAGACGTTCAAAATTGATAGGAAGAGGTCGAGAGGCACCAGAGGCGTCAGGAAAGGTGCGTCGCATGTTGCAGCCTGAGGACGTAAATAGGATGTCAAAGCTCGTGTCCAAGAATCCCCATGACTCCAGCACGAACACTATCCACACCTAGCGTCAGGTGCAGTATCAGCCAATCTGAAGTCTCACACCGAACTCATAAATCTGTACAATACCTTTCCTTCACCGCACTCTTCTGTCCATCCTCATCATGGGCGAGCCACAGTTTGTTAAATATCCCGATCTCTCACTTGCACAACATATCTTTACCATTACCAACCCGCACGCGTCGTCGCGTTCCCGCCAGACTTCACTAGCAGCACTCAAAAATGCCATCGAAGAGCAACGAATGGCTCCATTATATCGGTACCTTGCACATCCTACCGAAGGCGTGTTGAATGTCTCCAGTGAGGGTACGACAGATGCACCCAAGCAGATACTAAGACGAACGAGCAGCTCTGCAACGCAGATGCTGGCAACCAGAAGACCCAGTTGGGAAGCTGGTATCAACTTGAACTGGGACGACGTCCTTTTTGAGGAGCTTCAGGAGGAGAATGAAGAAGAGCTGAAAAAAATTCAGCGGGAGGAGGATGAGGCCGTCGAAAAAGCTGGCGAAACCGAGATACAGACTGCACGGGGGAAACGGGCTGAGTACTACACAAAAATTGGCGACAAGGTGCATATGCAACAGATTTCAATATTTCCAAATTTGTAATTAAATTCTGATGTGACAAACAGGATAAGGCAATAGCCGCATACGAAGCTGTCTTCGAAAAGACAAGCATCTTAGGCACCAAGATTGATATTGTCCTCGCTCTCGTTCGCATAGGTCTCTTTTTCAACGATCGCATCTTTACCAAAAGGGCCATTGAGAGGGCATCCGCCCTTGTCGAAAGTGGTGGAGACTGGGATCGCCGCAACAGGCTTAAGGCCTATACCGGTTTGCACTCGTTGACCGTCCGCTCTTACAATATCGCCGCGCCTCTGCTTCTTGACAGCTTGTCCACTTTTACCAGTTATGAACTTTGCAACTATTCAAGTCTAGTTGTGTATGCTGTGCTCGCTGGTTCCGTAGCACTCAAGAGGGTGGACTTCAAGGCCAAGGTCGTAGACGCTCCAGAAATCAAAGCTATCCTTGGCGAAGGTGAAGACAAGCTCTCTGCCCTCACCGGTGCAATGTCCGCTGGTCCTGCAGCTGGTGATGAAGAGATGGGAGATGTGTTGAGTACCTCTACACCCGCACCTACGGCTGTAAATCTCACGGCAATCGGCACAGACAAGGCAAACGAAACTGAAATGGACGTTGATTTCATGCCGCTGGCAAGCCTGGTCAATAGCTTATATGCTGGTAACTACCGCTCATTCTTCGTAGCGCTTGGGACCGTAGAAGAAAGGTTCCTCAGTCAGGATCGGTATCTTTACGAGCATAGGCACTGGTATGTGCGCGAGATGCGATTACGTGGCTACCAACAGCTTTTGCAGTCATATCGTGTCGTAGGATTGAGAAGTATGGCAACGGACTTTGGAGTTAGCGTGGAATTCTTGGACAAGTATATTTTAGCCTGTATCATTGTGCTGAGGGTCGCTAACGTCTATCCAGGGATTTGAGCAATTTCATTGCCACCGATCGCGTCTCCTGTAGAATTGATCGTGTCAATGAGATCATTGAAACAAACCGACCAGACGATAAAAACAAGCAGTATAACGATGTGTTGAAACAAGGCGATCAGCTCATTACGAAACTACAGAAATATGGTCAGGCCGTACGACTTCGAGGGAGCGAGCGCGGGTAGGCATATAGCGCAAGTCAAACTGCAATTGCTAAACGCCACCCGCACGGGTAGAATTAACGGCATTGTTGATTTATTACTGTAGCGAAGGCGCCGTAGATTTCATGTTTACAGCATTGCGGTACGTACCGATAGCATAGAATCAAGTGCTGATGCTCGACTATGGATTGTGGACCGTAGTCACACCGTACTCCAATCATAAAAGCGTTAGACTTCGTTTGCGTCAAATCTCGATAGCCTTGCAGGCTGCGCCCATGGCCCCAATTTTCCTGGCGACTCTTGAGCAAAACGAATTCCACCATTGTTCACAGCGAATTGTTGAAGATGAATGCAAAAAGAGCAGAGTTGCGCACTTAAATCCAACAAACGCCGTCTGCTATTTTGTTACAGAGTAACATGGGAATCACGTAAAGAAGCGATTATATTGATTATTTATGATCAAGGTGATCGACTCACATAAGCGAAGGGTTGTGATTCGCCTAAAGGAAATAGACAAATCAAGAATACAGCCTATAATTAGTCTAATTATTTATAATCAGAATAATTACTAAATTTCTTATATCTATAAAAATATCCTATCCCTACTTTTATTATAGCTCTCTATAATTCAACTATCTATTTTATCTAGTAGTTAATTTAAATATATTCTTATACTCTTAAAGTTTATATTATTCTTGTTAAGCTATGCTATTGGAGGGCGGAAGCTTAGTAAGATTTATATAGAAGAAAACTTATATATTGAAGATATATATTTTGTTTTACTTACTTTACAAAACTG